TCTATAATATAGATATAATATAGATATAGTATAGGAAGACGTAGAATAGGTAATCTAGTAATAATATTAAAGGCCTAATAATCTAGAGATGTTAGCTAGAATACTTACTATAAAATTTATAGAAACACTAGATTATATATAAGTAAAAATAGCAGAAGCTTAATAACTCTAAGAAATCTAGGCTAACTACTATTAATAAAAAGTACTATAACTATAAGAAGAAGACTAAGTATAGTTATAGTATAAAAAATACTTCTTTAATAGTAGGCTAAGTAAGAAACTAGACTAGAAAAATATAAAGTTTTAGGTAGAGAAAGTAATCTCTCTTTATACTATAAGATTAAATACTTCTTTAGGTATTTACCTAGTATTTTATATAGATAGGCTCTAGCTATACTCTAAAAACTCTTTAGTAGAATAAGATACTAATAATTACTAACTTAAAAGCGTATTAGAAAATATTAATAAAGAATTAGAAAACTACTAGAAAATTAAAGAAATTATAGGTAAAAGGTAGAAATAATATAGTAAAGAGTATAAGAAATAATACTTAGTTAAGTAAAAAGACTATACTATAACTTTATAGAAGCTAGTAGAAAACTTTAAAAAAGCTAAAGTACTAGATAGCTAGTTAGCCTTCTTTAAAAAAAAATAAAATAATATTAGTAAATTACTAGAAGATTTTTAAAAGAGTTTCTTTAATAAACTATAATAATACTAGAGCTTCTAGTAATAGTAAGGTAGAAGTAGAGAAAGTAATATTTTTAGTAATAAGTACTATAGGAAACTATAGGCAGTTTACTAATAGATACTCTTACTAAGGCTAAAAATATAAATAGTTAAGAAAATTAAAATATTACTAAAAGAAAAAGAAGAAAAATTAGTTAATAAGTATAAAATTAACTACCTATAGGTAGCTAGAGTATTACTAATAGAGTACTATAGGCCTAAAATACTATACTATACTAGGTATTTACTAGAATACTAAAAAATAAACCTAAAGAACTACTACTATATTACTTTATTTTTACTACTAATAGTAGTATTATTCTTAAAAGTATCTTAATTACTAGTACTACTATTATTCTTATAGATAGGTAGCTCTTAAGGCTTAAAAGAAAGAGAGATAAGCTTAGTAATAATATTAATAAAATACTTAATCTAACCTTTAGTAGTCTTAGCCTAGAAAAGTATAGAAATTAGCTAAAAAAGTAGTAAAACTAGAAAGAAAACTTACTAGAACTAAGATAGCTTTACTCTAATAATTAAGTATAGCCTAAATATTACTAAGCTTAACTATAATAGTATAAAGAAGTAACTTAGTAATAGTATTACTAAAGTTATTATTCTAATACTTAAGCTAACTAATAGACTTCTTCTTAGCCTCTTACTAAGCTTTAATAAGCCTAGAACCTAACTTATTAAAGTATAAAGTAATAGACTTTATAAATATATTACTAAAGAAGATAGTAAAAAGACTATAAAGAAAGATAACTTTAGCTTTAAGCTAATTAGAAACTTACTTAAGAGTTAACTAGTAGTACTTAAGTAAAGGTAAATATTACTTACTTTATAATAAGTAGTATACTACTTCTAAGAGTAGTAATTATAGAACTACTTACTTTCTTTAAAGATATAGGTCTTTTTATTTTCTAAAAGATAGTAGGTATAACCTAAGTAGATAGGTAGCTAGAGAGGCTAGTAGCTTTTAGTAATAGAGGTAGAAGTAGAGGTAGAGATAATACTAGTAGTAATAAATAAGTAAGTAGTAGGGTGTAAAACTAATAAAATAAAAAGTTAGTAAAGAAGAAAGTAAATTTAATAAACTAAATAAACTTATAGGTAAAGGTAAAGCTTTTTTATTACTTTTAGTAGTAGAATAAGTCTACTTCTTTACTAGAGACTTTTTTAGAAAGCTAGTAGCTATAAAGAAGAACTTAGAAAATAATATAGACTTTTTAGGTAAACCTACTATAATAGTAGTAAGTAAAATAGAAGTTAAGGTAAGTAAAGTTAGTATAGCTGCAGTATAAATTACGTATAAAGGTAGGTTAATATATTATATTATAGTAGAGTTAAAATATAAAATTTTTTGCTAAGAGGGGCTTATATAATAGGCTAGGCCTAGTAGAACTTTAGTAAGTAAAGCCTTAGAGCTTAGCTACCCTAACTACTAACACCTACTAGAAATAGCTAGTACGCTACTAGAAGAACTATAAGTAGAGGAAAACTAGTACTATAGATCCTTAGTAAATTTATCTAATTTATACTAGTAACTACTCTTAGAGTTAGCTCCTTACACTTTCTAAGCTTTAATTACTACTATATTTTCTTACTCCTTTTCTATTTTACCTATTTTACTATTACTAGTAGTACTAACAAATTTCTAGTACTATTAATAATAATAAAATTTAATAAAATCTATTTTTTAGTATCCTTAGCTAATAATTATTTTATAAAGTAAGCTTTATTTAATTAACTACTTCTAGGTATATTTCTACTTATTATAATATACTTTAAATTAGGTACTAATATAGCTTTATAACTCTTTTTTTACTAGGTAAGTATCTTACCTTTATTCTTTAGTAGTAAGTAAGTAAAAATATTATTATTATACTTCTTAATTTTAATCTTATATAGGTCCTTTATTAAGTTCTTAAAGATTTCTTAACTAGTAAAGTTTACCTTATTAATAAAGTCTTTAATCTTAATTAAGTAGTTATTAGTACTAGTAAAGTTAATAGTAATACTAGTATAAATAAAGAAGTTCTTTATAAGCTATCTTTTTTACCTATTTAAGTTATTTTAAGTATTAGTAATAGCTTTTATTACTACTATCTACTATATTAAAATTACTATTTATTTAGTTAAATTTTACTTTAAAGTATTATTATCTAATAATAGTTTAAGCTTCTTTCTTATTAATACTTTAAAAGACTTGTTTATACTAATATTAAGAGGCTAAAGTAGTTTAGTATATCTACTTAGGATTATTACTAAATAAATATATTTCTTTTAAAGTTTTACCTTTATAACTTTTATTTTATAGAAGGTAGTATAGTCTATTATAAGTAAGCTTTTATACCTCTTTAATATATTAAATAGTTCTTTATTTAACTATTTAACTAGAAGCTTCTTATTATTATATATACTTAGGTTAACCTTAATAGTAATATAAAAGTCCTATTTATTTTACCTTTTTTAGTTAAGCTTACTACTAGCTATACTATAAAAAATAAGCTTTAGCTTAAGCCTTAGTATACTATTAGTAAATATATATAGTATAAAAGTAGCTTAGTATTTAGTCTAGCTAGAGTTAGTAATATTTCTAGTAACTATATATTCTTTTTTAAGGTAGTAAGTATACCTATTAAAGAATTTAAAAGGAATTAGTACTTTATCTATATTAATAATATTAGATAGTTAGAAGTACTAGAAATAGTAAAATAATATCTTAATTATTAAGTTATAGTAAATAAAGTAAAGAAATTAATTTATAAGTTTAAAGTAGTAAGGTAGAAGATACTAGCTAATATAAATAAGTTATTACTAAGATATATTCTATCTTTAAAGAAAGTTTTTAAACTAGCTATTTAAGAATAGAAATTAAAAAGGCTGCTAAAGGTTAATTAATTCCTATATCTATACCTAATAATTATAATTACTAACCTTACTATTACTATTAAGTTCCTAGCTATATAATATATTAAATACAATTTTTCCTTACTAGTAAAACTAGAACTATAAAACCTTTTATCCTAACTATTACTACTTAATAAACTATTAAAATAACTTAAGCTTAAGCTTAAGATACCTTTTATAGCTAGTATTTAATATAGTAACCTAATAGCTATAGCTTATTACTACTATCTTATACTAGTAATACTATATATCTTTTATAGTAGCCTTTAGAATCTTAAAGTAGGTAGTAGTATTATAAGCCTTTAAAGGCCTATAATAACTATTATACTTAAGCTTCTTAAGGTACTATTACTTCTAAATAAAACTATCTTAATAAAGTATATTCTTAACCTAATAGTATATAAAGTATAGTATAATTTTAATCTTCTATTAAGGTAATAAGACTATATAATACCTAGATAATACTTTAAGTACTTTATATATAGTTTCTTTATTAATAAGCGCTTAAAGTGTCTAATAGTAATAGCTTTAATAAGTATTATAAGAATAGTTAGTATTAAGGTTACTTATAGTAATATTACTAAAGGCTACTTACTTTTAGTTAAGTTTAGGTAAAGTAACTATTATATAGCTAGTTAAATATAATAAAGTTAATAAGTTAAGAAAGCCTTCTATATATAAAATAGAGAAAATATTAGAAGGTAAAGCTAATAAAATTTTTAGTAAATTTTAATATTAGCCTAAGTGCTACTTAGGGGTGTTTATTAGATTGTCTATTTAGTATACCTACTACTCCTACTAGCTTAAGATAAAACAACTAGAGTTTTACGGTATCTGCACAGCTATTATTAGCCGCTTTTGTGTTACATTCATAGTATTCTTAGCGACAAACTCGCTTACTAAGATTATTACCGCACTCGCGACATGCTGCCATTCGACTTCGGTGTCGCCTTGACCTTGCAATTCCTGGACATCCGGTACCACGACATGAACTATTTGCCTAACTCAACATTGACATATACTGTAAGGGTGGAGATCCTGTTTGTTATTTGACAACACAAGAGTTTGATGTATCCCGCGTCTCGGAGATAACGCACTGCTGCCTAGACTTAGGGGCAGCTACACGAGTCAAGGTGTCACGAACCCTTTATTGGTTTTGAAGTTCATAGATACGATTGGAGAACTTCTTAATGCCCTGTCACATTCAGCCGCCCAAGACCAACTAATGCATGTTCGCGTTAGACTCAGGCTTACCGTCAAAAGCTTGAACATGAACTAAGGAGAGCTTAAGAAGAGCCACCATCCTCCTGAGGCCGCCGCTGTACCTGGAATTGCAACACTCGTTTTTCTCTTTCGGTCGCCAATTCACCCTCGTTTGAACTTGTTCACTGTATCAGTCTTTTAATAAATCTTGGAGCCATATATATTTCAGATATAAGCAAAGCAGCTACATATTTCAACATGCGTCAATCAGTTGTCCTCGTTTCTCTGCTAGCCAGCACAACTTTGGCCCAAGATGTAGTCTCATTCTTTTTTCCCGGTGGTAAGCAAACTCTTACGCCTGGTTGAATCATTCTCTAATTATGATCAGGTTACGAAGGGGATGCTCCTGTCGCCACAATCAAGACCGCGAATCCGTCTACTACCGCAATGCACATCGCATGCGCAACAGGAGTTGATGCCACTGAATGCGGTTTCGGCACTGGTGTTGACGTCAGAGTCATCTCTGGCACGTCCTTCGAAGGCACCATGTCTGCCGAAACCTACACCATGAGCTACAACTGCGACTACAATACCAAGGCAGTCGAGATGACCTGTACTGCAGACATGACGGGCCAAGACCCCCAAACTGCAGTGCTCTCTGGAAGCGATGTCGCCTTCGTTCCTGCAACCGTCGTGCAGGGTGCAGAGCTCTTGAAGGAAACTGCAAGTGCAACCGCTGCCAGTGCGACTGCATCCATGACCTCAAGTCTCGCCAGCGCTACCAGCACAGGAATCAAGACAAGTGCCAGTGTGGCGTCGGGTGCATCTGCGGCCGTGTCGAGTCATGTCTCTGGTTCTGCATCAACGCCCACAGCCAGCGGTTCCGCTGCCACTGTGAGTACTGGTGCTGCGGCAGGATCTGGTATTGAACGGTCGACCTTGCTTGCTCTGGTCGGTGCTGCTGTTGTTGCTTTGTGGTAGTAGTTATGTGGATGATTAATGGTTGGAGCTAGTTGCAGCTCAGAAAATAGGAAGTGGCCAGATGTTCCAGGCGGCTATCGTATGCACATGCTTCGGAATCTTTGTCGGTCGGTAGTGGATGACGAGGATGGCTGAGGGACAATCTTTGCAAAGGGTAGCTGATTTGGTTCTCGACAAATATATCCACTGAGCTTGTATGGAAAGAGTACTTGCTCACTCGAAACAGTGTGCGCGAAACCCAGATCTTCTTGTGCACTGGCTGACCAAACAGGTTCTGAATCTAGTGTTGATGCCATATTTCTTTCAAGCTATTTCTAGGCAAAGTCCTGGATTTAGCAAACTCTCCAACAGGACCCTCATATCTAGTCTGTATCCTTCGGGCGCCTGCCAGCCGGTGATGCACCCTCTGGAGTTATGACTGCTCCTCATGCAGTTTGGGCCAGTGATGCTGCATCGAACACCGTATGTTTCGTCCTTTGTGCCACCAAGACCATCGACGTGTGTGGAGTTGTAAGAGCGAAAGAGTACTTCGATTCATCTGACTCGGTCTCAGACAACAACGAGAGCTCATCGAATTCTAATGGTGATGGAAGTTCATCGGACCCCAGGCTCTAGTGACCAAGAAGACGCTTTATCAGATTCAGGGTCAGGTCCTGGCTCAAGCTTCAGCGATGGAACCAGCAGCAACGGCACCACAGCATCTAGAACCATCCCCGAAGCCGCTGTTGAGCCTACGTTCTTTGAGATCATGAGAGTGATCGACTTCGACGGCGGAGTGACTTCTTTCGGATAAGTTCTCCAACGACGGTGACACAGATGCGGTTTCATCGTCGCGGATAGCGGTCCTCTCAACAGCAGCATAATTATTATCATCACCAACGCAGACCAGATAGAAGTCCACTGTGACTGAAGCTGTGCTATTATCAGCGTATTATGGGAGTAATCTGCAAAACGACAGATGAGCATCATATGAAGATCGACGGCGTGGCGGATTGTGACGGCTCTGCTGGCCTCGTTGGCATTAGTAGCATTACCAGCCCTTGCATCAAGGACAAAGAGATCATCTGCGAGGAGTTCAAGATACAATAGGTTGAGCTTTGCCTGTACCTACGCAGACCTAAAGTGAATGGGGTTAGTGTACCAAGATCCGACCCCAAACGTTCTTCCGGTCCACTACCTACTACAAAACCACACAGCAGAGAAGCGTTTGCTCGCTCCTCGGAGTCGGAAAGGGTGCAAACATGGTCGTGTGGGTGGCGGACACAGTGAATGGCTGCGTATCGTTAAACCTTGGCATAGTTTGAGCTTCTAAGAATGCCGCTAGAATGTTCCATTAGATCCATCCTCTAGTGGATATCTTTCGGGATTGCATCAGTCGACCGTTGAGTGATCGATGAGTCTCGTGACTAATCTGCTTGCGAAGCAGGGCACCTTAAGGTCGGCTCGTAGATAAGCAGAGTCTTGGGAGATTCAAGAAACTGACGGGCAACAAAGCCGAGACAGGTCCAGCTGCCTGACACAGAAAGACGCCTTGGTGACAAGCTTTGCCGTTGGAGTGTTGGGGATGCATACCACATTTTTGGTGGGAACCTTGTGCTTTGGTGGCAGGGTATCAGGACTTGGCGGAGGACATACTCCTAGTGATGCCGTATCATTGGCAAGGCGTCCCCGCAGCCCGCTCGTAAGATACGCTCTTACAATCTGGGATGACGTTGGTATTGCTATTGAACGGGACTCGCGGCACTTTAGTATGATTTGACCAGCCGCCAAGTATGATAGCATGATTTGGCAGATCTTAGGCGAGCGGAAATGCTTGGCTCCTCTCGCCACGATCGGCCTTTCACCCTCCCTTCCACGGCACCCGGAGCACCCCGCTGTCGTCATAGGAAGGGTCCCAAGCATCAGAACACACTTGCAACGAGTATACAATTGAGTCGGTGATTGACTCAAACAGAAGATGTGTATTGGACATGAGTGCGACGTATCTGCATCTCCGCTCGAGCAGATTGGAGATCCTTGACCCTCCTTGTAACTACCCAGTGTGACCAGTTGTGATGTTTCTGAGTTGTGTACAGACCGGTCCCAACATAGCTCCCACCGCGCCAAGGGGTTCTATATCTCGCGGGGCTTGGCTGTCGACATGGAGTCTTGCATGCGTCTCCAGCCTCGGTGTTTAAAAGAGCTGGATGTCCCCCGGAATTGGGTTGTTCGTCATCCCCAAATTCTCCTTAGCATTTGAAATAAAAATCAATAGCTATGGGAAAGAAAACACCCACGCTCGAGGGCCACATCACCGGCCAATCCAATGAGCCTATTTCGAAGCCAGCTCATGCTCTCTCATTCATACAGGTCATCGAGGAGACAAAGTGTAACCCCGACGATGGCCTGACCACTTCCGAAGCAAAGACACGACATGAGAAGTTTGGAAACAACGACTTGGGCGACGATGAAGGAGTCAAGCCAGGGAAGATCCTGCTCCGGCAGATTGCCAACGCTATGACATTGGTGAGTGTTGTGTAGAACCATCCGACATGAACATTTCTAACTGAAAGCAGGTACTCATCCTTGCCATGGGTGTGAGCTTCGGTATCAAGTCATGGATTGAAGGTGGTGTAGTAACCGCCATCATCATCCTCAACATTGTTGTCGGTTTCATGCAAGAATTCAATGCCGAGAAGACGATGGACTCGCTTCGAGGACTGAGTTCGCCTACCGCTACCGCTATACGTGACGGAAAAACTGTTACCATCCCAACGGTTGAAATCGTTGTTGGTGATTTGGTCGAGCTGAAGACAGGTGACACTGTCCCAGCTGATATCCGGTAAGTACCTCCGGCATTTTCTCAAACATCTCGTTGCTAACTCAATCCCCAGTCTCGTTGAGGCCGTGAACTTTGAAACTGACGAGGCATTATTGACTGGAGAGTCGCTCCCTGTCTTGAAAGACGGTGATGCCGTATTCAACGATGATACCGGCCCTGGCGATCGCTTGAACGTTGCTTTCAGCTCTTCAACCGTCACCAAGGGCCGAGCTCGAGGTGTCGTGTTTGCTACCGGAATGTACACTGAAATCGGATCCATCGCCATGTCACTTCGACAGAAGGGTTCTCGCCGTCGCCCGGTTAAGCGCAAGGCTGATGGTTCTGCCAAACCGCACAGATACGCAGAAGCGTGGGGCTTGACCGCCGCTGATGCTGTTGGGCATTTCCTTGGTGTCAACGTCGGTACCCCGCTCCAAAAGAAACTCGCTCGTCTTGCTCTACTCCTGTTCGGTATTGCAGTAGTCTGCGCTATCATCGTGCTGGCTGCCAACAACTTCTCCAACAACCAGGAGGTCATTATCTACGCTGTCGCTACGGGCCTCAGTATGGTCCCTGCGTCACTCATTGTGGTTTTGACGATCACGATGGCTGCTGGTACTAAGCGCATGGTCGAAAGGCACGTCATTGTCCGTAGTCTTAAGTCGCTTGAAGCCCTTGGTGGTGTCACAGACATTTGCTCCGACAAGACTGGCACACTCACTCAAGGAAAGATGGTTGCAAAGAAGGCTTGGATTCCCGCCAAAGGAACCTACTCTGTCGGTGTGACCACCGAACCCTTCAACCCCACTGTCGGCTCTCTCAGCTTTACAACCAAGCCACCGCGACACATTGACCCGGACATGGAGGAGAAGCCCCAACCCTCCGATGAGTTGCTGGCAGACAACCCACACTTACTCGACTATCTGAAGATCGCTTCTTTGGCCAACTTGGCGAATGTACACAAGACCAACGAAGGTGTCTGGAATGCCCGAGGCGACCCAACTGAAATCGCCATCCAGATCTTCGCTTCTCGATTCGGCTGGAACCGTCTACCATACACAACTGGCGAGTCCCCTGCCTGGAAACAACTGGCTGAGTTTCCGTTCGATTCGGATGTCAAGAAGATGTCAGTTATCTTTGAAGACATTGCCAACAACAAGAAGCACGTTTTCACAAAGGGCGCTGTAGAGCGAGTCATCTACTCGTGCAGTACTGTCTTCAATGGCGAAAGTGAATCTGCCGTTGAGATGGATGATGACTACCGTGAGGAGATTCTGGCCAACATGGAAGCTTTGGCATCCCTGGGTCTCCGTGTCTTGGCTTTGGCTAGTAAGGAGTTTACCGACGCGCTTCCCGCAAAGGGCGAAGAGGTCGACCGAAGCAGAATCGAAAGCAACTTGGTGTTCCGTGGTCTCGTCGGTCTCTACGACCCCCCTCGACCCGAAACTGCTGGAGCCGTTCGTCAATGCCAGAAGGCCGGAATCGAAGTACACATGCTTACTGGTGACCATCCGGGGACTGCCCGCGCCATCGCTGCCGAAGTCGGCATTCTACCTTCGAACATGTCTACTCTCGCTAAGGAAGTTACGGATGCTATGGTAATGACAGCATCTCAGTTCGATAGGCTTTCCGAAGATCAGATCGACGCTCTTCCACTCCTTCCCCTCGTCATCGCTCGATGCGCTCCCAACACCAAGGTTCGAATGATCGATGCTCTGCATCGAAGGAAGGCTTTCGCCGCTATGACCGGTGACGGTGTCAACGACTCTCCATCTCTGAAGCGATCCGACGTTGGTATTGGAATGGGCACTGGATCTGACGTAGCCAAAGACGCTTCCGACATTGTTCTGACCGACGACAACTTCGCTTCCATCCTCAACGCCATCGAAGAGGGCCGCCGCATGTTTGACAACATCCAGAAGTTCATTCTTCACTTGCTCGCACAGAACGTCGCACAGGCTTGCGTTTTGCTCATCGGTCTTGCTTTCAAAGACGAGAGTGGTCTCTCCGTCTTCCCCATCACTCCTGTAGAAGTCATGTGGATTATTATGGTTACTTCCAGTTTGCCCGATATGGGTCTTGGTTTCGAGATTGCTGCTCCAGACATCCTGGACCGACCTCCCCAAAGTGTAAGTTGCCAATCCCAAAAACATGGTATTGAATATAACTAACGTCCCACAGCTCAAGCGCGGTGTCTTCACTACTGAAGTTCTACTCGACATGGTCGTCTACGGTCTCTGGATCGCCGCCCTCTGCCTTGCGTCCTTTGTCCTTGTCATGTATGGTTGGGGAGATGGAAACCTCGGTCGCAACTGCAACGACACCTACTCCGACTCCTGCGACACGGTGTTCCGCGCGCGTGCAACCGCCTTTGCCTGCCTTACCTGGTTCTCGCTCTTCCTTGCATGGCAGATGTTGGACATGCGCCGCTCGTTCTTCGCCATGCAGCCCGGCTCCACGAAGTACTTCACCCAATGGATGATCGACGTATGGCGCAATAAGTTCCTCTTCTATTCCATCATGGCTGGTTTCGTCACCATCTTCCCTGTCTTGTACATCCCAGTCATCAACCAGGTTGTGTTCAAGCACAAGGGCATCAGCTGGGAGTGGGGTATCGTCTTTGTGGCGACGATCCTTTTCTTTCTTGGTGTTGAGAGCTGGAAGTTTGCCAAGAGAACTTACTTCAAAATGCAGGAGAAGAAGACAGGCGGTGGCAGGAGAGGATCGATCGATCTCGAGTCTCGCGTTTTCGAGAGATATCTCAGCACTGCTATCAGCTCTGATGGAGACCATGATGAGAAGAAGTAATTTGCAGTAAGAATTTGATGAGCACATATGAACACAAGTTGGTGGGTATTGCCCAGTTGGGAACAAGGTTTTTCGAAGATCGGGTTTGACCTTCAAGGAAAAGGGAGATTTTTTTGTTTTGATACCACTACGCCTTGACAACTGAGTCGAAGGTTTTGCTGTTGTTTTAAATACCACATTGCGAGTAGTAATTACGATACCTCATGAATCCAATCTAGATACACAAGCTCAACTCGCAATGCACACTACTTGAACCGCCCCGAGAATCGTACCAGCCGGCAGAGAACAGCCGTGTAAATTCCACTCTCTCGCCCCAAGTGGGGAACAGACTCTGCAATGCTCCGGATCACCAGAGAAACTAAGACTAAAACTCCCGCTCCGCTCCACTGTGCCAACGCTGGGCGCATCTTGCATACAAAGCCCGAGCTCTCGGCGCCAACATCCGGTCGCGCCGTTGATGCGCCTAGAGGGCTCTCGGCACCCACGATTGCATCAGCCCAGCATCTAACTCCAACCTGCCGTTAGCGCGCTCCTCGCGGTCCAGTATTCTGTGTGTAATGGCGTGATACTTTTCCGTCGATGGCCGGCGCAGCGCCAAGAAGGGTGAAGAAAGCTGGGGAAGTGCGGGGACGCGTCTCTTGAGGCTGATGGCTTGGGGAATGTCATGTGGACTTGTTTTGCGGCAAGGGCATGGCTTGGGATAAGAGGAGGTGGTGTTCCTTTATCATGGACGGTCTTGATTAGTCTTACTTCGTTCGTGGTGTACTTACTACCACGGAAATCTTTCTACTCGAGATACGGCGGCGAAAGTGTTGAAAGCCACTCCTGGGTTAGAGAATCCTACATCGTACCATAACCTGCCGGTATTTCGAAAACGCAACAGGTTGCTACCGAGTCAGCGGAGTAAAAGCAAAGATGCCTGCGATTGTGAGGATGGTAGTCGAGCATACGCAGCGGTGGGACAAAAGAAACGTCCCCAACAACCAGAGGGACCGATCGGGCATGTCGCCAACAGCGTTCAGCCTGCTAATCCCCGTACTTTTCTTGTTTTTCCTCGGGCCACCGTGAGTTCTCTCCCGAGGTTTTCCAGCTTAGTCACTTAGAGGAAGTTGAGGTGGTCTTTACTGATATCCGGACTTAGTATTTGCGTATACTTTCTTCGCAGGCGACGACAACGCCTTTCGAGAGTTGGAATCCCACCAAGACGTGCTGCTGTGCAGCGATCAGATGCAAGAGCGATGCTGGGGTCCGTGACTGAGGTTGTAGGTGCTGCACGCGTCGGTACGTTGGAAGAGAAAAGCTCTGTGGAATGTATCTCGGTGCTTGAGAGAGAGTGGTGAGTTGTCCGACTGCTTCGTATATGGCAATCGATTGACCGGAAAACATAGTGCTATCTGTCTATCGACCTTACACGGCCCCTCACCCCCTGAGCCTGCACAGTTGAGGCTGAGCAACGAGGTGGTAACTGCAAACACCGCCATGGAAGTGCCACCAGCCAAAGCCGTATCCATCGAGGAGGAAGAGATTCTGAAACTAAAGGTCTGTGGCCATGAATTTCACACCGAATGTCTAGTCTCGTGGTGTGCTCTGCGGAAAACGAGTTGCCCTATCTGTCGCGCAACATACTACACTGGAGAAGCAGAGAAGACTTCCAACGACGAGGCTTAGAGTTCGGTAATATCCTGAAGCGGCTGAGATCCTGGAGAAGAAAACTTTCCCTGCCAACCATAAGCAATGATTTCCGGACTGGTCAGACCGCAAAAGGGCTTTGAACAAGGGACGATTAAACAGAATCTAGAGGGTTCAGTTGCAAAAGGAGGATTTTGATAACGATGTAGTAACAGCATCTCAATCATCCCTCTACCTCTACGCGATGAAACTTATTCGCAGACAAACTCTGCGCGTTACCGACATTCGAAGTCGTCTCAAGAAGTCCCATCAACATAATCCATTACATCGCCTACCCAATACATTCGCCACAAAAGCAACCCACAAGCCCATCTCCGACCAATCGACCAACCAAAACGCACACTAAAGACCTGCCATCATCACCACACCACATTCCCCTGTGCATCCCACTCGCACTCCAGCACAGGAAAGCAAACATCCGCCATGGGCAGATTATGCGCTTTCCGCTCCGCCGCCTTCAACACATCCAGCCCCTGATCCCTCAGACTCCACGGCGACCCTCCAATCAACCACGTCTGCAGCTGGAAGCCCGGAAAATACACACGCAACTCGACGCCAGCATCCTTGCATTCGCGCTGCGCATCCTCGATGGGCGATAGGCAGGGACGACGAAGAGCCGCGCGCTGCACAGTGTCGACGGGGTAGAGGTAGTAGACCTCGACGCGGCGAAGCAGCGGGAGGTGAGAAGTTTTCTTAGCGGAAAACAGAGCGTGGAGGAAATTCGTCGTGTCGAACATCGCCTCGCTGATGCGCAGGATTTCCAACGAGGGGGGGAACACGAGTCTCGGGTCGAGAAGCTGGAGGAGCCCGTCCCGCAGCGCCATCATCGTCACGCCCACCTCGCTCAGATGGTCGAAGGCGCGGAAATCAAGAAACGTCCGTACATGCGCGCAACGCCGCATCGCCGTCATTTCAGCCGGGACGTGCAGGACACGTAACCGTGGTCTCACGACGGCAAGCGCTCCAGCCAGGAAACTATGCTCCTGCCACGCCTCGGGCTCGAAGCGATGGTCCTGGAACTCTGACGCCAGCACGGTGCTGAAGAAGGGGAAGTCCATCAACCAGCCGCCTCCTAGCCTCAACTCTTGCAGTCCAGGCAACACGCACAGCAGCACGCCAAACAGTGCAGCAACAACATCCTCATTGAGCGCCATACCCCAGTACAACTTCTCCCTCGCCCCGCCGGCATAGAAATACACGTTCTGCATGCACAACCCTATGAACATGCTCCGCTGGGCCAGCGCCGCCGGACATCGAATAGCGGTGTACTCCTTGATCGAGAGGCCGTTGCGGGCGTGCCGCACGCGGTTCTCACTGGAGCTGTAGATGTCCAGAGAGTGAATGAGCGGGATGATGTGGGAGTGGTTCGAGAGCTCCCACATGTAGGTGTGGATGTGGGTGAGGTTGAAGCGGGGGACGCGGAGGAGCCATTCCTGGGCGATGGGGCGCCAGCGGCGGGACACTAAGGATAGACTGACTAGGTCGGAGTTTTGGTTTGGATTGACGAGGTGTGCGCCGATGGTTAGGAGGAGTTCGTCGGGGAGGGCAGTGATGGATGGTGGCGAATGAGGCATGGTGGGGCAGGAGATCTGGGTGCACTGGGTTTAGCGCAGTCAGGGTTGATATTGTGGTGTGGAGGTGATAGGCAGGCGTAGGCAGCGGCGGGCTGGTTTTAGGCAGCGACAAGGCTGAATGGTGTGAGGTGGGGTAGCGGTTGACTGCAGCAGTAGGTAAGAAGTGATTGGCTGGATCTGATAACATTTAACAGGTAGAAAATATAGGCGGTAAGGCACTGTCACACGGCATCACGTGGAGTGGGTCTTTCACTCAAATGTCATGCAAGGCTCCGTCCGTAACCTGTAGACGAAACAAACACACAAACAATCGCGCATAGCAATTTAAGAAATACTCCAATACAGTTCAGCCCAACATATCCCTCTCTATCCTGTGTTTCAGAAACCAACACATAGACGCAATCACGACGTTCATGTCTCACACTCCGCCAATAGCACAGCCTTCTCACATGCAACTTGATTGCCTGTTTCCCACCACCTCGATGGAGCGCCCACCAAGCCCGACCTTCCAAAGACAGAACTTGCACCAGACCATACATTTCAACGCATTGAATCAAATCAAATCAAAGCACTTACTAGCCAGTAGTAACTCTCTCTATTTTCCTCCACAAAAGGTGTGCAGTGGTTATATGAGCATTGCAAGCACATTTACCCCAAGGCTCTTCTACCCTACTCTCCTCTCCTCTAACCTGCACTAGATTCCTGCTGAACCTTCCTAGCTAAGTAACATAATACACACCCCACCACCCCATGACTCTCAAAAGGCCCAAGTCGTCCAAGACACAGCAGCTCAACCCAATACCTACCTCTTCCCCTCCCAAGCACTCAACCTCCCCATCCGAATACCACAGACAGTGTGTGCTATGATATAAAACCAAACAACGCGATAGCAGTAGGCATCTAGTTTCCACTCAAAAGGAATGCGAACTTGAAGACAGAAAGGAAGAAAGGGAAAATATCTACATTGTTGTCGTTCTTGCTTCTTCCAGGCGTTTTGAACAAACGACACCGACGCTGATGAGGAGGATGTTTATCTCCTTTTCCTCCCACATCACCTCACACCTTCCACCCCCTCCTAATACACGTACAGAAAAGCAATTCATCGACTATCCAGGATTTTCACTGTATAGAGTATGTGCATAACTACACTTTAACCCCGCTCCCCTTACCTCGCTTTACCTCTGCGTGTCTCAAAGAAGGCGTAAGCAAAGATATATATGTATGTAAAGACTGATAAGTTAGGTAGCGTGCCTGTAGAAGAACGAGAAGGAAGAGAATGGAAGACAATTGATAGATCAAGTCAGGCGTATACAAGTCTTGCTTCCTGCACATAGGTTTCCAAAAAGTGTCCATGTAGCTGTTTGGAAAATTTTCCTGTAGCCTGAATTCTCAGTGTTTTCGACCAAGCACGGCCGGCGACTGCGGCAACTCGTAAGCATACAAGCACATCGCAAAAGATGTAAATATGAGTAGAGTATATGTGTATATGAGTATAACGTAACATTATCATTAGCGCATAAAACCATCCAACCCAACAGCAAAAGCCAGCGCCTGCCAACCACAGAACGCTCGCGAGTAGGGTATCGAGGAAAAGCAAATCCAAGCCGAGAGCAATAAACCGTATGTGTTCCATCCAATCTTGTGCCCAAAAGAAGGCACGGAATCATTCATCATGTAAGGAAAAAAAAGATAGGAATACAGGAAAAGGAAATATAAGAGCAAGGCAAACGTTAGGACCCCGGGTATTGTCGTCATCCTCCTCATCATGTGTGCTCCAGGATCTGCGCTGGCGTAGAATCGCGCTGTACGCCTATGCTACCGCTGCCTTGAGGACCAGATTTTTGGCAAGAGAACTGGACATTACATCTCCTCAAGGACACGCGTGTTGACTGCTTGTTGGATCGGATCAACATGTTGCGTAGACGATCCCTCCTCGACCACTGCCCTAGCTAGATCAAGATTGCCTGAAGTGGCTGGCCCTGGCATGAAAATGATCTTCGAGTTGCCGGATTTGGCCATCGCCTGCATCGCCTCAAGATATCTGATCTGCATTGCAGGGCCAGACGCGAGGACATCCGCCGCGGCCCTCATCAAGCGCGCTGATTCAACCTCTGCGCGGGCGGCGATGATCTTTGCTTCACCGGTTCGCTTGGACTGGGCGGCCATGGAGAGTGAATCTTGCAACTCCTGGCTGAAAATGAGGTCCTTGACGAGCATGGACTCGACCTCGACACCCCAGCCAAGAGCAGTCTCCTCGACAATCTCGCGGATTGATGCGGCAATCTCCTCACGGCGCTCGATGACGTCTTGAAGGACTCTTGCGCCAACAACGTGGCGGAGCGTCGTCTGCGTACGCTCAACAAGTGCTTGACGGACGTTACTGATGCTGAACGCCGCCTTGTGTGGCGAAGTGATGCGGTAGTAGATGACCGAGTTGAGCTGCAATGAGACGTTGTCCTTGGTCATGCAGACTTGCTTGGGCACCTCGACGATCTGGATCTTAACGTCGACCTGCACCAGCTGCTCGGAGAGCGGGTTGATGTAGACGAGACCTGGGTCGACGGCGCGCGCAAAGCGGCCGAACTTGGTGACCAGACCGACATTGCCCTGGTTCACGGGCTTGTAGGGGTTGGGGCAGACGACACAGCATGGAATGGCCCCGAGAGTACCGATTATGCCTCCCAGTGTGTTGATCTGTGGTGCTGTTAGATGTGGCGATATATGTATATCTTGACGTCAAGAGCTCACCATTCCACCATACCAGCCGTGCGTGTCCGCATCAGCATCATCTGCTTCGATGACCTTTGCATATGAGGGCTGCAAGTCCTCACGACGAGGTGGTTGGACTTTGACGAGCGGTTCATTGAGGCGAGCTGGTCCAGAGCCATTGACGGGTGCCTTGCCGTTGATATCGCTCATAGTTGCTGTGTTGCTTGGGTTGTTATGAAGGATGGGTCGCGTAGAAGAGGCGATTGATTCTGCTATGATGGTGTTTCGTTTGGAATCGTGAGTGTGGATAGAATTCATGATTTAGCTTTGTCGAAGGCACCGAGTGTTTATATGTTCGACGACGAGTAGTTGCGGGGAAGCTAGTCGTTACCCTGCGCCTGATGCATGGCGCTTGGACCATGGCCCCGCCCGCCCTGCTCGGGGCTGTGTTCCATCACGTTCGAGCATCAACGCAGTCACCACGGTGAGAGCTTTTGGCATCGCGTTCCAGTCGAAAGTCGCGCATGAAGAATACAGAGCATGTTCGCGCAAGTCGCCTCTCTCTCTCACTCGCCCCAGCCACCATGACCCAAATCCCTCATCAAAATTTTCTCAAAACTCACAATCAAACATCTCATCATATTACCTCTGCATCTCTCACGCCACGCCGATCTGCACAGCAAACCACGAAAAGGCCTCCCGCCCGCAGCCCACAGGTCGGCTAGCACGGGACTTTTGCCCTTCACGCATCCCTCACTGGTGCAAGCCCTACCTTGTGACGTATCGACTTTCTCTTATCGAGGCAGATTCGGTCGCCTACCACACACATACCGTCCTTACTGCCGCGCTTCTGAGCGTCACGCGCCGTGCACATCCTGGCATTTTGTTCAAAGATCGAGGGCAGCCCTAAGTGAGATGTGGCGAGGAGAGCGCGGAGACGAGAAAAGATGCGGCACGGACATTAAACCTTGAGGCCTAATCGGCGGCTGAAGTCTAGCGACAATGCTCGCCTCATCGCATGTACAGTATTAGAATGGTAAGATCCGATGCCGAATCCTTCCTACGATGCTGGTAAACAAATTAAATATATGCAAGATGATGTCTCCCTGCCAAAAAGAGCATTAAAAATCTCCTCCCAACCTTGTAACTCCCAAGTCCTCTCCTCTCGTACAGTTGTCAAGCGTCCTCCTCGTATTCCGCGCATCCACGGCACACTACCGGTGAGCTTCGTGATCAACGATCAACGATCAACGAACAATTGCACTGCCCCTCAGGCCTTCACTTGGCTAATGCCTCAGTACCTTTAACCATATGCGCCAGGCATCGCAGTCATGGCTATCCCCAACGCCCGAGTCAGCAAGAGAGAATAGTGTCAAGCGGCGCGGTCATGCTACTGGTTCTGAGCATCTTACCACGCCGCATATAGCCGCGCACAAACGCCTTTTTGCGACTCTGCCACGATATGGCTTGGTAAGGTTGACCGCGAGTCTTCCAGAAGCTTGGAAGCTTGGAAGCTGGCAGGGGTAGATACACGCCCTGAAGTGATGGGCAGCGGTTAACCAACACCCACATGGGTATTAACCACCACTCACATAAGTATTAATCACCGCCCTCATAAGTCATTCTTTTCTATACCCACAAACTTATTAATTTTGGGCCAATTTTGAATTTTTGAAACCTAGAATCATTGAAGACTCATTGATACAGACTATCTATCGCAGAAGATTAACACCTTTCCACCCAGGTATAGGTAGAAAATGGGAGGAGAACGATGTGTTTCTGAACTGGAGAAGGGATACTAAGGGACTGTATACTTGTTCAGGAAGTAGTTCTTTCTTAGCACGTTCTCGTTTCGCTGAAACAGCTACCAGAAAGTCTTGAGTAGATGGTGGTTAACCGCTGCCGAAGTGGTGGAGTTGGACTCGACACTCACTTGAAAAACTGTCGACACAATCAATGATTCTTGCTCACACAGCTCGCCTGATGTACAAAGTAGATTCGAAAAACCAGTAGATCAATGATATATATGTACATCCACAGCCATCCCAGTATCCAAATAAAGCCAACGCCAGTAGCAAAACCACCCACCCACCACATGCACACATCCAACCCCCCCACCCCATCTACTTGAGTATGCTATTCGCATTCCTCCTATCCTTCTTAAGCGGCGAAAACGCAAAGCCCTCATCACTCAGCATATTAAACCCGCCAGAAATCGGTCTCTGCCCCGCCTTGCCCAGCACACTCTTACCCAACGCCCTGGCAGCATACAAGCCCTTACTACTCCCCACAGGCTTCAGCGGCGCAGCATCCTCCACATCTTCATCATCGAACAGCGTCTTACCCGCGTTAGGGCCAAGCTTGCGCTTCTTTTTCTTCTCTGCGACGGGCTCCTCGGTGAAGTTTGCGAATGACATGAGGGATTTGCGGGGCTTGATCTTTGGCGCCGTGGTCTTGGATTTCGTGGACGGGCCATCGTCGGCGTCTTTGAGCGGGATGGTCTTGGGCGCGTTGTCGGAGCTGGGTTTGGGATCGGGGTGGGAGGTCTCAGATGCTTCTTCAGCGACGATGTCGAGGGATGGCGCGGCTGCCTTCTTGCGCGGCTTCGCGTTGGCTTTGTCCGAGGATGATGGCGCAAGTGCTTTCACTTTAGGCTGGATAGTCTTCGTAAGGACTTTCTTGGGTGGTGCGGTGGGAGTCGGTGCGGGTTGAATCGACACGTCTTGGTCCTCCTCCTCTTCTTCAACGATAGGACTCGCAGGTGCTGCGTTGGCAGTGCGGTTCAGGAAGGGCGTCAACGAAAAGGTAGATGTGTCTCCGACGGCAGACACGGAGGTCGCGCGTTTCATTTTCTTCGCCGCAAAGCTTTCTCCAGGAGTTCCTAGGTACGTCTCCGGTTCGGCAGTAGCAGCCACTCGTTTGCGAGGGTTCTTCGGAGGCTTCATGCTTCCGCCTGCTGTGGCTTTGACGGGTGGTGCAGTTTGCGCCCTGTCCGTTTTCTCAAGCTGAGCTTCTTTCTCCTTGAGCTTCTCCTTTGTCGAACGCAGTTTCTCCCGGAATGCGCTCAACTTGTCGTCGAGGATAGTGTTGCGGCCCTGCAGTTCAGCCAACGTTTTGGTATATTCCTTCTCCTGCTTCTTGCGTTCGCGCTTCTCCTCTTCCAGTTCCTTCCTGAACTGATCAGCCTGAGTATCGTCCGGCTGAGTGCTCTTCTTGAATGTCTTCTCCGCCTTCTGACGCTCGCGCCTCTCTTCCTCGAGCTCCTGTCGAAGCTGTTCGATTTCCGCATTGTGGTCGTTGGTCTTCTTGCCAGCCTTCTCTGCTTTCTGTCGTGCGATCTTTTCTTGTTCCAGCTCTTGTCGCAGTTCCTCGAGTTCAGCCTCATGGGCCTCGTCCCGCTTGCTTGCCTTGCCGCCTTCTCTTTTAGAGAGCTTTTCCATCTTGGCTTGCAGTTGTTCCGTTACTTGCTGTTGAGATTCCAGGTCGGCTTGCACCTTCTCCATCGCCTGTTCAGCTTTTGAGAGCGATGATTCAGTCTTCAGGCGATCCTTCTTCTCCTTTGCAAGCTCTTTGCGCACTTCCTCCAGCTCAGCGCGAAGTTCGTCATCCTGCTCCATCTTCCTTCCCTGCTTCGCCGTGGCACGGGCGGCTGTTCGCTTCTCGTTTTCGAGTTCGACTTGTAGTGTCGACATCTGGCGCTGTAACAATAATTTCTCGGCCAGTAGTCCCTGATTCGATTCGACCTGTGCGCGTAGGTGTTCGACTTCAGGGCGTAAAGATGAAAGTTCGCGGGAGAATGCGAGCTTCTGCGAAAGTATCTTGTCTGAATCGGTGGTGGCGTTCTCCAGAGCCTTGAGTTCGGCCTGTGCGCGTCAGCTCCACATCCATTCGCGCAAAGATAGATGCACCTACCTTGAGGTTTGCTACTTCTCGTGCCTGTGTCCTGATCTGGTTGCGCGCCGCCTCGCCCTCAGCTTTGTGTTCGTCGAGCTGCGTAAGGGCTTCGTCGAGCGCGTTCTCCAACTCGTCCGAACGGGTCTGTTCTTCTTCAAGCTGTTCGTGCAGGTCGCTGTTGTCGTCGTGCAGGAGGCACTTGCTCACTCGCAGCTTCCGTAGTTCCTCGTCCTTGGCAACAATCTCGACTGAATGCCTACTTCGCTCGAGGTTGAGTTCGAGACTGGCGGTGCGCAACGAGTGTCGGAGCTGGAGTCGGGGGTCAGTGGGTGGTGCAAGCGCAGAGTGCGTGAGGAGAGCCAAGACTAGTTCGGACTTCGGACGTCACGCGCAATTGCACTCACATCCTTGATCTCGTAGTCGATGTCTATGTCAGAGTCCAAGACGGCGACCATGGCTTAAATGTACTGTTGAATGATGCGTAAGAGCTGTAGGTTGTAGGTGATGGGGCGCGTGTTCGGGGGACGCGAAGTAAACAAAACACCGGGAGTGCGTTGCCAAGACAATCCGCGACTTTCAAGAAGATACACATTTCAAAGTTACCTAGCCATAAATAAGTAATTACATCAGATAGGCCCTCATACCGGCTTATTAATTCCCTACCGTTTAGGACCGCATCAACACGTTCATCGCTCACTGCATTTGCCCGTCGGGATCCCTGCCACTTTAGCGCATTACGCACCCCCGACCTCCGAACGTCAAGGACACGAAGCATCAAGGCCAGCACCCACCAGAGCTCCCCACGCCCACGAGAAAGCTTCACTCCGACACAATGCGGTGGTTACAGGTCCTCACCGCTTCGCTGCTGCCCTTCACGGCCCTTGCAGCCAAGAAATCCACCGGCGACCGCTTCAGCGACTTCCGCACCAAGTCCCTCTCCGCCGGCCAGCCGCCCAAGCTCGATGATGCAAGTTACGCGCAACTGACCAAGGCACCCCGCGACTACTCGGTTGCGGTGCTGCTCACGGCCCTCGATGCGCGATTCAATTGCATGCTGTGCAGGGACTTTCAGCCAGAGTGGCTGCTGCTGGGCAAGAGCTGGGTGAAGGGCGACAAGAATGGGCAGAGCAGGCTGGTCTTTGGCACTCTGGACTTTGTGGACGGAAAGAACACTTTCCAGTCGGTATGGAAGATGCCATAGTCTCGAGCAGCGGACATGTGCGCTGACACGCTTCAACAGATGCAACTCCAAACTGCCCCAGTCCTGCTCTACTTCCACCCCACGGTTGGCCCCAACGCGAAGGCCGACGCGCAGCCCGTCCGCTTCGACTTCACAGCCGGGTAAGCACAGCTCGCCCTAAGCAACATAGACACCACCTAACACACAGCAGCCCCCAATCCGCAGAACAGGTCCATGCCTGGATCTCGCGCCAGGTCCCCGGCGACGTCCCCAAGCCCTCCATCTCCCGCCCCATCAACTACGTCAAGCTTATCTCCGTCACCACCGCCGTCCTGGGCGGCATCACGGTCCTCGCAGTCGCCTCGCCCTACATCATCCCCATTCTTCAGAACCGCAACCTCTGGGCTGCAGTCAGTCTGATCACCGTGCTGCTCTTCACCAGCGGACACATGTTCAACCACATCAGGAAGACGCCATACGTGTCAGGCGACGGCAAGGGTGGCATCAGCTACTTTGCCGGTGGCTTCAGCAACCAGTTTGGTCTCGAGTCGCAGATCATTGCTGCAATCTGTACGTCACCATGCCGTTTCAAAATGCAACATCTGCTAACCGATTTGATAGACGGCGTTCTTGCCTTTGCAACAATCTCCCTCGCCCTCAAGGTCCCTCGTATCGCCGACGCAAAGACCCAGCAGTTTGCCGTCTTCCTCTGGAGCGCCGTGCTGCTCTGCATGTACAGCTTCCTGCTCAGCGTCTTCCGCACCAAGAACGGCGGTTACCAGTTCTGGCTGCCTCCGTTCTAGTTGGATCGAGCATCGAACAGGTAACTCGAAAGGCCGCGTTGGGGCGATGTGGGGATGCTGTGGACGTATACACGTCGAAGATGGAGGACCTTGAAGTACGCGATTCTAGTGATATTCCAAAAGCTTTGGGCTGTGTTGTACTATAAAGCTGTTGGAAATTTGTAGGGGTTACGATTTCCTCAGTGGGGCGTTGCAGGGTGGGATAGGAATGAACAAAAGTATCAACCATGAAAGGATCTCTTCAGGCTTTTGAGACAGATATTGCAGATGTTATATTCATTGAGACATTATGTTGCTATCTGAACTACAATTTGAGGTATCATGTACTGCGTGCTGGCGATCGAGAACCGAAATCCATATCATTGCAAAACGCCCTTTTGTCCCATTGTTCCCAAGCAAGGAAATCTCGATATTCGAAACAAACTCGTCCCTCAAAGCATCATGGTGTGCAGGTCGAACACGTCGTTCCTCCAGCCACCCTCGTCCCAGTCATCGATTCTCTCCGAAGCGCGAGCGCCCTCCTCTTCCCAGAGCTTGACCACACTACCAGGCGCATACTTGCCCTTGAAGACACCCTTGCCCGGCTCCGCAACACCGACCCTCGTGTACAGATCAGGGTCATCCTCAGGCGTCAGGCGAGTCATGATGGCCTTGAAGAACGTCTTGAGATCATCAGGATCAGAGATCCTAGTAGCTCGTAGCCTCTCCCGTGCGAAGAGTAATTCACGGTTGGCGGCATGAATACCATCTGCGATAGCCGTCGCCAACTGCTTCTCCATGACCTTGCGGATGATGGGGCGAAGTAGGGGCTTGAGCAACCATCCAAAGAGACTGAACTTCGATTTACGCAGAGTGTAGGAGAGCTTGTGGATGTGCACGCGGACATCGCGCAGGGTGAGAATCTGCTCCTGGCGCTCCTTTGCGATCTCGACGTCGAGATGGATGTCGATACCGCGTTCGTCGAGTTGAATGGACGCAATACCTTCATCTGCGAGGCGTAGAAGGCCCTTGTGTGCGCGCATGAGGAAACCGATCTCGTCGGCGCGGAACGAAAGCCCGTCAATCTTGATGGTGAATTTCGATGTCACCTTGGACGCGACACGGAAACGAGCCTTGCGGAGTTCAAAGTCGTTGTACGTCTCTACCTTGAAGCGGAAGGGAAGGAACGACGTGTGGTTCACAGTCTTTCCGGGCTCGAAGATGAGATTCTCAAGAAGAATGTCAATCTCAGGAGTCGAGATTTCCAGGCGGGGGATCGGAATGTATTGGATCATCTGGATTCCGAGGGGAACGAAGACGTTGATGGCATCTTGGATCAGCTCGCTGTTGGCATAAGCGTATCGGGGAGAAAGGATGGTCCAGAGATTCAAAGACGTCTTGATGAGTTTCGCAATATCCTGATCGTGCATCACAGCAACAAAAGTCTTTTGAGCTTGTCCGAAAAACTCGTCAACATCTTTGCGGAGTGAAGAATCGGTACCTACGCCACGAGACTTCTTGCGGAGCTCTTGGAACTTCTCGTCTACATGGTCGAGGAAGTCGGGGTCAGTCAACAGCTTCTGAAGCGAGTTGCCAATATCGGTGAGGAGATCCTCAAATTCAGGGTCCTTCCTCGAGTGCTCCAGGACTTTGTGGAAGGAAGTTTCGAGTTTCTTCCATTCCCCGTTGTCACCGAAAGAGCTCAAGAATGTCCAAAAGTTCTTGGCTGCCCTGTCCATAGCTGGGTTCGTGTCAACGTCTTCCTGAACAGTGGTGATGGCGTCCTCTGCCATGCGAGAGTAGGCTTTGGCATATCGTTGAAGGAGCAAGGCCAGCGTCGAAACAGAGTCGGAGTAGTCCCGCTTCTGCCTCAAGTTCGTGACCGTCTTCTTCAACCGGAACAGCAAAGAGTCGCCCTCTGCTCCGGTCAGCTTATCCTCCAGACTGTGCTCCGCCTCTTTGAGCACCTGGACCGTGCCCGAACCAACAACCTGAGCAACTTCAGCGACGTCGCCATTGAGGTCTCCGGCAGATGGTGTAACGATGCTGGCATCCGCACCCGGCTCCTTCAATGCTACTTGTGTTGCTTCTGAAGGTTCAATTTGCTCTCCAGCTTTCTTTGCCACTTCTGATAGCGTGAAAGCAGAGTCTTTGAAAACTTCGCGGCCGATGACGTTTAGGTCACCCAGAAAGACGCGGAAATCTGAGTTTGTGAGTAGTAAAGATCCCACGGTCTGCAGGCTTGAGTAGGCTTCTCACGTGTCAGCGATGCTTTTTCCCACACGTGGGAGTCAACTGACCTGCGGTTGCGTCTGCCTTTGCCTTTGACCGGACTGTGCGACGTGCAATGTCCTCCACGTCTACTGAGACCCTTGACTTGGACAAGTACCAAAGGAAATCCTGAATCTGGTCTTCGCTGTTCTTGTGCTGCAGAAGATCGATGAATTGGTGGAGCCACTGCTTTGTGAACTTCACGAGCAAACGCCCAGAGTCGCTCAGATCGGAGTTCTCGGGATTGAGGATGTCTGCGGCCAGCAAGCTCCGTAGATTGATGGTAGCTTGCTCATTGGAGGGCATGAAACCTTTGCCCAGCGCACGTATCATCTGGTACGAATGCAGCTTTTGGTGGACCTCCCTCTGTTTCACGTGTCAGCAGGAGCTCAATCAATCGCTCTGCGCGTGATGTAGTACCTGCAGGACCGTATCATCGCGATACTGGGGGAGCAGCGGTTGATGATCATCATCGCTTTTGCGGAAACCGAAGCAGGAAGACATCTCGACGGTCGTGTGGTAGTGTAGAAGTGCGGCTCAGGTGCGGAGTCCTAGATAAACAACCTATGGATTTCGAGACGCGTGCTCATTATGACGATCAGTCGGACGTCATAGGCCAAGCCAAGCCACAAGTAAGAAACATCGTTTGCCCTGTTCGACCCAGTTCTTGAAACTGTTGACAGTTCGCAACAGAATCGGGACGCGTGCATGGCTTTCGACGTCTGTCGCTTATGCTTTTACTTCATCTTCACAAGCCTCCGCCTTGGAGACTCTGGCGCTCTCCACAACTTCTCGATCATTGTCGCAAAATGGAACCGGTGGAGATTCCAGGCCAAACAATTGGAAGGATGCTCCCTCCCGAGAAGACCAAATGCTTGTCTTGGTCAAATCTAGAGTTCCCCACACCCGCGAGGCGATCAGCGTCGGGTCGAACCGCCCCTGCACAAGCAAAGTGCACATCTTGACAGACTCGCTCGGCCTCTGCTGCAAGTCGATCGATTAGGATGGGCCGGGAACAGAGCTTCGGAACGCGCATCTCGGCGTTAACGGCGCATCCTGCATTACGTGATTGATGATTGATGCTCAATATTGCCTACGCATCTAAGCCCCGTTTCCCGGCATAGTGCCGCGAAAAGGACTCAATGCACGTCCCGACGTCTGCTTGTCAGCGTACGACCACACCGCATGCACTTTGATGGGTCCAAAATTTACTTCCGATGCTGGATGATCTCCGCTTATCAGTCGGACATCGTTTGATGTCTGCATGAGCAACACGATTGGCGACGATAGACGTTGAACGCTCCAGTTCTCGTCACGCGTCCATGCAAGCCTCCGGCTAAACGTCTTTGAAAAGACTCTGCATCCACCTTCTAGACTCCTAGTTATTAAAGAGCATTGTTCTCGCTTAGGTAAAGTCGGGAGGTTGCTGAGTCGTTGCAGACTGTACTCCGACCTCTTCCGAACGAACGTGTGGCCAAATTCGTACTAACGACATAAACTCACGTGCGTTCTCATCATCCAATCTTCAATCGCCGCGGTGTACGAAACGTCCAATGCAACTTCGTCGGCTCTTAAAAGCCTCATTCCCCTCGTTGGGCCGCCAAACACGTTTTCCTTCCCGTTATCCTCATTTCACCAGATCGTTGGCTTCCGTAGCAAACGAAACAAATATGTCTCTAGCAACTCGCCCAGAACTGCCTCGTCAATTGAGCACCACGTACGTTGCCCTACTCTTTCTAAGACAACACAGGAACTAAACCAGATCGCAGGAGCGGTGATTATGATTCATCCAACACGACAAGTGTGCGCAGACATCTCAAGACTTACGGTCTCACCCCGCCTGCCGTTGAGAGCTTCGAGGTGCAGACTCAACGATGTCAGTCTTCTGCAGCATCTTGCGGTGTGCACTTACTGACTACTTCGCAGGCATCAGGCTCCTGGCTATGAAGATGACCCCAATCGAGAAGTTCCAGTACCTTGTCCACCTCAAGGCCACCAACTGCCACCTCTTCTACAGACTGTTGTCGGAGAACATCAAGGTACAAAAAGTCTTTCAAGCGTTAGAAAAGTGCTTGGCTGACAGATGCATAGGAATTGACACCCCTCATCTACACCCCGACCGTCGGTGAGGCCTGCGTACGATGGCACGAAATCTGGACACAACCCGAGGGCATGTACATATCCTACAGCGACCGTGGCCATATCCGCCAGGTCCTCGACAACTGGCCCCACGATGTGGAGATCACCGTCCTCACAGACGGCTCCCGTATTTTGGGACTGGGAGATCTGGGTGTGAATGGCATGGGTATCCCCGTGGGCAAGCTGTCTCTCTACACTGCCTGCGCTGGTATCAAGCCAGATGCTACTCTGCCTCTCTGCCTTGACCTGGGAACAAACAACGAGGCTCTGCGAGAGGATCCCTTGTACATGGGCTCCAGGGTCCCCAAGGTGTCCGCCGAGGAAGAGAAGGAGTTCCTCGACGAGCTCATGGACGCCCTCACTGACAAGTGGCCAAAGTAAGTACCTCGCAAGTTCTAGCCATTCGGGAAACTGATCGTGTGACAGCATCGTTATCCAGTTCGAGGATTTCAAGAACCCTTTCCCTGCCCTGCAACGCTACCAGCACAAATACAGCATGTTCAACGACGACGTGCAAGGCACCGGCGCGGTCATTGTTGGTGGTTTCATCAACGCCGTCAAGGCATCTGGTGTGCCTGTAAAGGACCACAAGGCCATCTTCCTCGGTGCCGGCAGTGCTGGTGTTGGTGTCGCTAGGCAAATTGTCGAATTCTTCATCAAGGAGGGTTTGACAGAAGAAGAGGCTCGTCGCAAGTTCTGGTTCGTCGACTCGCAAGGTCTTGTTACCAAGGACCGTGGCGACAAGCTCGCCGACCACAAGGTGTACTTTGCTCGCGATGATAACAACGGTCGCCAATATCAGTCCCTTGCCCGCCTAATCGACTTTGTCAAGCCTACGATCCTTATGGGATTGTCGACAATTGGTGGAGCGTTCAACAAGGAAATTCTTCAGAAGATGGCCAAGCTGAACGACAGGCCTATCGTCTTCCCCCTCTCCAACCCCTCCAGCAAGTCTGAGTGCACATTCGAGGAGGCGGTCCGCCACACTGATGGCCGCTGCCTTTTCGCCTCAGGTTCTCCATTCCCGTCGATGGAGTGGAACGGCAAGAATCTCACACCCGGTCAAGGTACGTTTGGCTCATAATAAACACACCTTTTTTTGCATGTGACTAACAACATGTCAGGAAACAACATGTATGTCTTCCCGGGTATTGGACTCGGTGCTATCTTGTCCAAGACCAAAACCATTACACAAGACATGATCTACGCATCGGCAGAATCACTTTCAACTGCCCTCAATGAGCAGGAAGTCGCCGATGGTTGGATATACCCCGATATCCGCCGCATTCGTGAAGTATCCGTCACAGTCACGCGCGGTGTTATCCGCACCGCTCAGAAGAACGGCGTTGACCGTGCAACCGAGCTACGAGATCTCGATGATGAGCAGCTCGACGCTTACATCAAGAAGAGCATGTACGACCCGTTCAACGAGCGCGCAAACGGCGAAGATGAGGGCGCCGATCTCGTCGCGTCTGGCTCAAACTCAGACCTCAACGACGTCACAAGCGGTGTATCTCACTTGTAATGATTACTTCTTCCATCTTTGGCGTCATGGGTTACGGCCTGGGTCTCTGCATTGTTTCACGATCAAAAAGTTTAGACTTGGCTCCGGGATACGGAAAACTGCTCCTCGAGCGTAGATAGCTTCGATACCCTGATACATATCCTCCATTACAAAATACAACTGTAATGTCTGTCCACAACTATATTCTCCAAGTAGCTGAGAAGGATTACGTGACCAATTCAGCCTACGTGAGACTTCTCGCGCATTTTGCAACTTCTTGTGCTTTTTATTCTCCCACTCCGTACTCAATCACACAACCAAGGTTTTACTCGCGCACAAGATAACCCCTACCTTCTTCCTCTCTCCAACCGCTCCAATAGTCCGAACCCCATAGTCGTTGACTCATCATCGATCGGGTTGGATTCGCGATCGGGCTCCTTCCCCAACTACCCCACATACAACTACATCTACATATGCAGGTCCCACTCAACGGCTCCACGCGTGGTTACCCCCGAACCCACCCGACCACGCCTTCACATGCATGTGTAGCGGGTTGGCTGCATGCTGGAACTGCACGCGACCTAACTAGTGTGGTGTATTGGGCGTGTTCACGGAGGAGAGTCCGTTGGACCGAGGCTTCATGAGAGTGTGGATGTTCGATGCGCCGATGCCGGAGGGTTGGGTAGGTGTAGCAGATGGTGAGTATCGTGCGTGCTGTAGTGGTTGTTTGATGCGTGGTATGGATGGTTTTGGAGGGTTGTGTGTTGGGGTGTGCTTTTATCGTGTTGTGGACGGGGTGTACGTTGGGTTGTGGTAGAGTTGTCTGGTGTTGGCAGGATGTTTCTCGCATAGAAAACACTGACTTTTCAGAGATGGTCCCCCGGGCGCGAGCAACTTTTCTTCGAGTGTCATGGCTGAACCGTCGGATATATTGTCTGTGTGATGGATATCTGGACTAGAGGGGCTAACCGTTTTGATGCTGTGAGTGGCTGAAGTGGGAACTGTTTCCTCCTTTTGAGATGGCTTCACATATCACGGCTTTATGCCACGGTCAAAATGCCAGGGGAACATCAAAGCTGCCAGTTCCAACACAACCTGTCACATCGCGTAGGACGTTTCTCGAGCGAATCCGACACACATAGTAAGGACTTTTAAATGCGTTTGTTACTTCATTGTATCTTTTCATTCTCAGATTGATGTCCTCAAGATGCTTGGGAATATTGGGCTAGCAGCAAGTTACGAATATGCTGGACAACTTGAGTTTTCACTATGGACTTTCGTTTTGGGGAGAAGATAGTAGCTTGCAGTTTCATCGCAGTGATCTGGTCATGTATTGGAAAACAACCTCACCTTCACCGTATTGCAATCACTTCTCCCAGAGACATCACGGTGAAGGCAAATATAATATCCATACCTTTCGAACCGTATAGCTGAGCTCATTTACCATATATGATCCCCCGCCTTCCAATTATCTCTCATCTTTCTTTACTCCACCCATCTTCTACATTACAAACCAACCGCTCCGCTCCAGCAGCAACATCCCGCATCCAAACCACATCCATCATGTCAGACAACGGCGGCACCAAGACGGCCAAGGCCAGCGTCCGCCAGGGTTGGAATGATAAGGAACTGGTACTCATACACCAACTACACACCACCCATCCACATACTAACTCTCCCCAGCTCGTCTGTCTCCTCAACGTCATCGAGCACTCCGGCGTCGCCCTCGACTTCAAGGTACATCTCAGCCGCTCCCCAAACCGTCGGATTCACACACTAACACGGTACCAGGGCGCCCCATATCCACCGGGTCGCACGGCATCGGGCTTCTCGCAGAAGATCCAGGCGTTGCAGAAGACTCTGAAGCCCGAGTTTGACGCCATGAAAGCCGGCGTGCCGTTCGAAGGCGCTGCTACTGCTGCTTCGACGCCGAAGAAGAATGCTACGCCGCGCAAGCGGAAGGCGAAGGCTGACGAGGGTGGCGATGCTGAGGGTACTCCTGCTAAGAAGCGGGGTCGTGCGAAGAAGGCTGATCTTGTCGTCGAGTCGGAGCTGGAGGTTGAGATGGATATCAAGCCTGAGGTTGTGGATGAGGATGGTGTTGATGATGAGATCTTCTGAGTTGCTGGGAAGCGATGGCTCGGGGTTTGGTTGTGGGGCAATGCTTGTGCAGTCTTGGATGGGGAGGGATTTGGGTGGTGCTGAGCGACGTTCGTTGGTGGATGCACTACACGAATGGGGGGTTATTTGCTTTGATTTCTGGGTTTCTTTGGTGGTGATGCTTCACGTTTGTTCTGGCATATATCCATGGAAGGAGATATTGCAAAGGGCTTGAACCAGACATGAGCATGAATCGAAACAAATGAATTTGTCACAGTTATCTTGATGTTGATCCCACTGTTCACACTCACCCTCACCCTCACCTTCACGCCAAATGATCGGCACCCCGAATCAGACAGAAGGAAACAGTGAAATAAAGACTCTCTCTCGCAATATAAAAACCCACTCCAGCTTCACACCCACCCTTAACCTCCAACCAACTTCCCATCCCCAACCACATCCCAACATCACCCAACAACACCACCCAACAACAATGTCCTCCGCCGCCGAAACCCCCAAAGCCAAAGCAGCCACAGGCTGGACCGACAAAGAGCGCGTACGCACCTCCCCCCCCCCACCCCTCTACACCACACACCACTAACGCCCCCACGCAGCTAACCTACCTCTTCGCCCTCATCGACAACGCGAGCATGAAATTCGACTACGCCGTACAGTCCCCCCCTCCCCTCCAACCCACCCCCGCACTCACACCCCCCTCTAGAACACGCCGCGCCCCCAGGGCCGCTCAGTAATCGCTTGCCAACGCATGGTAGAGCGCCTCAAGGGCACGCTCAAGACGGAGCTTGAGGCGTTGCAGACGGGTCAGCAGATCGAGGGCACGCCGAAGAAGGGCGTTGTGGGGACGGGGACGGGGACGCCGCGGAAGCGTAAAGCCAACTCTAGTGCCGCGGAGGGTGCGAGTCCGGCGAAGCGCGGGCGCAAGAAGAAGAGCGAGGAGGTTGTGCGGGAGGAGGATGAAGAGGATGAGGAGGAGGAAGAGGGTATGGTGAACGTCAAGGTTAAGGATGAAGTTAGGGATGAGGATGAGGTGGAGATGGAGATCTAGGATGCGTTTACCTTGCCTTGCCTTGTCTTGGGGTGATGCGTGGGCTGGCGCGAAACCGGTGCTTGGTGGTTTGTCGGCGTTCTGCTTTGCGGGTTGGGAGTTGGAATTTGTGCATTGGGATTTAACAGAAGAAGGGGGTATCACATGGCGCTGAAGCCATGCCATGCCATGCCATGCTGTAATGAAATCCAATCCATCAGCTATATTGATGTAGACAACTGAGAGAATGACTGACTTCATATCCATGCCTAGCGACACATCACTGACACAGACATGAAAGGCGAAAACCCCCATCACCAAGACACCGCAACACGACGTGAAAAACGTGATAATATTCGAACCACAAAAACAGAAATAAAGAGCTAAAAAGGGTATCTGAGCAACCTTCCACACCAAAAACAAGCGGGCGCAAAATCCAAAATCCACACTGCCACATCGTGCACACTATGTCGTAGCTCGAGGCAAGAAGGACCATTCGCCGGACACATAGTGGCCGTCTCCCCAGAAGGCGGGACAAAGCAGGCGTTGGTGGGCGTTTTTCAAAACCACTAGGGTTTCAGAGACAGGGTTGTCCAGAAGCAGAGCAGACGATTTCGTACATGTCAAGGCCGTTACTCGTCACATCGTTCAGTAGAGTGGCCATCACCACGGCCTCCCCACCAAGTCATCCATCAACAATCCAACCACACAACCCACGCTCACCGCGAGTAGTCAGGCTTCGTAGCTTTATTAACAGTCGGCGGCTCATCCGTATCAGGGTACGGCAACGGGGCCCCCGGCGGGGGTCTCGAGAACGGCGAGCCCGCGGGCGGCGAAGTGCGCGATGCAGAGAACAGCGGCGGCGGCCTCTCCGCATCCTGAAACGGTGTTTTCGGCGGCCTGGGCGGCACGTTTGAGAATCGGTCTTCGAAGCTCAGGCGTGGCGAGCCTTGTGTTGAATCTGGGCGGTGTGTGGAGAATTGCTCGCCCGAGCGGCGTCCGGGGGAAGTGAACTCGCCCGAGTGTCGCGATAGCATGTCGTTCGTAACGGGTTGGGGGAACTCGTCTGAGGAGACGGCGAGGTATTTGTCGCTGTCTGAGGGCCGGCGATGGTCTATGGGCGTCAGGTGGGTTCCGTGGGGTTGGACTGGGTGCTGGGCATGATAGTATTCTGGTGTGATTTCGTCGGCTGGTAGCTCGATGGCCATGGGTGATGGGTCTGGGATTGTGGGAAGAGGCTTGAGCGGTGCCTGGCCGCTGACAAGGGGAGGCTGACCCTTTTCTGCGCGCTCCCACCGTATCTTCGCAAAGTGAATCCGCGCAATCTTCGCGGACGCATCGAGAGTCATGCTTTGCACGTCTTTTTCAGACAGGTACATGCGTGTGTTAGTGCTGATCTCAGACAGGGCATTCCACTCGTTCATTCCAAATTCGCCCACACCGACGTTGACGTTGAGGCGGTAGTAGTGTTCGGGGTTGACATGGCGTTTGGCAAGGTGGTCCTTCATCTCGCGATGCGTTTTTTCGCAGTCTTCAATCTTCTGTATCAGTCGCCGCCTGGCCTCTGCAAAGTCGCCTATGCCGCCCGAGACGAAGCCTTCCCACCAGAGATGTTGTTGGTTATTTGTGCCATCCGGTCGCTTTCCTGTACCAATACTGATGAAGACTCCAACATCACGCCCAGGCCACTCATTGCAGACCGCTTCGTCAAGAGCCATAGGCGCGGGGTTGTATTTTCCCGTGCCCTCGTCGAGGAAGACGGATTGGCCGATCTGGATGGGCTTGAATGCCAAGGCGGTAGCAGACGTGGCACGTCCAGCCTGCCAGATGGTTGCGTTGGGCTCCACGGCAGCCTCTTTGCGAGAATCGTAGGACCGCAGGAGGATCTGACCTGTGCCAGTCTTTTTCGAGCCTTTGTAGACGGCGGTAATGGCGCTGTCGACCGTCAGTAAATCATTTCGCTTGTTCAGGCAATCTACCTACGTCTTTGTGCGCTCTTCGCGATTGTCATACAGCATGGCATGTGGATTTCCCCACTTCATCGCAGCTATGCGCAGATTCACGGGCGTGGTGCCGATCTGGCTGTAGCTGCTCGATGTGCTGGCGCTTCTTTGCATGCGCCCAGCCATTGCGCTGCCAGGCGTCATCGGGGTGCGGACATCCGCTGAGGATCCCATGTGGTTGCTGGTGTCGTTCCCCTCGTCGTCGTAGATGGTGTGTTCCCGCACGCATTCCATGATGGCCTCCTCCAGCTTCGAGGCCTTGAAGAGCGTCGATCGGTAGGGTATGCCGGCGAAAGTCTTGTCCGTCTCGAACACCTTTCTCGTCATGCGGACATAGACGTTCTTACATGTCTCAACGTCCATCCTCAGCCGCCCCAGCATGATGGCAATCAGCCCTCCTGTGCCGGTGCCCGCGATGAGGTCGAAGTGGTCGCATGGTTTGGGTATCTCGTTGCGCTTCGGGGCCCTGCCTTCTGTTTCGACAAACGTCCGGTGCATCAGCTCCTGGAGGATGATGAGCATCGAGTACCCCCGTACGCCTCCACCGTCTGCAGCGCGTGTTAGTACTTGCATGTCGAAGAGGCCATGACATCCTGGCACATACCTAGCGATAGAATGCGCAGCGGCGGCCCCTTGGTTGTGTCCTTCCTGCGCATGATTCCGTTTCCTGCCATGTTTGGTGTTTGTGCTACGCGCCCGGTGTGACTGTGAAGTAGGAGAGTAGGCTCCGCGACGAGCTTAAAATCTAGCCTCGGAAGGCGCCGTGAACAGTCGCGCTTCGTTCGTGTGGTAGCCAGTGACGTGTATAAAAGCAGTATATTGTGATTACGTGGTTACGTAACGCCTTGAGCGAGGTGTAGGTAGCGAAGGTAAGGCAAGGTAAGGCAAGGCGGCTGTAGGTGACTTGGTGTTCTAGGCGTGCGCCTGACGCGCTCAACGAGTCTCGTGTAGAAAGAACTCGCAAGAACGTGGCGGACAAAGAAGCTCACTAATAAACAAACCACGCGACGAATGTATACAGCGAACAAGAACAAGGCGCACGTGGATGGGCAACTTCTTGAGGCTTGCGACTGCTTGGGCATTCACCCATCTTTCAACGTCACCGGCGGGTCGGCCAAGCGCTACCAAGCTGAGCCGAACGGTGCACAGCCACTTGCTATTTCCATCACCTCGACCAACCGCTGGCCCGCTCGCATATGACATCAGGCCACATCCTGGCTCGAAAGGCACCTTGAAGCTGTCAAATATTCCGGCTTTTCCGTTGCGGTTCGTCTCTGCTTCGGTAGATCATCGTGCCTTGCAGCGGCTACGTCCTGGCCCGCTTTGCCTCCGGGTACCTCCCTTCTAGCAGTCCTATGCCCAGCCAATCAATACCGCTGCGTTGTGTTTCGGATAGCCGTGTTTCCAGAAGGCATCGCTCTCTCCGAACAAATGGAATCGTGCGATGGAACATGGCATGGATGAAACTCGGATATGTCTGGTTGTAGACTCGACGTCAGATGAACAACTGAAACAATGCCCAGAAGGTCTTGGTCAAGTCCCGGCCCAGGTTGAGAGAAAGTTGAACTTGCACATGAATTGCTGAGATACTTGTTGTTATTTTGACAGCTCTCCATTCCATAACTTTGCAAATGCAAGTGTCTAAAACGCTAGTTCATCGACAACAGAGTTAGTTCTTGCAGTACGATGTCTTGGAGGGCGCACGTGGGACGACACCTCACGCCAATGTGCAAAAAGGACCCGTCAAACAACCCCCACAATCCACAACCAACCGACTAACCATCACCATGGAGTCCGAAATCGAAAAGATATCGCCATTCTGGCTCATCACAGCCTTCATCTTCATTCCAGTGGGTGTCTACCAGCTGTTGAACTTGCTCAGTCCGTTCGTCAACAACCTCACTGCAATGACGATATCCGAGGTACACCTACCCCACAAAACCACAACACCAACCACCACTGACAGATCCGCAGATATACGTCTACCCGATCAAATCCCTGCGAGGCGTCAAACTCACCGAAGCCGTCGGCACAAAATACGGCTTCAAACATGACCGTATGTCCACCACCAACAGCCAACCCCATGGCCCGTGCCCACCATCTGATAGACTCGCACAGGAACATTCATGCTCCTCGAAGTCACGCCCACGGGGCACAAAAACATGGCCGTCTCCCGCTACCCAGCCATGACGCAATTCCTGACCGAAATCACCGGCCACAACACCACCAGCGGAACAATAACAATCACCTACCGCGCCTACGGCGACGCACAAAAGGCAAAAACGCTCACCATCCCCCTAACCCCCAACACCGAAAAACTACCCCCCTTCGACGTAAAACTCCACGAAAGTAAAGTCACAGCCCTGAAAATGCCAGACGAACACAACGCCTGGTTCTCCTCCTGCTTCGGCTTCGACGTCGTGCTCGTGTACCTCGGCGCGAACAAACGCGCCGTCCTATTCCAAGACATGCAGCCCCGCGACCCCACTCCCCTTTCCCTCTTCATACACAAATACATCCCCCTCGCGTCCCCCTACCTAACCCGCCTCACAGGCGGCCCCCCACAAACAGCACAACACAGCATAACCTTCGCAGACTGCGCGCCCTACCTCATCACCTCCCAGACCTCCCTGGCCGACATATCCTCCCGCCTCCCCCCCGGCTCAGAAATGCAAATGAGTAAATTCCGCCCCAACATCGTGCTCTCAGGCGCGTTTGAGCCGTACGAGGAGGACTACTGGGGCAGTATCCGTATCAACCACGCCGTGGAAATGGTCATGGCGCATAATTGCCCGCGGTGCCAGAGTATTAATATCGATTATGAGACGGGGAAGCAGGGTACGGGGCCGGAGGGGCAGGTGCTGAAGAGGATGCAGCATGATCGCAGGATTGATGCGGGGTCCAAGTGGAGTCCGGTGTTTGGGCGGTATGGGTTTTGGGATGCGCGGGGGAGGGACGTGGTGGTTAGGGTGGGGTATAGGGTGAATGTTACGAAGGTTAATCCGCGGTTGACGGTTTGGAGTGAGTTTTTGGTCCCGTTTCATCGCTTTTCGCTTGGGGGGTTTGCTGACTTTGCGCAGGTTGGGATAACGTGGAGTGAGCGTTGTCTTTGAAAAGGCATATGCAGCACCGCTACCTAGCATCCCATCAGACTCACGGCTCCCGCAACCACGTCACATCAACGCATGGCGTCAGCAAAGTATGCCCAACAACGGGATTGTCTAAACCTCTATATTCTAATAAACTCCCCAATACCACAAAACACCCATCACATACCCCCTCACACCTTCCTCCCAAAAACCCTAAACCGCTTAACCCCACCATCAGGAATAATAACCAGCTTAGCATGCGTATACGCCTTACCCTCCACCTGCTTCAACTCCCCCTTATACACCTGCTCCACATCCGGCTTACCAGGCTGCGGCGCCAGAACCTCTACCCACGCCTGATCCGCATGCGCCGGATCGGTCTCAAACGCGCCAGCAAAGACCTGGATTTTCCCTGGAAAGTTACCACGAAAGTGCGCGGTATCGACAACGACGTGATCGATTTCGCCTTTGGCGCCGAGCTTGACAATAGTCCAGTCGACGTGCTCGCCGCGCGTGCGCTTCGTTTCCCACCCGTCGCCCATGTCGACGCCGCGGCCGGGTAGTAGTAGGTTGTCCTTTGAGCCGAAGTGCTGGTCTGAGCACGACACGGCTACGCCGCCCATGTTCGTGGCGCTGAGCTCGAACACGGCGGATGTATCGGCTGGGAAGACGGGGACGGCGCAGCCGTACAGGCGGAACCGCGCTATGCCGCCATCGGGGTACATGAGCAGGCGGACGTGCGTGTAAGCCTTCTCTGTGATAGTATCGAAGAGCCAGCCGTGGCGCTGGCTGGGGCCGCACTCCTGCTTATCCAGAATCGTCTCCCAGCCCGTGTATGCGGCGGATTTTATCTGCTCCTCCTGTGAAGGTGTGGCGTCAGGGAGAAAGGCGCCCTCGACGGCGATTTCGGGCGCGTGGTTCCCGTTGAAGAAGGTCGTGTCGATTTCTACGCCGGCGATCTTGCCGCTCGCGGTCCCGAGGCGTAGGACGACCCAGTCGGCGGGCTCGGGGTTGTGGCGCCGCGTCTCCCATCCGTCGTACCATGCGCCGCTGTGGACGAAGACGCCGGGTTTTTGGATCGGCGGGCCCGGTGTGATGAGGTTGGAGGCGGCGGCGAACCACTCATCGCTGAATGAGAGGACCTTGGAGCCGAGAGGCGCGGATATGAGGTCTGTGAGGTGTGTTAGCTTGGAGGCGTTGGAGCTGCTGTTCGTGCGGATGGACTGACCCGTGTATTGTGATTTGAAAGTCAGGTCAATTTCCTCTGCGGGGACTGCACGTGCGGACGTCATGTTCAAGTACGTGTTTTGCTATTCACGGGGACTGTTTTTTTGCTGCGGGATATGGGAAAACAAACAAAGGATTGAGTGAGACAATGGCGGGGTATAATTGAAGATAGGTATGGCGGGGTAGGACCCCACATTTCGTATAGTAGAACTTGCATCTCGGAGGCCGCCGAAAGCCTAGAAAAGGCAACAAGAATGTCAAGAATGAGCCGATAACGGCGACGAGAAACCGTCGGGAAATTATGTAAACTGGTATCCAATCGCAGTTGGCGGCGTTGAGGAATTGTGGAAACCCATGTCCTCGCTTGCTATGCAACCAGTGTGAACAGAGTAGAATATGGAGAAAATGCCCGCTCAACAAACCCTGGCGGGGAGAAACGCTGATAGCTTACGAATATGTGGTTGCTTTCTGCGCCCGCGATCTCTTCGATGGATCCAGCAGCTGCATCTTAACCAGAAAAGGCAGGTGGTACCGACGGTCCACCACACGATCCTGACCGTTGAGTGTCAAAGCTCCCGGCTGGAAATCGTACTAGGTCTTGGCCGCACCCAACGTGAATGAAAGGATCTGTAGCTCAGGTAGGTTAGCACAGGCACTACGGCTGGGCAGTGCTCCATCTTCACCCGTAGCTTGGGTCGTTCCACTGCGTGTCCTCGTAATAGTTTCCACCGTTTTTATTGCCGCCGCTAAGATCCAATTTGGCCATGAATTCGGGAGGAACGGTCGGGATGTATTTTCGTTCTCGCTCCTTGTCCACACCGCCAAACCCAGCACCGTAGCTGATGAGCATATCAGTTGAAGTGGGAAGCGAGAACGGCAGCATATACGAGGGATCGAGAAGAAGCTCATCTGGCGGATCGTCCTGATCCTCGTCCTCGGATAGCTGTGGAGGTGCAGGTGAAACTGGGTTTAGAGACGTGAGCTTGCCGGGTGTCGTCGGTGGCTCAAGAGACTTTCGCTGAGGATTAGGCGATCTCCCCCGCGCCGCCTTTCGATCTGCGGCAGCTTTCTGTAGATGTACAATGTACTTTGAGGCGCTTTTTGGAAGCCCCTTCTCTCCTACTTCAGGCCTGTAGTACTTCGCAGCATGCAGAAGCTGTGGAGGAGAGAGGCGCGTCAGCTGCTGGATCGTGCCGACGAGTGACTCCAAATCTTCACCAATCGAGGAGAAACACTGAAGCCATTGTAGCAGTTGTATGAGCGGTTCAACATGGCGCTTTGTGGATTCCACGGTGTTCTCGCCGGTGGAGGTCATGGAGCCGTTCTCAAAATGCTCCGGTTGGCGATTGTTGGATCGTGCCCAGTCCTCAAGAGTCGAAACGTTCATCCGTATCTGCATGGCCTTTGTGCGAGCCAAGTACTTTCGATTTGACATGATGCGATTGAATATCTCTGCAGAGAGCCAGTAGATCAACTGTGACAGCACTTGAGCGGTGATGACAGAATGAACATCGTACAGATCAAGGACGAAAAGCGTCGATGAAAGGAGAGAGGTGAGGTTTCGGGGAGACGGCTGTGCTCTGCGCTTCGGTGATGGAGGACGGAATCGCTTCTCGAGTGGTTCTGGAGGTTTCGCCTTTGGCTTTGAACGGAAGATTTTCCATTCGTGCTGAAACTGTATATCTTCAAACCCAGGCATGGGCTCGTGATCAAGCATGGCCAGGTCCAGGTTCTTGTCCATTCTGCGTTCTGCGTCTCGAATTATGAGGATGAAGATTTCATTGATGAGTTCTGCCATCTGGAGCTGGAACTCAGTCGTCGCTCCCATGAGCTTGATGTCTTTCTTGAGGTAGTGTAGAAGTAGGGTAGCGTTTGACATCCAGAAAGCCAATACTGTCATGTCCCATTGATGCTTCTCTACAATGTCGTTAATTTTCTTCATGGCGGTGACGAGTAGTGTTTCTAATAGATCTGCACTAGCATGGTAGTGTGCATAACGCGCGCTGAGGAACAGGATGTTTGCAGGGACAGGCTTTTGCGAAGGGGAGCGCTGGGGCGTCATGTTTGTTATGATGATATCGAGTATGTGTTCGAGCTCGCTTTCCTGGAAGACGAACATTTGGTCGTTGAGACACTTGTCCCACACAAACTGCTGGGCTTCTTCTGCCTCTTCGGGGGACTAGGCTTGTTAGCAGTGTTTACGAGCAGTGGAGAAGGCACCCACCTCGGGCTGTTCGTCAAGACCAAGATTGCCAATGTCAACCTCTAGGTTGAACGCGCTCTCCATCATCATCCGACGTTTCAACTCGTTCTCCTGCATCTCCTGTTCGAAGCGGTCTTGTGAGAAGCCAGAGCTGTAGAAGTCGTCCCCCACGCCTGCATTGCCGATGGCGTATCCGCTCTCGTGTAGGTAGTCGGATATCTCGCTGTTGGGCTCGACAAAATCGAAGGCTGTTCGTCCTGCGGATGACTTGACGTCGGTTGAGGCTCCGTGGTCCAGTAGAAGCTTGACAATGTCCTTGTGGCGGTTGGTCATGGCCCACATGAGGGGCGTCCAGCGGTTCTTGTCTTGGCTGTCGACTTCTGCGCCTTCTGCGATCAACGCTGCTGCCACGTCCTCATGCCCAAAACAGCTCGCGTAGACCAAGGGAGGTGTGCCCTCGGCGTCGACGCCGTTGATGTCGATGTACTCCCGGGCCCTTCCGTCCAACAAGCGCTTGACTCGCTCGAGCTCACCGTTGGAAGCTGCCAGTGTGAACAGGCCCTGCAGTGCCTCGCGCTTCTCGTCGGGCGAGAGCCTGTCGTCGGCGACGACCTTGGCTTCGTCACCTAGGTTGTCGTTCTTCAGGCGGGCCTGGTGTGCGAGCATCTGCACCAGGCGACTGTCGCTGTCCTCGAGCTGCTGCATGTCTTCGTCGCCAAAGGCCGGGTCCTCGAGGGAGAGGTTGAAGCTCAGCGGGCGGGCAGGCAGGGGCGTGGTGAGGAACTGCGACTGCCCTGTTCACGTGGTTAGCGTCGCACAGCACGGCGCGTTCCTGCCAGGACAGCACTCACCCTGCCATGCATCGTACATCTCCGTCTCGTCGTTCATGACATGCACGGTCCGCCGGTCATCGAGCGAGGTGGGGAGGTCTGCGGGGAGCTGGCGCGGCTTCGGGGCGTCGCCGGGGAAGGCATGGTCGTCGACGGGCGAGTCCATTGTGTGACATTGGGCAGAGTGGCGGTGGTGGTGCTGCTGGCGAGGCTGGCGATGCTGGCTACTGTGGCCGCAAATGCATGGGCCTGGGGTTTGGGGGGATGTCCAGGCACTCCCGGTGGGCGAGGCGGCGGGGCGGGCAATGCGCGTCGAGTGTTGCGACGGCCACTTCTGTTCGAAACTGCTGCTTCCTTCGGGGTTAACACTGCTGTCGACGTTGTCCCGTCAAGACTGCCACTCCAGTCGTGGGGGAGGCTGTTGGTGGACAGGGAATGTCGTCAGGAGCCGTGTCCAATCACCAGTGGTGGGGGCTTCCAACCAAGATTCGGGAAATGCACCAGCACGTCGCAGAGCGGCGCTCGACCCCAGGTCTAGCTCTGGACTGCCGTCGTCGGCGTCATACTCGTGCAATCCTCTGCACCTCCTCCGCCCTCGCCGCCCCGACGTGATTTGGCGACGCGCCATGTCCAGACAGACCACCACGGCCGCCTCGTCGCCCTAGGAACATGTCTTGATGCTCGCAACCTGCTGCCACTAGCGCCATGCCACTCACGTACGGAGAGCCGGGGCAGACGGCGCGCTTTGCCCACATCTTTGCGCGCCTGCTGGAGCTCCAGGACTATGTCTGGGACTCGAACGTCGAGCCCTTCCACTCGGTAGGCGCGCACCGCCCAACCGCCGCCTGCGCCACGCTGACTGCCACACACAGTCCTACGACAACTGGCACTTTTTTGGCCACCAGCGAGCCCGCCTCGAGCGCGTCGCGAGGACCCGCACCTCGCGCTCGCCCGACTCGAGCCGCCCGTCGCTCATCCGCAGCCACAAGTCGACGGGGAGCGATGCGGGCCCTGCCACTGCCCAACTGCCACCACCACCCCCACCCCTTTCCGATACAGACACGCACCGCGAGGGGCGTCCCGTCGTCTGCCGCGTGTCCAAGCACAGCCTGCGTCTCGAGCGCGAGTTCCAGCTGTCCAAGCAGGTCATCAAGAAGTCGGACCCAGAAGCCAGGCATTTTGTCCGCCCCATCGAGTTTGTGAGGCTGGCCACCAAGACGGGAGAGCAGCCCCTCGTGGCCAGCATATTCGAAGCCCCCGGCGAGAACTACCTCAAGGACCTGGTCACGTTTGGGCCCAACTGGTACAACTTCGTCAAGCAAGACAACACCTCGCTTCCTCACTCATTGCAGCCCGCGTGCGGTGTGCCGCTGCTTACTTTTCTAGACTTTGCCGTCGGAGCAACAGAGGCCCTGTCCATCCTGCACCATGGACACCAGATCGTCCACGGCGAGCTCCGTGGCGACGCCTTCCACTTTGCCCAGGACGGCATCGTCAGGATGATCAACTTTGGAAGTGGCGCTAGGTCTTTCGAGAATGGCCTCACCTCCGCAGGCTGGAACGCACTCAGCAGAGAAGTGGGAATCGAGCTCAAGGTCGCCTTCATTGCCCCGGAGCAGACAGGCCGTATGCCTGCAGAGCCCGACAGTCGCACCGACATCTACAGCCTTGGCATCCTTTTCTACACCATGCTCTGCGGCGTCACGCCTTTCGACGGCTCGACGGCCCTCGACGTCATGCAAAACGTGATAAGCAAGCGGATCCCCCACGTATCCACCAGACGCATGGATGTGCCAGAGGCTTTGGGAAATGTTATCCAACGCATGACGCAGAGAAACATCGAGGACAGGTACCACTCGACATCTGGCTTGAAGTTTGACTTGATTCGAATTCGCGAGCTCTTATCCGAAGGGGACTGCGCGGGTCTACAATCTTTCCAAGTTGGCGCCAAAGACATAAACTGCTTCTTCAACCTCCCCTTGAAGCTCATTGGCCGAGAAAAAGAACGCCAGAAGATCGTTGATGCAATTGAGCGTATGACAAGATACCGAAAAGGAGGAGCAAACGTCATGAACAGCCTAAGTTCGAGTTCCACCTACTCTGATCCGCGGCTGGATCTTCACCTTGACGAAGCCACTTCCGATAGCACAAGCTCCAGGGGCTCAGTGGAGCGCTTCAACAGTGTATCCACCACCGGTCCAGTGTTTCTCGATGCGGCACGTCAGCCACGGTCGCAAGAAAGTATAACTCGGTCGGATGGCTCGATGAACGAAGAAAGTCCTGAGACCCGACCACAACTACATCTAATCAGCCGAGGCCATTCAAACAACAGTATCGAAGGCTCTTTGTCCTTCTCACGATCCAATCAATCTAACGAAGGCGCGGCTTTTCGGACAATGTCTAACACTAGAAAACTAAGACGAAAGACTCGCTGCGAAGTGGTCGCAATTGAAGGAAGTACTGGGTTGGGCAAGTCCCGCTTAGTCCGTAGTGTCCAGAGTGCTGCACGAAGTTCTGGCTACTTCGCCGCGGCCAACTTTGATCCTGCTAAAAAGGCCCCCTTTGAACCCATCTTGAAGCTTATGTCTTCTTTGTTTCGACAGATCTTCAGCGAAGCCGATGTTACGACAAGCTTTCACCACAGCTTACGGCACTTTCTCAAGACTACAGGTGTCTGGGCGGTGCTTCGCGGCTATCTAGATCTGCCGGAATGGCTCTTAGATACAGGCGGAGTTCCTAAAACCCCGCAACAACGCGATGGTGGTATGACCAAGGAGCTGCGGCGACGGTCGTCTTCGCCTGCCATTCAATGTGGTGCATCTGGGCATACTGCAGAAGCCTGGCTTCGAAGTGGAGGAGCATCCAAGTCAACCAGATTCATGAACGTTTTCATTGACGTGCTGCGTCTCCTCGCAACCCAGAAACTATGTATCTGGACGTTAGAAGACGTCCAGAATGCTGATTCGGAGAGTGCAGAACTCATACAGCACATCGTCCAAGCCAAGATTCCACTCGTGATCATCTTTACCTACAACAACGAAGACTCGCTACCACGAGAGCTGCGCTCCTTGCTTCATGAAGCATCAAAAATACAGCTATCACCATTCACTGAAGCGCAAACTACAGAATACGTCAGTGAGACGCTCCATCGAGATCAACAATACATCCTTCCTCTTGTTGCCGTCATACAAGAGAAGAGCCGAGGAAATCCGTTCTACATCAGTCAGATCCTAGACACATGCTATCGAAAACAGTGTGTCTACTACTCATGGCGAGAGAACGATTGGCTTTTCGATCTTGACAAGGTTTTTGAGGTCTTCGAGAGTCCTGAATACGGCTCTTCAGTCACCAACGATTTCATCTCAAAGAGATTGCTCGAGTTGCATCCCGCCACTCGTAAACTTCTCGCGTGGGCTTCGTTGCTGGGTAGTGTGTTTTCCTTCGAGTTGGTCAAAACGGCACTCAGCGCAAAGAACGCCCCTGCAAATGCTACCAGGTTACCACTCCTTGGCGAGAACGAGTCCGTAGTGGCAGCACTCAATGGTGCTCTCGAAGCTTTTGTTTTGATGAATGCAGACGAGGAGGCCAGGTTCCGTTTCAGTCACGATAGATACCTCACGGCAGCTGCGAACGCCGTCGAAAAGGAATGGGACACGGAGCTGATGCACTACGTCATTGCGAAGATAATGAGCACAGGTGGCGTTGAGTATACAGACGACACCACCATCGGCTCGAAAGCTCTATACATGCGTAGCCGCCATATATGTCTCGCCGCCGAGCTAATCAAAGCGAAGGATTCGCATCGCGCCCCTTTTCGAGATGTCCTCTACCAGGCTGGAGAGACGGCTTGCGAGTCTGGTGCTAGATCGACAGGGATCTATTATTTTGCTCATTGTCTCATGCTCCTCCAAGACGATCCATGGGATGACACGAAGCCTGATGTCTCTTACCAAGAAACACTACAACTCTTTGTACGGTCGGCCGAGTGCTATTGGCACCAAGGCATGCTCGATGAGGCGCTTAGCTTAATCCAGACCACCTTCAAACATGCCCGTGATCCTTGCGATATGGCAAGCTCGTTCGTCTTACAGTCGCGTGTACTTACTGTCCGCGGAGACAGCTTTGGAGCGTTCCAGGCACTTAGAGATTGCCTGTCTTTGCTCGGATGCACAATCTTGCCAACAACGTGGGACGAGTGTGATGCCGACTATCAGAAGATTTGTGTAGTTCTGCAGAGCACTGATAAAGACGCCTTGCTCACTCGCCGACCATCGGTAGACGACCGTATCTATTTTGCCATGGGCCCGATATTCATTGAGCTCCTCAGTGCTGCCTTTTGGTCAGACAGTTTGCTATTCTACCAGGCCACACTTAAGCTGATCAACCTTCATCTGGAACGAGGCAGCATACCACAAGTCGCGCTCGCTTATGTTCACCTTGGAACCATAGCCACAGGCCGTTTCAATATGATAGGTTTCGCGGTCGATATGGGTGCTCTTGCCAATCGGCTATTCGATATGTATCCCGATGATAACTACATGCTTGGTCGGGGCCGAACGCTGCATGCGTTGTTCCTCGGCCCTCTAGGCCTACCCATCTCGGACCTTATGCCAGATCTCCATGGTAAGTAAGATGAATCAGTCCCCCTTGTCGGTGGTCTCACATCCGATGTTTTTCGGCGTTACCAAAGTGTATCTGTCTGATATTGCATTGCTGCGCGAGCGAAGACGAAGTGCACTGAATCAGGATGGTTTCCAATGTCCTCGTAGTTTATCAGCTAACATGTTTGATGTAGGAGCGTTACAATCCACCGTCACCGCTGGCGACCGTGTATTGACACTTATCAATCTCGGTGTTCAAGCACTTTTCAGGATCATGGCATCTTATGATGTCGCGGGACTCGAGTCTTGGATCGAAGAAACACCGCTGGACACGAAGAATTGGCGGCAAGATTTACGAGGAGGTGTCTTTCTAACAGCATGCCTTCAATACACAAAAGCGCTTCAAGGCAAGACAGGCGTGCACGACGCTTCACTAGTTTTTGACGATAAACATCACACCTCTTCACTCTACGTCGAGTTCCTGGAGACGTCCGCGAGCAATCCGAAGCGACCAAAGACCGTGTACCTTGCCATAAAACTTCCGGCCTTGGTACTCTACGAGCACTACGAGGAGGCTATCGCCCTAGGCGAGCTGCTATTGCCCATGCTGAGCAGTATCTGGGGTCAAAGACTCGTTCAATCCGTCATGTACTACCTGGCAATGGCATACTTGGCTGTTCTCCGGGGGGACCCGGCCCATGACCAAAAGGAAAAAATGTTGGACCATGTTCGAGAGACTCTGAAGCAGCTTGAGATTTGTTGTGCTATCACTGATGTCAACTATCGAGGCTGGATTGACCTGCTCTCTGCGGAGTTGGACGACGTCAATGGCGATTCTCCATCGGCAATGCTAAGCTACGAGGCAGCCATGGACCATAGCGAAGTGAACAACTTCATTCTCGAAGAGGCGTATGCTTTCGAATTGTATGCGGGATGGTTGATTCGGAAAAAGGCCAATAGGCTGGCTCGGCATGCTCTCAAGGATTGCATCTCAACTTATAGAAGGATGTCGGCATTTGGCAAGGCTAACCATGTCGCGGCGAAGTATGAGTGGCTGCTCCAGGGCACCAGATCGCTCACGACAATGGATGTGGCTGTACAGACCACGGTCATCGATACCGGAAACACGACATTCAGACTTGGACAAAACGAGGATCAAGATAAGTTCTTGAGCGCCGAAACTGCAGTCGATCGAACACAGAATTGGATTGTCCCGGAGACTGTCAAGCATCAAGATTCACCGCACGATCTGAACGGATTCTCGGCCGCAGGCCTTGATATGTTGGATTTGAGCTCCATACTCGAATCGAGTCAAGTGCTTTCGAGCGAACTCAAAGTCGACAAGTTGATGGCCAAAATGGCCACGATCATCCTCGAATCGACAGGAGGCACACTGTGCGCCATTGTCGTCGAGGACCCGCACATTGAATGGAGTATTGCTTGTGTTGCAAACAACGAACCCGACAGCGACAGCGGCTTCTCTACAGGTGTGTCGTCGTACCCAGCTGGGCAACCTTTGCACAGTGTCGACGACGTGGTCGCACGGCAAGTGACAATGTACACATTGCGCTTCCGGGAGACAGTCATGGTCCAAAACCTGCTGGAAGACGATCGTTTCTCCAAGGTGTCGGAGTCGTATCTCAAACGCAATCCAGACGGCAAGGCGGTGATTTGCATACCAATTGTCCACTCAGGTCATCTACAAGGAAGCATCTATGTGGAAGGCCCGCCAAATTCGTTCACCGAACGGAACACGCAGGTCCTGCGATTGCTTGTCAACCAGATATCGATATCTTTGGCCAATGCTTTGCTGTTCAAGGAGATTGAGCGCGTCAGTGCTAGCAATGAGGCAATGTTGGAGATGCAAAAGCGCGCACTCGCACAGGCGAGAGCGGCGGAGCTAAAGGCAAAAGAAGCTGAGGCGCTGGCCATTCGGAACATGAAGCTGAAGGAAGAAGCGGCCAAAGCGAAGAGTCTTTTCTTGGCCAACGTGTCTCACGAGCTGGTAAGTTGTTGCTGAACTTGTATATGGTGGAAATGATTGGTACTAACACGATTGTAGCGCACACCTCTCAATGGCGTGATTGGCATGTCTCAACTACTCCTAGCGAGTACACTGAATCAAGAGCAGTCAGACTACGCCGACTCGATACGCGTGTGTGGTGACACACTCTTGTCGATCATCAACGATCTGCTCGACTATTCCAAGCTCGAGGCTGGAAAGATGAACGTCATGGAGATGCCCTTGTCTCTCAACGAAACCATCACCGAAGTGGTTCGGGCACTGGCCTATACCAACGCCGAAAGAGGCCTCAAGACGATCGAGCAGCTCGAGGTGGATCCAGAGATGCTCGTCATGGGCGATCCAGTGCGACTCCATCAGATTCTCATGAACCTACTGTCCAACAGCTACAAGTTTACACCCAAGGGGTCAGTGACGGTGCGGGCAGTGGTTAATGCTGAAGGCCCAGACTGGGTAGACGTGACGTGCAGTGTGATTGACACTGGCATTGGGATCCCTGACGAGCAAAAGGAGAAGCTCTTCCGACCATTTTCACAGATTGAGTCTTCGTCGTCTCGTAGCTACGGCGGTACAGGTCTCGGGCTTAGCATCTGCAAAGCGCTCATTGAAAATGTCATGAACGGCAAGGTGTGGCTCGAATCAACACCTGGACATGGAACGACTGTCTCGTTTGCACTTCGGTTCAAGAAAGTGCCCAAGACACAGGCGGCAAATCAGCAGTACACGCGCGATCCGGATCCCATGGCCAAATTCTCGGCGCAAGGGAATAATGGCCACGAGCAGTCGTCAGGGACTTGTATCGATCTCTCGACAATTGCCAGAAACGAACTGAGGGTGTGCATTGCCGAGGACAACCTGATCAACCAGCGCATCGCAATCAGCTTTGTACAGAAACTGGGCTTCAAGTGCGACGCCTATCTGGACGGGCTGAAGACGATCGATGCACTAGAACGTGCCAGCGACAACGGCCGCCCCTTCCATCTCGTGCTCATGGACGTGCAAATGCCAAACTGCGACGGCTACGAAGGTAAGCAGTATCACATTTCCCAACACGTTTGAAGACGGACTAACAATACCGCTCAGCAACACGCCGTATCCGCAAGCACCCCAACCCCGAAGTCCGAAACATCCTCATCATCGCCATGACCGCATCTGCAATCGAAGGCGACCGCGAAAAATGCCTCGACTCGGGAATGAACAACTACCTCGCCAAGCCCGTGCGCGCGCAGACTCTCAAAGCGCTGCTGGAGAGCTACCTCACCAAGGAAACACCCGTGCAAGACATACCCAATCTCGACACGGAGGCGGCCAAGCTGGTCAGAGAGGCGTTGGCCGAGGCAGAGAAAGGCAAGCTGGATGATGAGGCGAACAGGGAACAGTCAGCAAATAGGGAGGAGGCGAAGAGCAGACCGAGACCTCCCAGCGTGCGCATGAATACTATTCAACGGTGGCATTCGCCGAATGGGAGGAGGGGCTCACAGCCTGGGTCGCATCCTGGGTCGCCGCCTCCTCCTGAGTCGTAGGGAGGTGTGCGTATATATCTTTTTTGGCGTGGAAATTGAGGGGTTCTGTTCTTCGACGGGGGGTTGTCTGATTTGATTAAGGTGGGTGGATTGGTTTTATGGTCTTGGAGGGGGGCGTTCCAGGCTTGGGTTGGGTCTGGAATGGATGGGTTGGTTGCATTGGGTGGCGGCTTTTGAATAGTACACAAGCATAGGCATTATATGGATTTATTGTTATAAGGTTGGTTGGATGGGGTTGTTAGAGTCTGTCTGATTGTGTATTACCCCTTTGCTTGCTTGCTTGTAACGCATTGTAGTAGGTATTACTGATTTGGCTGGGAACTGGCCATGTCACATGCAAAAAGTCCAGTGCTGCAATGTGTGTGTGCATCTCACGTTGAGTGGGTGTAGGGTACTTTCATTTCAGGGCGACGACGAATCAGATTGGCATACAAAATGCTTGGCAGGATGTGGGCCAAATTACCTCTGGGGCAGGGCAGGACGGGCAGTGGTTGGGTGGAGACTATCTGCGGGATTACCCTGTCGCCGGTTCGGTTCAGCGTGATTAGCTAGCTACCTTGCCTTGCCCTTACCGTAGTGTAGTGGCCCCTCGTAAAAGCCCCTATACATTTTGCTTTGCTTTGCCTTTGCCCGGGTCCAGGTCAGGTCAGCTTAGGTCACGGTAAAGTTGTGTTGTGTTGGATTGCGTTGGATTGCATAGCCAGACCGACTCCCTGATCGCTCAGCACTTGTCTGTATCTGGATAGCACTCGCCGTTATCAGCAGTCGTTGGAAAGTTTAGAGACGTCTCCCCAGAACGTGCAGACGAGACGGCAGCACAACAAACAAACACACACGCACACACACAATGTCTGCAGCCACGGCCACCAAACCGCCCGCCACGGGCACCACGCCTCGCCGCGAGGCCACCTCCAGAGCCTCTGCCCCGTCGCCGGCAGCTGCAAGCCGCACACCTGCCCGCTCCTCGACGCCGACGGCCACAGCGAGTGCGACGACAAGCAGCCCCGGCGGCGTGGCCAGGACACGCTCCGTCAGGACAGGCGGCAGCGGCACCCCCGTCTCGGCCCGAGCAGCGGTGAAGAAGCCCGCGGCACCTTCAGCCCTCAGCAGGAACACATCCCAAGCCGAAGCCGACGCGGACAGCCAGGACGAGCAGGCTGCCTACATGCAGGCCCTCCAGGAGCGGCTGCAGAAGGCCGAAACCGCCGCCGAGGAGCGCCAGAAGCAGCTCGAAGTGTTCAGCGCGCGCCTGGACGAGGCGCACCAGGAGCAGGCCCGTCTTGAGGAACGTGCACATGAGGAGGAGGAGAAGGTCGAGGCGCTGGAGAACCAGAAGCGGGAGCTTATGCGGCAGCAGCGCGAGTTTGAGGGCATTTATGAGGCGGAGCGTGCGCAGAGTATGCGTGAGAAGGAGGAGACGCAGACACGGGAGGATGGGCTGCAGGACACGATTCAGCGTCTTAAGGAGACGATGGCGACGAAGAATATGCCTGCTGGTGAGGGCGAGGAGGAATACGTGTCGCGTGCTTGTGAGTCTCTCTTATATCAATGTCGGTGAGGAGGTGCTAACATCCCACAGCCAGCTTCCGCAACACGCCCTCGCGCAACAACTCGTCCCAGCACCTCGACAACGCCGCCTCGTTCGCCCCGCCGTCGTCGATCCAGCGCAGCAACTCGCGCAACAACTCCAAGCTCATCAACCAAAAGGACAAGATCATCGAGGACCTGCGCCTCGAGCTCGCAGAGTACCAGGTCAAGCTGCTCGAGGTGGAGAACGCGGGCGGGGGCCGTCTGCGCGAGCTGGAGAAGCAGCTGCTCGAGACGCGCATGACCAACGCCCGCCTGATGGAGGACAACGAGAGCTTCCAGCTGCTGCTGGGCGAGAAGACGCTGAACGGCGACCTGAGCCGCGGCGACTTCCTGCGCGACTCATCGCATGCCGAGGACGGTGCCCCAGCAGGTGCCGGCCCCTCGACCAGCCTGGCCGACGAACTGCAGTCGGTCGAGGAGGCTGACGTCGAGGCCGTGCGCCGCCTCGAGGCTGAGGTCAACAGCATGAAGGACCAGAACAAGGCGCTGACGCTCTACATCAACAAGATCATCGGCCGCCTGCTGACCCACCAGGGCTTCGAGTCGGTCCTCGGCAACGACAACGACGCCGACCGCGCCCCAGACACAAACAAGGAGCTGCCCGCCCCGCCAAAGGAGAATGATCAACCTCAGGGCTTCCTCCAGCGCGCCAAATCCGTCATGGGCACCAGCAGCGCTGCCCGCAAACCCCGCCCAACCAGCATCATGGGCCCGCCCGCCGTACCCGTCTCCGCCCAACAACAACAGCAACAAAGCGCAAACGAAGACCCAACCAAAGCCCCCAGTATCCCCCTCGGCCGCCCCCTCTCCACCCGCGTCCCAAGCGGCTCCTACACGCACCGCCGCTCCACCTCGGAAGCCACAACAAACATGTTCCGCTCCCCCTCGGGCCCCGCCTCACCGGGCCTCACCTCCCCGCGAAACTCCTTCTTCGGCCTCCCCGTCAACGGAAACTCCGAAACTACAACACGCAGCAGCATCGCGCCCGCCAGCCTGCCCGGCTCCCGCGCCGTCTCTGGCACAGTCACGAGCGTCGTCGCCGCGTTACGCGCTGATGATACTGATGCAGAGGCCGCGGGCGTCGATACACCGAGTCCCCCCCGCCGTCTTGAACGCAGCGAGACGTCTAGCACGGGGCCCATGACGGGGAAGGGTATGAGGCCTCTGCGCCTTGTGCAGAATGAGGAGGAGGCGGTTAAGGCGAGGAAGGCGGCGAATAGGGGGAGTTGGTTTGGGGGGTTGTTTGGCCAGGGACAGGGTCAGCAAAGTCAGCAAAACCAGCAGCAGGGGAGTCCGCTTAGTCCTGTGTTGGATGGGTGAGTTTTTGAGGTTTTTAGGCGTTTTTTTGTGAGGGGGGGGGGATGGGGTTTGGTGGTTTGGTGATTGGGGGGGGGGGGTTGGATGGTTGGATGGATGGATGATGACATTTTCTTTTTTTGGGGGGGTTTGGGATGGGATGGGATGGGGTGGTTAGCATATTTTATGATTTATACATGGCTTTTTCTGACGCGTGGGTGGTTTATGAGGTGTGGTGTGGTGGGGTGAGGTGAGGTGAGATGGAGATTAGCAGAGTAGAGTCTGTCTTTTACTTCTCTTTCTCCTTGTCTTCTTGTGGGGATGTGCTGTGCTGTGTTGGCGTTGCTGTTATGTGCTGTGATGTGCTCTTCTAAGGGGGCGGGGGGAGTCTTCATCCCCCTATCCCATTCTCATCCCTACACACTAAGTATCCGCATTCTTATAAACAAAATGGGTAATCGGGAGGATTTGATGTGAAATAACTCGCTGTCAAGGTAAGGCAAGTGCAAACAGCGACAAACTCGGCTATCCGCATTCTTCATACCCAATTGCAAGGCGTAAAACTACAACGCCAAAAATGCAGACTAGGAGCATATATATATACATTCCGCCGTAAATCTGCTTTACTGATCGTATATACAGTTGTCAAAGTCAAAGTCTAAAGCGCAAGTGCATTCGAAGAAAAGTTCATCCTGCAGATGATATCAAAGGTGGACTAGCTTCCAAGCGAAGCGGGAGTGTTCTACCTCCTCCGTTTTCATGACATTTGTATAAGCGTTGCTTATACGCCGGTTTGTGGAAATCATTCCCTTTCGGTTCGGCTAGAAGGGTATGTTGTGTGGTGAATGGTGTGGAGGCGGTTCGGGGGCGTGATGGTTCTGGGGTTGGGGGTTGAGTGTGTTTGGGTGATTGAAGTTAGGGCTGGTATCGTGAAATTAGAGATGGGCTGTTGGATATACACAAGCATGTTGAGTATTTGGTGATGAAGGGTTTGTAGATTGAGGATGGGTCGAAGGGGTCTGGGGGTGCTGTTGGGTGTGTTGTTCAGGGAATTGCTCTCGAGGATTTGGGTAAAGGTGTGGATGGTTTACTGTTTGCTGAAGGTTATTATGTCATGATTGTGCTGCACTTTTAGATCACGGTTGTTGTTACTGTATTAGATCTCTCCTCTTTCTTGCTGTCGAGTATCGTCTGAGGCTCGGTAGTATGCCACTCTTGGTATACTCCTTCACTGAGAGTCCAGCGACGAGAACGTGGCGTAGCCTGCTATAGCGCCCCAGGATTGCGCGCAGTGTGAACGTCAGCCTTTGTAACGAAGTCATGGTATACTATATATGTATCATATGGTGTGTAAGGTGAGAGACTAGGTGGCTCTCATGCCCCATGCCAAGACTGTTGACGGCCTTGATTCACTGCTCATATAAACACTGCTGCTTACGCCTCCTCCGTCCTTCTTACACTCACACAGCAGACTTTACATTAACTGCCGTCATGACGTATCTAACCCCCTGCCGCGAATGCTAATCTGCTCTCGAACTTCGGCAGCTCGATCGCGGATGGCGCACACATCCCCACGGAAGGACCTCGTGCTGGTGTCACGATACAGTACGATTGCACCATGAACAAGGACTTCTTTGTCGAGTCAACCCGCTCCAACATCAAGAAGGGCATGCCGAACATCAAAGACTGGGACTTCAAGATAGATCTTAGTGAATGGCAGCTTGAGAGCTCGGAATCGGGGAGAAGAGCCACTACTCCCGACATGACTGTTCTCGGCAGAACCATCACAGGACTTATCAATGAGTTCCACACAAACCCAGCGCCCTTTATGGGTTCGAAGGTCTAAGATCTGCTCGACAAGAGGACTACCCAGCGAAAGGGTTGCTGTATCGAATCTATCACCCAGACCATCATCCAAGGCATCAAAGACGCGAACCTCTATGTAACACTGAATGTGAAGAATTTCACAATCACGGATGTCATTACTGCCGCCAGATATGCTATCGACGGAAGCTTCCCACAAGGCACGGGCGGCATCTACATACGCTACCATACCTCCACCTCCGCGGTGACGCGTTGGCTACCAAACACGAAGTATATCTACGTTGGCTAGGCTGTTGACTTTAGAGATCGCTTCGACAGCTCCTTATCCACTACGAGCTCTTACGGCGATTTAGCTCGCGATTCCCAGCAACTCCTCTCGTCGGCACTCTGCGTTATGAGTGAGACAGACATCATTGACTTTGCATACCTCGTCGAACAGATCTTTGTTTGTTTGTTTCAATCCTATAAGTCAAATGTCCTCGCCGATCTGGGTGGCACTGCTGGTTTCGCCGATGATATCGAGCACGTTGAGGCCATCCAAGCCGCCTTCTATTTCAGGAAAGTCTCAGAAAAGGTGTTCGGTGAAACTCACTGTCCTGGTGCCATCAACCGATCATCGTTTGGTGTGTCCCACGGCGCAAACTACAGCATGCCATTCAAAGACTGGAATGTGACCAAAGAACAACTCCTATTCCTTCGTCATGATACGTTTGTCAAATGCAAGAACACCGGGGCCACTATTCCTATAACGGTGTTCAGGAGAGCCAAATCGAAGATCGCGAAATACAATCACAAGAACAGCGGTAGCCCTGAGGCCTACGACATAATGTGCGCCTTCCAGAAGTACCAAGCCGGGAGGTCCTTCTTCAGTGTCTGTCATTCGCAGAAAGTCCTTGACGGATCAATGGGGCCTCGTCAGGATGAGCCCTACCAGCTCCTATTTGAAGTCCGGACGGATGGGCAAGCTCGTCCCTTTGCTTGGTCACGCCTTCCCGTTATTGGTACATTCCAGAACTGGGACCAAGGCCGCTCGCTAGCGGTACGTATCGAGTGGGAGTATCCGCCAAAATCTGGGGAGTGGAGGTACCGTTACCTATACGCCCACAAAGTGTATACGTTCGAAGACAAACACATGCCGGGCTCGCACGTTAACTACATCAAGACCATTGCTATGGTTCAGTGGCTGTTCAATGCGGTGCCAAACAAGCCACAGCCATGGATGCCACGCTTGAGAGGCTATGCTCATGTTCTCCAAACCGTCTACAACGGCCATACTCAGACTATCGAAGTCAAGCTTCAAAAACCCTTTACTATGCGCAGCGGAGCACTCAAACCAAAGGCCAGTATCGTCGCAGCTATGAACGCATTCGGCCTGGATAACGTGGACGGTCCATTTCGCCAGCACCAGACATGCGACGGATGCGCCATGTTAAGCCCAGAAACTATCCAATCCTTGGGGTACACATGCATCCAGATCCCGGGCACAGACTGCTGTCTGATTTGTATGCTGTTCGGTCGCCCTTGCTGCAGCTGGACTGAGAACGGAGCTGTTAGAGGGGGCAGTGCATACTCAACTGGGATGATCACAGGCGAGGTTTCGACCGAGGGGAATGTGACATCTACGGATGTCGCCTTGAACCGGAAATATCGAGCTGCCCTTCATTGCCAGCCCATACCCAAGAGCGATGTACAAGGTCAGTTTTTCAGTCAACAACTGATAGATGTGATGAACCTTACCAGGCTGGAGGACGACCTGAGCGACGTCGAAGATGCAGATGGAGATCTTGAAGATGAGGGAGACGAAGACTTTGAATATTGAGTCTTCTATAGGACTGTGCTCTATTGTGGTACTTTCCTTTTTTCTTTGTATTGTTTGCCACATCCCCTTCTACAATGCGAGCGAATAACAGGGTACTGGTGTTAGACCAGCAAAGGTGATCGAGAGAATATCAGTTTGATAATGCCACTTCCGAAGTCTTTTGCAATATGCTTGTGTTCCTTCTACGCTGCTCGCAGTCTCAGGTCGTGCCTCGGGTTTAGTTGAAATATCAGATGTTTGCAAAGTTTCTCAACAGCTGGACAACTACATGCAAAACTCTGTGGAGACTTGTGTGCTGTAAGTATTGCTTGTATACGCCTAGTCTATCCCAATTGACTTGGACTTTTTTACTTTGCTGTGTACTTACATCATCTGCCATGTCCAACAATATGCGTAACTCCCCCAGAAGTTGCAAAACTACACCAAGAAAAGTGCATGCTAGGCGTATACCGCCAGAAGTTTAGACCTAAACCGTCTACTCTAATCTGGGACGTAGTTGTCCAGCTGTCGGTAGATTTCTTGCCCCTTGCTCGATTCCCAGGCTTCCTGTTGCGCCACGCAACCCTACATCACATGATTAGGTAGATATACGGGTGATCCGTCCCCTTATAGGACGGTCACTCGTCAATAAAAGTATTCACATGATCTATTGTCCCTTGGACCTCTCTGTCCCCTCTATTTTGTTACATTTCCGAATCACTAAGAGACGGTCGGAAGGAGAATACAAGATAAACTATCTTCGCTGAGATTTTGGTACTGCGACCTCCATGTATTCGTCTAGTGACATAGACTGCATAGAAGACACAGATGAAAGGAAGGAATTCTGGCCCTACCTCTATGCTAGAACCTATTCATGCCTCTTTTCACCCCGCTGTACAGAAAGGCACCACGTAGCTCAAAGGCAGAGAACAACAAGGAGCGAAAACTAAAAAAAATAACAAAGAAGAAGATTATGTAGATGCAAACACCGTATACCCCCCTAACAAGACAAATCGCAACCAACCCACATACCTAAATGCCCCAAGTACACCAGCCCAGGCGTATACCACACCCCACAAGACATACAAACCGCACGAAAAACATGCATGTAGTCGTCACGCTGTTGCGAGACCTCAACTCAGTTAATATGGTGGTATGTTGACAGACCAAGAATTTTACAAAGGGCGCTTGTGTTGAGCGAGTGAGTGGATGGTAATGAATCTGGTGTTTTTCCCTATGTCTTCTCTTGTCTTCTATCGAACGTCTACAATGCTGTTCATTTTCTCCATCCTATATGCCGAATCCACAAGTCAATGCATCCATGCAATACAACTAACAAGACAATCAAATACCCAACGTCCCCACATGCACGTATACATGTATGCAGACGCGCAAAGCCGACGAAAACTCCACGCTCCACTCCAATGCAAAACCAGTGGTATAAAAGGGCACCTTCAAAACCGCGACCAGAATTCACGCACAGCAACAACAATGACAATGTTGAACAGAAAGAGAGGAAAAAAGTAAGAGTACTAAAAATGCGTTCTACATAATTTTTGAATCAGAGTCTCCAGCTCCAGAAACCTAGATCTTGAAGATAGATAGCGCTCGATATGCAACGAAAAATATACATGCCTGCAAATCACGACGGCAAGACCGATTTATCCGTACTCGGATTCCCAAGGATCGGTCTAGCTTCTCTCTGCTGCGGCTCGCCATACGCCCACTTCGTCGCCGTATTGACGATAGTCGCGCAAATAGGGTCAACATGCTTAACCCACAGCGCAGCACAGCGGTACAAGATATAATAAAACGCGATAATAGCAAGCACCATATGCGTCCTCGATCCGCGCTGAAGATCCATCGGCTCGCCCTTTGCATTGCGCTGGGGGTTCATGGCCGAGGGGAGGTAGATCATCCACGTCAGGACGGATTTGATGAAAGTGTTGTGCATGAGGTAGACGGGGAAGCTGACGCGGCCCAGGAAGTTGAAGACGGGGGACGTGAGGACGCGGCGGGCGTTGCGGGAGAAGAAGATGCCGAGGAGGACGGTGGAGGCCCCGATGTGGTCCCAGTAGCGGCGCACGTCGGACTTCTCGACGGTGATGCTGTGCATGAATTTCTGCATCACGTGGGACCAGTGCGCGTTCTGTGGGCTGTCTTGTGGGTAGCCCGCGATGAACATGCCGATCAGGATCATGATTGCGGGGACGGGTGCGGGGAGGATCGAGGTGGCGGAGTCTTTGTAGTGGTTGTGCAGCTCTGCGACGAACATGCCCATGACGATGTTTAGGCCTTTTAGGGCGCCAATTGCAAGTCCTGCTCGCGTTAGCATTTACTTTTCACCGCCTCGTGCTTGGTGCTAACTCACCCTCGCCTTGCTGCCAGAAGAAGAGGTACAAAGCAGCGTAGACTATTATGCGTGCCTTCGGCTTCACCAGCACGGTAGCAAACATGGTTGTGTACACCAACATGCTGCCCTCCAGAAACAAGTGCAGCGTCCATTGTGTGCCGTCATAATCGTTCCAACCCACTGTCCATGTCTGCGTCTCGGCCCTGATCAGCGACAAGAACGCCTGCCACAGCGTAGGCTCCTGGCGATGCCAGCCCTGGCGAATCCACGTCGAGTCGACATGCTTTGTCATGTGGTATGCGTTCGTATTCGCGAGGAGCCAAGTCAGAAACGTCGCGAGCATGGTGGGGAGGACCAGGCGTCCCGAACGAGCAAGGGCGCTCTTCGCAATGCCAGTGAATGCTACATCGTGGTTCCCAGCGCGCGACTTGCCAATGGGCCCAATAGAGTTTACGTAGCCTGTCACCAGGAAGAAGATGGCCACGGCGCTGCGGCCTCCGACGACGAGGCGGAAGAAGGGCATCTGGAAGAGGTGTGGCGCGGTTTTGGCATCGGCGGCGGGCGAGTGCAGCCATGGCACGAGAGCGGTGCACAAGTGGCCCGACACGACCATGAACGAGGCAATGCCACGCAGGCCCTGGACGAGAACATGTTAGCCGGGTGTGTGACGCGGCGGGAGACGGGAACGCGCGTGTGACATACATCGATCCAGTTGGCGTCGCGGGGCGCCATTGTGCTATTACTGCAATATTTCTATAATATCTGGTAGGAGGGGGCAGTGGCCGTAGAGGAAAAAAGTTACAGCTGTTCAAAGAATGTAGAATATCTAGATGTCAAGGAGTGTATTCCCACGCATCGCCGTTGACTTGGGATGACTGCGAGGACGGTTCTCTACACTAACCACAGCAGGCGGCACTGATGGCAGAAGAAGCAACGTCGAAAGGAGGTGCTCGCAAAGATACCGGCGCAACGAACGGCAACGTTTGGCTTTTGTGGATGCATGATTGCATCCACGACGCGGCTTGCCAAGACAAAGTATGCGAGGCTTGTTTCCGCCTCGGGTAGGGGGTGGAAATGCCAACGCGTGAATACCCAATCGCGTCTGTTGCCTTGCGAGAAGCGGCTGCGATCGACCCTGCGCGCTAGAATTCGTTGGTCCGTCTTGACAGTGTCAGGCGTGCCGACGCCCGTTTAGTCTGTCTCCTTGGCAGCGGTTAACGAGCACCCACATAACTATTCCTAAGCACCTACATAAGATAAATCAAGGATAGCGTTATGCACCTATAACACAATTATCCTGTATTGTAATCTCTAGTTTGTATAGTAACTTATACTAAAGCTAGAGACTAAGTAATATATTAGTAATATAGAACTTAGCAGTAAATATTACTATTATATACTATTATTACTATTATTACGTATAATTAAAAATTAAAGTGTAATAATTTAAATTAGCTCTTGTATAAAAGTAATTTGCTAGCGTAACTATACTACCTTATTAGTACTAAAAACCTAAAGCTATTATTATCTAGCTCTACTAGTTAATTTATTATATTATAATTTATAGTATATAGGCTCTAAACTTATAATAAAGGCAGCTAATTTAATAGGTAAGCTAGGTATTATATAAAGGTTATTCTTACTAGTAAAGAAGCTTAGTATTATAGCTCTTTTAGTTACTACTATTACTACTTATATACTACTACCTATAGCTACTATACGTACTAGAAAGCCTACTATATATATAAGTTAGGCTATAAAGGCTATAGAGTAAATATCTACGTTATATAATAAGTAGTAGGTATTACTAGCGCTAATAAGAGTAGTAAGATTATATATAGAATACCTAATTAAGCGCTAAATTATATAAAGTTAGTACTTATTAGAGTACTAAACTATATATAGTTTATACTTATTAAAGGTATTAGGTACCTATAGTAAGCTATTTAGGCACTTAATTAGTAAGCTTATAGAAGGTATATACTATTAATTTAAAGCTTTAATAAGTATAGTACTAGTAGCTAAAGTAGTAATTAAAGTAGTAATTAGAGTAGTAATTAAGGTAGTAATTAGAGTAGGCTTAGGTAGTAATAGTAAGTATTAGTATATAATATTAGCTGCGTTAATAGAGTAAGTATAGGCCTTATAGGCTATAAGGTAGCTATTATATATAAATAGCTAATGTAAGTAGCTAAAGCTACTTAATTTACTAGTAAAATAATAATACTTTTATAGAGTACTAGCTTAACTATTATATAAGCTAGTAGTATTACTAGTAGTATTACTATAGTATTATTATTATTAAAGTACTTAAATAAGCTAGGCTTATAATAATTACCTTACTACCTACTACTAGTAACGTAGTAACGTAGCTTATAAAGTTACTATTATTATATAATATATAGCTCTAATATATATAGAGCTAGCTTAATTATAGAAGCTTATAAGTAATTAACTTACTAATATATATTAAAATTATTAAGTTTTAGAGCTTTAGATATAAGCTTAAGCTTCTTTATCTAATACTAATAAGGTAGACCTTTAGAGTATATATAGACGCCTATATAATCTATTATAAAGTAGCTAGAGTTACCTTATAATATATAAAGCTTACCTTTAGTATACTTAAGCTCTTACGTTATAAGTATAAGCGCGTAGTATAAGATAACTCTAATAATACTAGTAAAAGCTAGGTTTTAATAGTTACTCTAGATAGCGTAATTTACTTACCTATTAAGTATTTAATTATACTTAATATACTTATTATAAAATAACTTTAGGTAATAAAATAGCTAAAGTATATTAGCTTCTAAGCTATTAAGCTAGTCCTTAATAATGTAGTAGGCACTCTTAGCTTTTAAAGTTATAGATAGCCTAAAGTTAACTAACTTATTAATTTATACGTTAATAAGCTTATCTTTATAGTAGCTAAACTAGTAGTAATTAAGATATATATAAGTATAAGAAGATAGCGTTTTAATAGCTTTAAAGTTTATATTAAACTTAGCTAAAGTCTTAGAGCCTAGTACTATATAGTATATATTAGTAAACTATATTATAGACTTAGTATTAACCTAAAGGATTTTATTATATTACTACCTAAACTTAGCTATTAGTACTAATTAAATATAGCTTAGGACATCTTTATTTATATACTACTAATATATAATAATTTTAGGTAAATTAAATACGTAATTAAGTGCGTTTATATATACTTTATTATTATTAATAATAAATAGTTAAATTGTAATACTTTTTACTATAAGAAGCTTTTAGAGTTATATAATAACCTAAGTAAATACAGCCTTATCTTTACGTAATATAAGTATAATACTAAGGTAAATTATATAGTTATTTATATTAGAGCCTACTAAATTAAGTAGTAGAAGGCTATAATAATTTATTTTAAATATATAATTAAGAAGAAGTATATTAGGTAACATTTTAAATTACGTAAGGTATATAAGTAATATAAGAAGTAAAAATTTAATATAGTTATTAATAGATTTTAATATTTTATAAAGTTTAAAGTTTATTAGCTAAGAAACTCTAACCTTAATTAAGGTAGCACTAAGCCTAAAAGGTAAAATACTAAGCCTAAAATTAATAGGCTAAAGAATTTTTAGTTAACTAGCGTAAGCCTTCTAAAAATTAAGTAAGTTTAGAGCTTAACTCTAAAAAATCTATTATAAGCTTACTTATAGGTAGTACTAGCTAGCCTTATATAATTTCTATTCTAAGACCTTAACTTTTATCTTCTACTTAAGCTACTACTACTAGTAGGCTTAGTACTTATTTTTAATATCTTAGTATATCTATTTTAAATCTAGTTACTTTTTTTATACTATTAATAGTACCTATTTTATACTTTTTATAAGCTCCTAAATCTTAACTAGCTGCTTATAACTAAGTCTACTATACGTCTTATAATACTAGTAAGAGATAAAGTAAGTATCTCTCTTTAGTAGGTAGTTATAAATAATTAATTTACGCTCTTTATAGTATAATACTCTTTATATAGTATCTTTAAGATTAGTATAATTCTTAGTAGCTAGCTAAAACTTTATTTTACAGCTAGTCTTCTATAACGCTATGCCTACTCTATTATATACACTAGCTGTAATCTTTTTTTACTTACTTTAGTAGTTATATATAAACTATAGTTAGTAATACCTACTATAGTGCTATTTATAATACTTATAGCTAAGGCTATAATTCTTTCTTTAGGCTTTAACTACTGTCTTAGCCTTAGCTAGTATAGTATATGTTGCCTCTAGTAGTAGCTTATAGTTATAGTTCTTATCTAATACTCTATTTTATAGGCTACTAAAATTAATATTAGTAATAGTAATTTTATAGTACTAGTACTTATATAAAATATACTTATAAGCCTATCTTTTTCTTTTATAGATAGAGTATATATAATTATATAGTAAGTTATTTACGCTATCTACTAAAGCTATAGATACTATACTCTACTTATTATTATTACTTACGTTAAAAGAGTTTAGGCTAGCTATAGAGGTAGGCGTTACTAGCCTTAACAGTAGCTCTATATTAGAGTTAAATAGTAATAGTAACTATAATAGTAAGTATAATAGTACTAGCTATATACCTAGTAGTAGTAATAGTAGTAATAATAGAGTTAGTAGCAGTAATAATAAAGGTAATAATAAGATACAAGGTATAGTAGATAAGATAAATAATATAATAAATTTAGTATATATAATATAATTATTAATAGCAATAAGCTCTTTAATTAAAATAATTAACTAATAAAGTAAACTTTAAATAACAATAAATAACAAAAATTACTAAATACGTAATAAGTATTAATAGTTAGTAACTCCTGTACTACAAATTCCTCCTAGCAGACACGCTACACGTTAAATAGTATAGCAGCTGTCTATTAGGGAGTCTGCGCAACACTACTAGCACTAGTTGCATATAGGCCCTGTATGTGGGTGCTTGGGAATAGTTATGTGGGTGCTTGTTAACCGCTGCCTGTCTCCTTGAATCAGCACTCACTGGAGATGCCACATGTCCACTCTCTTGGACGCACGCCTTATACAGAAGTGCCGTACCCATCAGCATCTGAGACAGTCGGCGGGTAAATAGAGTGTCCAGCTCCTGAATACGTCACCAGGCTTTCGTATGTCCATGTCGGATTCGCCATCAACTTCATGGGTATCCGTCCTATGCCCTACCGGATAATCGGGCTATTCAGCAGCGTGAGGATCGCTAAGCTCGGAGACAAACGCCTCACGGCCGCATACAGGTCTTGGCGCTGACGACGCGACGCGATCAAATCAGGGGTCATGAAACGTGAAGAATCGACCCCTCACACGGCGTTTCCGATCTATCGCAGCATTGCTATGGCATGGTTCTTGTCGAGCGCTTGATCGATACTCGCGGCTCTGTGTGCCAAGGACTGCAGCAAAATAGAAGGGGTTTTACAGTTTGGCAACATGATTACGATATGCAGATATTCGAAATTACTCATATTACTTTTGCCCTTCATCTCCCCATCTCTACCGAGAACGAGCAACGCCAATTTAGACGAGCTGCCTAATCGAGAGCTTATCGAGGATACAGCTGCTTAGAAAAAGCTTTGTGTAGACGAAGTGGGACCTAAAGCTATACTAGTTTAGTCGACAATACAACTCCCAGCCCGCCGCCCGTCCAGCTCCCAAACTGCCAGCCACATGTGTATCATGACTCCGCTTCGCTCTCGGCATCGTCGCTCTGCGTGATAAGCTCCGAAGACTTGTAGCCTCTGGGAGTAGTGGGCTGCGAGGTAGACTGCTTCGAGCGGGACTTTCTCTTCTTCGCGGTCCTCTTTGTGTTGGTCTCTTCCTCGCCCCTGTCTTCCGCATCATTGTAGTAGTCGTCCCACTCGTCGCCATGGTTCGCTGCCATGTGCGCCAGGATATCGTCGAGCACTTTGCTGAGACTTTGCTGCTCGTCAACGAGTGCCAGTAGATCTTTCCACCCCGCCTGCAGTGTTGTGACAGGCCATGATTGCCGCATGGCGTCGTATATCCTGGGCCAGTCGATGTCCTCCTCCACTTCGTACTCGCCTTCGATGATGGCTGCGACGAGGTCCATCCTATCACCAGTACGCATGTTGCTCGCGTCCAGTCTGCCAGCTTGAGACGAGTCATCTTCCTCCTTCTTCTGCAACCGGCGACGCTCACGCTTCTTGGGTGCGTTTGTTGGAGAAGTGCCAGACTTCTGCGTCTTCGACGTCCGCTTGCGCTTCACGGGTGTCGAGTGGACGGACTCTTCGGATACGTGAGTCTTCCTGGGTTTTATCTCCACTCGAAATTCAGGTGCAGAAGAGCGGCTACTCATCATAGCCCAGTGTTCCGCGCACTGGGTGCGGTTGCGAACCTTGCCCATCTCGATGCACACTGCTTTCCAGTCGATGTCGCTTCTCGTGTAGTTGTCGATTGGCGGCTTTCCCGCTGCCGCCCGCTCGTCCTCGTTTTTCTGAGCGACGGTCGACACGGCGCGAACAAGAAGTTCCTCGTCTCCCTCAGACCAGCGCTGAATTGCCCTGCGATCGCCGTATTGGGCGTAGTCTCGCCAGCGGTTCTGGATGCTAGTTGGCGCTCGATTGGGCATCTTCTGATAGATGAGTGGCCATTGATTCGGGTACTGCTCAACCAGTTCCTTGAGCTGCTCATCCTCCTCTTCTGCCCATTTCCCAGATGTGAACATGTGATAGCGCCCTCGAATGTGAGTCCGAACGGTATGGCTTTTGCGCTCTGGACATATTGGCTTGATTTCGTCCCAAAACTCTTTGCTGTCCTGGCTGATCTGGTTCATGTCCTTGGATTTGCTCCAGGTTCCTGTTTTGTCACTCCTGAGTTGGATGATGTCAACAAGTTCAGGTATTTGCAGACCCTTTCTCTCTTGGTAGTTCTCGATGGCTCTCCGGATGCGCTCCTCCTCGTCATCTGTAAATGCACCCTCGGTTCGGACGTCCGGCTCGGGGTTGAGAGTGCGTACTGTAAGAAGTGCTGTCGCGGCTGCAGATGTTCCGAAGGATCTTCTTTGTTTAGGACGCGCGACAGTCTTCCGTGTTCGGTCACTCTTGCCTGGCGCCCTGCGGCGTTCTTTCGTCGATTTGCCCTCGGCTGAAGATTTCTTAGAAGATTTCTTCGACTCAACAGCAGTGTCATCGCCGTTTCCTTCAGAAGCGGCATGACTGTGCTGTGTGCCTGCGAATGCATTCAATTCAGTCTTCATCTCTGTGTCTGATCTGACATCATCTTCGGGTATGGTGGTTTCTTGCTCAGCGATGTCGTCGTCTTCAGCGTCTAACATGAACCAATCGTTCGCTTGAGTCGCGTTTTCAGCCGCCGTTGGAGACAAGGCCTCGTCTGGATCTTCCTTCTCTTCTGTCTCATCTTCCGCTTGTTCTGAGAAAGGACTCGTTGGTTGTTGATCCTCTGGGACAGTCTCTCTCTCTCTCGCCTGTCTCGACGCGGCCGCTGCGTCCATCGCCTTGGCCTTGAGCTCTTTCAGTAGTTTCCTCGGAAGCATTGGCGCATCTTCTGTTTCTGAGGGCCCGGCACGTTCATTGCCATTATCGTGCGAGGACTCTGGCAGGCTGTCTGGCGTGAGGGCTGTGAGTGCAAGTTGTGATTCGAGGCCATTTATGCTAGGACAAGTTAGAACCGACTGATCAAATACATGTTCAGTGCCTGTAGCCTGCCATGGGCGACTTACTCTTTTTCCGCTTGAGCATCCTGAACAGACTCCTCTGCGCTTTGTGTAGTTTCCAAATCTGCGCTCCTGCGGGACTCGGTCCTCTTCCTCTTGTGTGTCGCGGGTGTCGCATCTACTGACACCGCCTGGCTTAGTGATCCAGGTTCCGCAGAATCTGCGTGTTTCCGCTTGCGCCTTGATCGCAGAGACGAGGGTGTCGACGTTGCGCCTTCGCTCTGTCCTGAAGACACCAGTTCCAGCAGGGGGTTGCTCATGCCGACCTTAGCTCGCAGGTTTCTCCTCCCCTTCGCACGCGGCTTCTTCTCCGGCACACTGACGGCTATCGTTGGCGGCGGCGAAGACTGAAGTCGCGATTGCGGTGCCTCAGCGTCGTGGTAGACCGTGTCGTCGTCTTCAGCTAGTGCTGACGGGTAGGGCGGGCGTGAGGGGTGAAGTGAAGCCGCGGGTGTGCGTTTGCGCGAAGCTGCGCGAAAAGTTGTTTGAAGGGTCGGCGAGAGCTCGGTTTCCTCGGCGCGAGCTAGCTCGTCGAGAAGCTGCTGCGATGCCGCGAAGTCGTCGAATTCGGGGCCTGCGCGAGGTCATAGGTCAGCCCAGATTCCTGCTGCTTTTCGCAGAAATTGACTGAGTAGGGAAAATAGACCGATAGCGTACTATAGTGGGGCTCGCGTTTGGCGGATGGAGAAGCTGCGGCGGGAGACACCGCGTCTTGCGGTGCATGAGGGCTGGGTTGCGACGACATGGAGCCCATCGCTGGCAGTTCTTCGCGCATGCTGAGTGTTTTGTGTTCAGGTGACAAAGTGATATTAATAAATTGTGTAATTGGCATCATCAATCACCAATCCATGCGACAGCTTGTTTGGCTGTGTACTGTAAGGGATTAGCGCGCGTTATGACGAAGGGTCAGGTCACGAGTTAACCCTGTCGCTCCCTTGGAAACCTCGGGCTTGCGTCTGGAGCTCCTTGCGACACCCAATCCTACTGGTAGTTAATAGTGTATCCTTGGAAGAAGGCAAGAGTTGAGCATGCATTCACTTAATGCCAATTCACTACGCGAGTCGACGTACAATTTATCAAGATATACCTGAGTCTAGCTCAGAGAATACCAATCAGTAACATGGTGGTGCAATTGCCAATATTCAGCTCCATGGTAGTATATGGGGTATGGCAAACGAGCGAGTTCGTTTGAATTGGATTACCGAACACCACGAGTAGGGACTACATCTAACATTGGCCATCTCGCGTACCCAACAACTACACATCCGAACAGAGGCTATTCCAGTACTTCAACTTTCCTCCAGTACGAGCATCCTCATGCAACGACATGTAACATCCCACACCGCCCAACCAGCAGAACAATCATCTCTTCATCATCCAACATCATTTATACAACACTAATCTACGTCATGGACAGCTTCCTGTATCCGTCTCAGCATACCTGCCCTAATTCATCTTTCTCACTCTTTCCTTACCCTCCTCCCATCGTTTGATCTGATCCACAAGCAAACCAATACACGCCCGCGAAACTAGCCTCTACCGCAACAAAACACCCTGAAGCCAGTAACGCATTCAGCTCAAGCCCACCCAAACCAGAACCCCCATCCCCTCCACCAGCACCACCAACCCCCCAACCGCCATCCCACTCCCCACCCTCCCACTCCGCCGTACATCCCCCTCACCCACCTCCCCCAACGCACCCCCATCGCAGAAAACCCACAGCACAACCGCCAACACACAAGAACCCAGCACCACCGCAACCGCGAAAAGCACCCGCCCCACAGCCAAAGCATGCACAAACCGAATCGCTACAACCGAATCCGGCACATCCCCCCCATCACGCCGTCCTTCACGCACAAACGCACCAACCCGCCGCGCCCAATCCACCCACACAAACGCACCCGCCCCAGCCTCAGGACAGCGGTACAAAGCCATAAGACCCTCCTCCGTGCACACGCCGCGCACCATACCGCCATCCCCCACAGCGAGGAGTCTGCACGGCGCGTGGCAAGAGGAGGGGGAGCCGCTCCACGTCCCCACGCGCACGAGTTGAATGGCTGTGAGTTTTCGCGCGCTGAGTGTGCGTGTCGCCCAGGGTCCGGCGAGGTTGTCATGTGCGCTGCGGAAGTGTTGGGCGAGGAGGTTGTCGTCGAAAGTGGGGGGGTTTTTGTTTGTGAGGGCTGGTGGTGGGATGGTGAGGTGGGTTAGTTTGGGGGGTGTGGGCGAGTTGGTGCGTTGGAGAGTGAGCCAGATTGTGGTTTCTGTTTCGTCGTTGCGGGATGGATGGGGTTTGTTTTCGGCGTGCTTTGATCGGGGTTGCGTGTTGTGCTCGTGTGGGCTTGGGAGGAGGCTGAGGACGTGTTTTCCTTTCCGGTCGTCGAAGGGGGTGTGGGGGTTGTCTGCGTAGCCGCTGTCTAACCTCACTTCTCCCTTTCCAAAGTCATCTTCACTATCGGCTCGTCCGAACTGCGATGGGAGTTCCGCACAAACGTCCTCGTGCGTGAATAGATCCGGCCTCTCACCACAATACGCACGAAGACGCCCCTCCCGATACCGATTCTCAACACTGATAGGAGACAGCGTAACCCGCCGATTCCTTGAGAAAGAAGCCTTCACATACTCCGCCCTAGTAGCCGAATACAACATCTCGCGGTCAAAGGGCAACGGAGCAAGAGCCTCAAACGCCCGCGCATGTCCCCGAAACACGGAATCCGCGCCAAACCCCTCAGACACACTCCTCCTATGCCGCCGGTAAAAGCCCAGCAACTCGGCCTGCGCATCCTTGCTATCGGGCGACAGTGGGATGGGCGACCCCGGAAACGGAGACGGGAACGGCGATGCATCCGACTCACCACCTCGCGTTGAACCGCGCGGTGTCCCGGGATTCGAGCCGTGGTTGTGCACGAGTTTTACTTTGTTTCTGCCCAGACGCTTCAGGGATATTGGACGCGCTTCGTTTGTGTCTTTGTTTTCTTCTCTGGTGGTGTGGATGCGTGGTGGTTCGGCGGTTGGGCTTCTTTCTCTGCTTCGGCCTCTTAGTCCGTATCTGGTTTCTATTCCAAGCAGCGTGCCCCGGGTAGGCTGCTCACGGATCTCGTCAGAGTTTTGCGTTGAGTCGTGATCTTTTCTGTCGTCTTCTCGGTCAGAATCTGGGGAGAGGTTGTTGAAGAACTCCGCATCAGGACATGTGCCGTACTCCATAGCGCTGCTCAAGGGTGGGTGAACCGACTTCCTTCGCGAATGCAGAGACTCCACAATCCGAGGCGACGAGGCAGGACTAGATGACAGTCTTGCGGACGAATGGTCGAGGATGAACGTGCGAACCGCGTCTGGGGGAAGTGGTAGCGTGGATATGCTAGGATCGAACGAACGGATGGGAAGCAATGAACTAGTTGATGCTTCGACCCGCGTAATCCTCATTCTGAAATATCTCACGCTGATGTACGTCTTTTCCTAGTGGGACGACTACTCTGAGTGGGCAGGGCGGAAATGTAACCCTATCCTCCACCAACAGAACCAGCGCTCGAGCATCAGCTCCTGAAACGGCATCGCCGGGAAATAGAACGGCCACAAGACGGGCAGGGTATAGAGGCGCGGACAAAGAATCCGACGCAAGGATATGGTGAGTACGTTGGACGACTGTCACAAAGAAGGCACATACCTGGTGTTCCCGATCTGCTCACTCTGCATCCTCAAGACGTGACTGAGTTCGCATGAGGCTGTAGCATTGGAAGGTACTGTCAAATCATACGAGAGACTGTGAGCAAGACCACATTCCACAGGGCTCCCTTGGCCAAGTTCGCGACACACGCCCCGCACAGTGAGCAAACGCGAGGTGTTGGAGAAACAAAACTATAATTGAGGACATACGGCCGTTTCTAGAAAGCCCTTACTCTATACATATATATACATATATATCGTGAATGAATTCGAACGACGCCGTATGCAATGCGGAAGCTCGAACATAAGATGGACATTGACGGAAAGGAAAATCTCGTAGTTCCATAAAGTTTTACCGCAAGACAAGCAAGCTTATTCGCCATCGCGGTCGAGCATCTTCCTCATAGCTTTTTGCGCGAGTTCTACACCCGCGAAGGTGGCCGCGTTTGCGGGAACGGCACGAGCCATGGCGGGTCCGATACCAGGGAAGAAAGCCTTGAAGCCACCGCTCGCGTGAATGCCCTTGATAGTGCCGCTGATTGTTGGCCGGCCCTCGGCGCTCTGCAGGCGGGACTTGATGGTGTCGATGGGGAACACGGGGATCCACATGGCGATACCGGCGGCACCACCAGCGACCATAACAGCCGACAAGCTCAGCGGCCCAGGCAGGCCAGTCACGGGGTCCTTGGGTGTGAGCTTCCTCTTGACGACCTCGTAGGTTGCGAAGTAGAATGCCGACCCGGGCCCGTCACGCGCCAGTGTCATGGCCGAGCCGCGGAACACGGAGCGAATACCGCCCTCCTTGTAGAGCTGCCGTACAACATCGACGCCGCCCGAGTACCGTGGCTTCTCGCCGGGTGCGAGCTGCTTCTGACCCTGGATCTGCAGGAGCACCTTGACGCGCTCGAAGGGGGCGGTGATGAGCGTCTGCGGGATGGCGCTGAAGAAGCCGGCGGCGGAGATTTGGGCGACGCTGAACTGGTTGTTCTCGACTTTGGAGAAGCTGGACACGAGCTGCTTGCCGACGTCATAGCCCCAGAAGGATACGGCGACTGGGTTTTGTCAGCACACACCATCTGTCACGGCTTGGGTGAATGAGCACTTACACATGGGCGTCACACCCACCAACGGCGCCGACACACCCGCGTACAGTCCTCTCGCCAGCCCATCCTTGGCGACCGATTTCCGCACGACATCCATAGCCCCGCTGTAGACTCCCTTCTCGGCTGTCTGCATTCGCACCTTGACCAGGTCGAACGGATGGCCGACGACGACGGCGCATACACCACCTACGCCTCCCGCGACCAGCGCCCGCAGCGACTGGAACGACTTCTTGGTCGCCTCTTTGACATCTTCCTTGAGCTCTTCTGGCGAGGGCAGCTTCTCGGCCAACTTTTCTGTCGTGCCTGTCATTGTGGGGTATGCGAGCAGACGCGGGGCGCGTCGAGGACGTCAAGTGGGGATCGCGCGTCTGGGCTGTAGAAAAGAGCTCAAAGGTGTAGGGAAAGAGTAACCTGAGCTGTGGTGATATGACGATTAGACAAACAGAGTGCAATATTGACTGTGGAGAAACAAAACGTGAATGTTGTGCAGACATGTGAGCAGCTCCAGTGATCCTAGCTCGGCATTCGCTCATGCCGAGGCAATGAATTTGGGTCGGTTCTCCAACTCCGAATGCTGCTCCCCACATCGTTTTTTGGTCTACCCCCATGTGTAAAAATGGTTGTCTGTGAGAAGTCCGAGGCATATGAAGTACTCTCCTCCTCTTGAAGACTTAGCTTTTCCATAGTTCATAATCACAGGGTTCGGGGAAACGGATCCCCTCGACGCTTACAACTCTCACCATTGCGCTACTGTGGATATCTCGATATGAGGGGTCTATTCAGATTTCCGGCTTTTTTCCTTAAACGCCTGCAGCCATCTCTATCATATTCCTACACCTCACCGTCTATTTTCCAACATTCGTGAACCTCAAGTACTTCTTGACCTCCCTGACCTCTCCAAACTTCTTCCTCGCATCCTCCGTGCTAACACTCGGCGGCACAATAACATCCTCGCCCACAGTCCAGTTAATCGGCGTAACAACGCCCTTCTTATCGCCCGTCTGCAGACTATCGATAACTCGCAGCACCTCAGCAGTATTCCTCCCCGTGCTCGCAGGGTACAGCATCGTGAGCCTGATCTTCTTTGCCGGATCGATAATGAACACGGCACGGATCGTGAACGCAATACCCTTCTCGGCGATGTTATCCAGGTCGTCTTGCGAAATCATGTCGTAGAGGAAAGCGACTTTGCGGTCTGCGTCGGCGATGATGGGGAACTGTACGTTGGTGTTGCAGACTTCGTTGATGTCCGCGACCCAGTCACCGTGAGAGTTGAGGTCTTGAGCGCTCTATATCGTTGTTAGTCCACGATTCTTGCATGAATCTTGACAGGGCATCTTACAAGACCGATCATCTGCACCCCCCTTGCATCAAACTCGCCCTTCAGCTTCGCAAAAGCACCGAGTTCCGTCGTGCACACGGGCGTGAAGTCAGCCGGGTGGCTGAACAAGACGGTCCATTTGCCGTCGATGAACTTGCGAAGTGTCAGCTAGGCACACTTCTCCCATCTCAACGCAAACTCTACAAACCTTGTGGAAATCCAGATCGCCATGTGTAGTTTTAGCCTGGAAGTTCGGCGCTTCAAGTCGATCAGCACAGTCCTCCCTTCTTATTTCAACCCCACAAACATACCAACAGATCCCAGTCTCAGTCGCGGCTGCTCAGCCGGAACCGCAAGGCCGCGACGAAGCAGCGGGACAGCAGGGCGCTGGTAGCTCAGCACCGGGCGCGCCAAAGAGCGGAAAGCGCGAGGAGCTGTACGGGGGAGAAACGAAGCCATATTTGTGATGAGTGTTGAAGATTGAGACTTCAATGAGCACTTTGAAGTTTTTACTCAATGGCGATTTCTAGACGGATAGTTTTTTGACATGGCGTCATTCCGAAAGAATCGGAAAGCGTTCGGTCCGATCTCGGCTGGGCTCTTGTCGGGGAATCATGTTTTCGTAATCTTCACATCTTATTTGTAGGTCAGGGAGCGAACTCACACAATTAAGGGAACTGAGACCAAGGTGTGGTACTTCGAAATGTTCGTTTTGGCGGCTGCTGTGGCACTGGCATGGTATGAATCCTGAGCATGACGTCGACCCCGCCTGCTGCATGTTCGTCTGTGCTCAAGCTCCAAAGAACTGGGATGAGCAGCTGGGATCTTGACAAGGACAGCTCAGATGGCTGGTACAAAAACTTGCTGCAGTCCCCGCGCAACGCGTTATTTTGCAATGCCGCCTTTCCAAACTACCCCAATAATACCAGACAGCAATTCCACAGTTCGACACAACCGCACCGCGTGTCCAACATGTCCTCCACATCGCCCAAATCAACCGGCAACCGCTTCCTGAGCTTCGAGAAGAACCCTCCTCGCATATGGCTAACGGCCCTATCCCCCCACGCTCCCGAGAAAGCTCTCCTATCCTGGCAAGATGAAGGCTTCGATGTGCGATATCTCCCATACGACTCTGCCGACCAAGCCGACTTCATTCGCACAATCAAGAATCTTCACGTGGATCTCAAGCTCGGCGAACATTACGCCATAGTAGCGTATGGCGAGGCCGCAAGCATGGTCTTGAAGGCAGCGTTCAAGCCAATGGTGAAATGCTGCGCAATCGTAGCCTACTACCCACCGCTACTTCCGAGCCCGAATTTTAAGTATCCGGACTCGCTGCAGCTGCAAATGCATCTCGCTGGCCTGAAGCAGGACGATTACCCGCATCCCGACCTCTGTAAATGGAAGTTCTACCGCTACGACGACTGCACCACGGGCTTTGCGGATCCTTCTTCGCGAACCTATTCGGACGTCGAAGCGAACTTGGCATGGAGCAGGGCGTTGGCGTGCGTGAGAAAAGGATTCAACGAGGACGTCGACCTGGAACCGGTAGTGCGCAGTTTCTGGGAGGCGAAATACGAGGACGACCTGCCTGAGCGGGGGAGCATGAGCGTGGTCAAGAACATGACACAGAACAGCCCGCACGTCACTATTCTGCCGACACTAGAAGGAGGCGTCGGGAGAAAGAATTTGCAGGAGTTCTACAGGGAGTTTTTCATTCCGAGTCTGGTTGAGGACTTCAAGATTCGGTTGGTGTCGAGGACAATAGGCGTCGATCGTGTGGTTGACGAGATGGTCGTGTCTTTCACTCACTCCGACGAGATTGATTGGATATTGCCGGGCGTGCCACCGACAGACAAGTATGTGGAGATACCCGTCGTCAGTATTGTGGCCATAAAAGGAGGGAAGTTGGTGTCGGAGCATATGTATTACGATGCGGCGTCGGTGTTGATGCAAGTCGGGCTGCTGGACCCTAAGAATGTGCCGAAGAACTTTAGAAATCAGGGGCTGAAACGGTTGCCGGTTACTGGTGTGGAGGCAGCGAAACAATTGGTGGAACCACGGCAAGAGCGATATAATGGTCTGTTGCAGGAACATGGGTTGATGGATGGACTGAATGGCTCGAACAAGTAGACGGTTCCTGAACGATGCCTCCATGTGCTAAAGCTTCGTGTTCCCGTATTTGGCGTGCAGTCTCTTCAGCCGATGAAACTAATTTGATGAACAAGTTAGCACAAGTCTTGCTATGTGTTCTGCGAGTTTTCCTACCTGCACGTTGGCAATTTGTACTCGTCCAAGACCCAGTACTTCCTCCGTACTCCCGCCCACTCGCCCTGTTCGTCAAGATCAGGAATAGGTATTGTCTCCCACTCAGTGTCGAAGCCAGCATCGAACAGATCGAACTCGACAATCTTGTTGTACACATCCTTGACGATCTGGCGGTCCGCCCCCATCCCGTTGAAGAAGCCAAACTTCCCGCCTTCGCCCGCTGGACCACCCGCCGGATCTAACAGTCCGATTACGAATTCCGTGAAGAACTCCCGCAGCGCCTTGTACTCTTCAGCAAATGTGTCGAAGTAGATGGCGTCAAACAGCTCTCCCTTCTCAACTAGACCAGGGACGACATCCTGCCAGCGACCCTCGTGGATGACGACACCAGGCTTCTTGTCCCACCCCAGCTCCTTCATGCGCTTCAACACATCTGGGTGTGCTTCGATGATGTGGTGCGACTTGGGCTCTTTCTCCTGCAAGATGCCATCGATGATGCCCATCCCGTGACCCACATTCAGCACGCGCAGCCCAGGCGCCGGCAGAAGCAGCTCTGCAGATCGTCGCATGAGCGTAGTCTCCCACTCCATCATGACGCCGTTCGCAGACCCATCCAAAATGCGGTCGCGGTCAAACGTCAACGCCGACGCGAGGTAGTTGGGATTCTCCGTCGACGCGTCGCCCTCGAGCTGCACGACTTCGATACCCTCCATCACTTCGTCCATCTCGTCTCCCTCCTCGTCCTCGTCTTCATCCTCGTCCTCGTCATCATCCGAATCAGCTCCAAGCGGCTGGTACTCGTCCAAGCGACTCAGCAGCAATTCCGCCCGCACACCCGCATCAACACACAACTCATACAGTTCCTTCAAGCCTAGCCGATGCGCTATGCAGCCCGGCGTCTCACCATTGATATCCAAATCATTCCAAATCGCGCCGTTCTCAAACAGTAACTTCATCGTCTTTGCAGCAGCCTCGATTTCCTGTTTCTGCGCCTCGCTCGCCCCGTTCGTGGCACCGTTCGCATGGCCGTTGACCTTCTGCGCGTCGTCGTCTTCTGGCTCGCAAGCTGCGATTGCGGCGTGCAAGGGAGTGAACCCCGTCTCGGAATCTTGCACATTGGCGGATGAGTTGCGGAGGAGGTTTCGTAGGGATTGGATGTCGTGGTTTGCGGCGGCGAGGAGGATGCTTTGCGTTGAGAGGTCTGTCTCGATGTCGAAGGCTGGGTCGTCCATTTTGAGTGTCCTTTCGCGTTGTTGGTGATTTGTGGGATCTATCTTGGTTGTATGCGGTGGAGGGAATGTACAAGATATAGTCGCGTGAGGTATTGTCCTGTACAGTTTTGGTACTTTGCGAAGGAGGGGTTCTTGGTGGGGGTTTTGGGAAATTTCTCGGGGCGAGTCATGTGTTGAGTTTGGCTCTGAGCTGCTGCGTCATGTTCTAGACATCTTTTGAATCACGATGACTTCCGGAAGTGAGCATGTCTACTTCAAACACAGGGTCAAATATCCATCCATTTGTGAGTAGAGTCTTGACATCTACATTGGGAAGTGTTCTTTCAAGGCTAGTACCTCATCCTGATCCATTAGATAGCGACAAAGATGAACGTGTGGAAGGCAAAGAGTGAAGCCTCAAAGACGAAGTTGTTTGCTCCATCTATCATCAAACCTTCAATCTCTATACTCTGCTTGACTGGTTTTTGTGTCGTGCAAAACCATTACACGACCCCTAAAGATTGTATGCCAACATTCCAGCTCAAGTTGAGAAGGAGATGGACTTCGATTGCGTGGACAGAATGCGGGAGTGCAAGCTAGATACTGCCTTGATTGCGCGTTTGTGTTCAAAATCACGGTCGAACCAGCGTGAACCATCAAACTGGAATTGTGTTTGTCAAGTTAAAAGCTTTCTATAAGTTATAAAGCGACGAGCCCACCACATACCTTTCACTGTTCTGACACACTCATCCTTTCCTGAATATCATGACCGACCTTCCAGCTCATATGATGTTGGGACGACACCCTGGTCAACATGTCAGCATTTCACTCAAGGGATAGTCCTTTCACGTTGGCCAATGGCTCGTATATTCACTGTTCATCCTGCCTTTCCATGGGACCCCTTGACGGTATATAAGCCTTCAACCACAACCTATATCATGTCTCCAACACTAGCAAATCAACTCGATATCAACTTCAACTCTTAGCCTACCAGTCCTCTTCTGCACCCGATCACAGCCACGTTGAACTACTATCCGTATCACTACACAGTGTAAGCTTTGCCCTCAACGTCCGAACACTGATGAGCTACGACACTAACCTGAACTTGTAGATTCATATACAATGCCGGTCCAAATCATCCCCCACACTCAAACGCGCTCACTCGTTGCCGCTAGCGTCGCACCCTTCAGACCAACTGCAGCAGACTTCCCTCCGCTTGAGCAGACTGAAGACATACCCAGCAGGCACACGTCTACTCCCACCATCGAGTCAAACCCAACATGGGTCTCCATCGCAATGAAAGGGTTATATATAACCAAGGCCAACACATTTCTGTCATTCCTCAAGTTGGCCCCTGAGATCCGCGATATCCTATGGGATATTGCCATGCAAGACGCGCGCTCCACTAACGAGATCGACCTCCGGGACTTCACCAGGCGCGCCCAGAACGTCAACCGACCAACATTCCTTCCCACTATATGTCGTGTATCCAAGAGCACCTCAGCCGAAACAATGGGCGTCTTCCTGCGCGGATCCACTTTCACCATCTCGAGCTTCGCCGACAACGAGTTCTTTGTCAAATTCCTCAACAACATCAACGCCTTCGATGCAGTCCGAAGGCTCCATTTCAGATTCTTCGACTGCTTCCCCACAAGCTTCGCCGATAACGCGGACCTCGAATTGGCTGTCCGCTGTCCTGGGCTGGTGAGTGTGAAGCTTGGAATGCACACCAGCAAGCTCGTCATGTGGGTGTTGGAGGGCGAGTACGAAGATGGTCTGACCCGCTTTCCCCGCCGAGTCCAAGAGATGTGGGAGCATTACAAGCTCGATCGGTTGTTGGATTGCGACAAGTTGCAGGAGGTCGTTATTGAGCGCAAGGGTCGCTCCAATGATGAAGCTGTCCAGGCTGCTTGTGCGTTGGGGGAATGTATTAAACAGCGATATATGGAAACGCGGAAGCGCGAATTGTTAGTCGAGTATAGTGTCGAGCGGCGTGTTTACTACTCAAGGCATTGAAGGTGAATCGAGTTGGCTAGACTTTGAGAGTTCCTCACAGAGAGTTCGTTCAGTATGTAGAGGGGTCAGCGGAATATATGTGTGCCGATGAATCCAAGTACCTAGTAAATAGAATCCAGATATTAAATATCGATCCACATTGCTCACCTCGTCTCCTCTTGATAGATCTTCTATGAGCGGCAAGTATATCATAGTACGACTTTGGCTTCCGTCTTGGTGATTTATTACGACATCGCAAGCAAAAAGGTTATTGTGATCGATAGTATAGAAACGTAGGACACGGCCAAACCTACTGTTGATCCCGTCGATGATTGTACTTGTATGAACGGCGCGGGTACAATTTTCAATACAATTGCTTACAATCACCGCGCCACATGTTAGGAATCCAGCTTACATCAAAGTTCACAGACAGGGGGGAATATACATTGGGAGAAAGTAAAATTGAATTTGTTACATAAAATTAGGATCGTCTCATCTTACTTCGTACATGTGTAGTAGACTGCGAAAATATTACAACATCTAGTCTTCGTGGTCGTCCCTCAACACTAGAACAGTGTTAGGCGACTTGCATATCAAGTTCTTTTCCGAGATCTAGACTTGGACCTCCTGTCGCTCAGCAGGCTCCAAGATACCACCCCTCGTTCCAGCCTGCTCAGCCTTGCTCCAGGCGCGACCACCAGGACCGTAGTGCAGCTTGTCCGTATCTACCAGGCCGTCCTTTTGCAGCGACGATGGGTCCCACTTAGAGCTCGTGATAGGGTTGACATGTAGCATGTACATAGTATCAACCTCCTCGAGCGAGCGGCCCTTGGTCTCGATCATGAAGAAGTAGACGACGAAGAAGAGCACAGCGCAGCTGACGGCAAAGACCAGACCGTAGAAGTAATCAATCTTCTTCGTGATCAAGGTAGAGAAGAACGAGATGAGGAAGTTGAACAGCCAGTTGCTAGCGGTAGCCAGAGCCATGCAGATAGCGCGGTAACGGGCAGGGTAAAGCTCGCCGACAATGGCCCAAACAAGAGGACCCCAGGTGGTCGCGAAAGCTGCAATGAACAAACAGGTGAAAACGATCATGATGTTACCGGCCTGGGGAGTGGACTGCGGGTTGACGTGGTCGAGCATGTATTGTCCGACGAAGGAGTAGATGAACAGACAGATGCACATCCATGCGGCACCGCCCATCATGGCCTTGCGGCGGCCGACATTCTCCACCATCCAAAGTCCGAAAATCGTAGCAGCCACGTTGACAGTGCCAAGGATGATGGATGTGACATAGGAGTTTTTCAATCCGGTTGCGGCGAAGATCGTAGTTCCGTAGTAGAAGAAGTAATTGGCACCCGTGAGTTGTTGACCAGCCTGAAGAGCCATGCCCAACAGTGTGCGGTACAGCATACGCGGACCAGTAAAGATCTCGTGCCATGGGTGATCGCCACCGGTTGCCTCTGCCTCTAGCTTCTCTTGGATTTCCCGGATTTCGTTGTCGATGAAGGCGCAATGGGGATCGACGCCATTCAGGCGTGCCATGTTCAGGCGAGCATCATCGACGTTGCCCTTGCGGTAGGCGTAACGAGGCGACTCGGGTAGGAGAAGAATTGTGGTGCCCAGAATAATGGCCCAAAGAGCAGAAAGTCCGTTGGGAATACGCCATTGCGCGCTATTGGCGTAGCCTGCCGATGTACCGTAGTTCACCATGTAGGCTGTCCAGATACCAAGCGTGATGAGCAACTGGTACGAACTAACAGTTGCACCACGAATCTTCTTTGGGATCGACTCAGATTGGTACATTGGCACGACCGTGGAAAGCGCGCCTATGCCAAGTCCAGCAGCGAAGCGGCCCATAGCAAATTGTACCCACACCCTCTCGCTGGTGATCTCGATGATCACGCCGATGATGTAAAAGAATGCAGAACCAGAGATAGTAAGACGTCGACCGTATGTATCAGCTAGGGGTGCGGAGCACAAGCAGCCGATGAGGGTACCAATACTGGAAGATGATTAGACAAGCGTATAGTGCTAAACCATAACTATCAACTTACGCGAGAAGACCAACGATTGTTCCCTGACGAATAGGGGAGAATGCTCCATTCTCACCAAACCTTTCGAGAAAGTCGGACATAGCGAGAAATCCTGAATTAAGGTAAGTATGACACAGACAAATCGAAGATGGAAATGCGCACCAGAAATCTGTCCCGATTCGTACCCGAACATGAAGCCACCGATACTGGCGGTCGCTCCGAGAACCACGGCGATGAAAGGGACTTTGGTTGGCTCTTCAATAGCTCCATGTGGTGCAGCGTGAGAGTTGTTGCGTGTTGGCGTATCTGTAGGCGTTGTGGTGTTTGGAGTTCCTTTGCCTTCCTCCTCCTTGGTTTTCTTGCCGTAGAAACGCATCTTGGGCGGAGCGTATGATATTGTCCTCAGAGTGTAATTGACTCAAAGGTTCTGCTCCTCAAGGCAAGAGTGGGTTCGAAAGGGTGTTTGTTGGGGAATAGCTGGAGAATGGAGGGTGAGTGTGGGTTTTGAGGGGATTGTCGCTCTTCATATATAACGAGTTTGCGTGGGGACTTTGCGGACATTGGAGCCCCGCTGTCAGTCCGGGATTGCATTGCGCGCCCCGAATTTCGCCTTAGCAGCAAAACTTCGTCGACGATGCTCTGGAACACTGGGGCGGGTGATGTAACGGCTTGCTCAGAGTCGTCGAAGGTCACCAGTCAGGGTTGCACTCGGACCGCGAAGTGACCGACTCGAATTTCTCGACGCGCTTGTGATCGGAAGAGTTGCCAGAACATGGGTAGAACAAGCGCAAGCTGCATGCTGCTCACCCCACGGCGTCGGGATGATGGAGGCCCATGGGCATCTTTCCCTCAGTGCGGGCTCTGCATGCTGCATCCCCACGGTCACGCATCTCGGTGGAGCTTTCCATGGGTTCCAGTTCGTCAACAAGGGATCAGCTCGATAAGCTGCGCTTAATCACCCCGATGTGTTGCCGGATGACGATCGGTCAGATCATGGTACCCTACGATTTGTCTTGGCGGTGTTGGTTGCAAACGCCGATGTTTGCCGAGAATGCCTCACGTGTTGCGCGAGCAACCGGAACTCGGACCCAAGGTGACAGCGCTAGCAGCCTCAAATTTTGCGAAGAGTTTTTTGCTCGTTTCGTAAAAGAGGGTCGTAGTGGAGTCTCTGGAAAGGGTCGCATCGCGGTGGCATGGTCGTCGAACGTGAGAGATTTATGCAATCTCTGCATAGAAGGAACCGAAGTGTTGCCGGATGACGTCGCCTGCAGCACGACGCGAGGGTGCACTTTGCAAGCCAGACATGGACGACTCCGTCGGAAGGTATCACGGCTCTACTCTGCTCAAGTTAGCTGTGGACTATTGATCGCATGTTGGGACAGGCTGCAATCTCCAGTTATTTGATCCGACTTACTATGTATCCACTCCATCATGCAGGAGTCTCGATCAGGGACGCAATCATGTCTTCGGCACCGCAAGAGAGGAGTACCTGCGAAGCCCCGCTGTAATGGACAGGTTGTGATATCGAAAGTTACCAGGTGCTACGCGACCCCGTGGGGACCTGATTGTTTATAAAGCTGTCTTCGGACGTATCTTCTCCGAAGTGTGGGGTGCGGAGATCCCAAACAAGTACAGTTTCCGCTCATGGCGACAACTATAGTGTCATTAACGCAACTCTTTCATCCCGTCTTCTGATGACAATTTCCCAACGTGCCCCGAGTGGCGAGAAAAGTACGCAACAACCGGGAAAATCTTAAGAGAGAGATGTAGTGACGCGTTTTGCGGTTGCAAATGGTGTAGAGGCTCTCTCTGATCTAACCTTGGACACCCTCGAAGACGCGCCATCGTCGTGAAGAGCCTAAGTGTAAGTCGAAACTAAGGCTTGTCGAGATGCGGTCATCATCCAGTCGTTCCAACAGTTTGCGTCTCTTCCTAGATTGAAAGCTTTTCGTCGCGGGGTGTGGATTGTGAGCTCTGAAATGTGAAGTGTGGAGTGGAAAATGTGGAGTGTGGAGTAGCGATGGATGGAGAAAGTCTAGGCCCGTACCAAGAACTCCTAGTTCAACCCGCGGTTTATCTCCACGCGAACTCATATCTTTTTCAATAAACTTGCCTACATGCCCCTGTTGTCGAAGATCAACTCGTTTTGAGACAAACAGTCTGCCTAGATTGACACCTCTTTGACAGATGCGTTGGGCATGCGTTGAGTTCAAATGAGAGTAGTCAAGATAGCTTTTTGACAAACTACGGACTCTCCTGATAATTTCATGGTTAACCGATTCATCGAACGACAGACCTGAGATACACAGCTCAAACTCGCATGCATTGATACTATGGTTTCTTGCATTGGAAGACACTACTGTACGTGTGTCTCAAGCATATTTGTTTTCAGTTGTTCATCATGATGCGCTCTCTATTGCAATCTTTTGTGATTCTTGTTTGGTAACTTCGGCGCTCCTTTTATGTGACATTTCAGATACAACCCATACACGATCCCATTTATTCACTCGAAGTATCCGAAATCAGAAATGTTAACTGATTCAAGATAAAAGGTTACTAACTTAAATTTATCAATTTCTCCCCAAGTATCCGAAGAGATCGTTGATAGTCCAGTCCAAAACGTCAGCACGCCATTGAATCTCGTCCTCAGTTATGTAGCTGTGCGGTTCTTCTTTGGTGTGATTTGGGCACATCTATGTTTGGGCTTATCATATTGTCTGAAACATATTGAATGTGCGAGCAATATTTGTCTGACCCACAAACATACTAGGAATCTATCACAAGCCCTTGCTCTGGCGCAGACGCTGTAATTAGATAGGTGAAGATCATTTCAGCGGTCTTTCCACCTAGCGGAAGGCTCGTATGTCCATCAACCTGCCTAAGAACCAGCACCTTGTTTCGTATCTCCCCTAGCATTCCCAACGCCCATGGCAACCCCGTGATCGGATCTGCGGTGCTCTGCGTCATCAAAATCGTCGCTTTCGTGTTCACGTCCAGCTGCTTTGGGGGATTTTTCACTGGTATGGGCCAGCCCAGGCACGAATGCTGAAGCTGCCACATTTCGCTTACGCCACGAGTCAGCGGGGAGAACTCTGTAGCCATAGCTCTTTGTGCTAGGATGTCAGCGAGAGAAGAGGAGGATGAGTGCGTCCAGTCGAGACAACCAATTGCGAGACCGGAGATAGACGTTGGGTCTGAGAAGGATGTGGATAGTGCGGAGGCATCGCCTTGAGTGGCGTTGTACAAAGCAGAGGCTAGCAATTCCCAGGAAGAGCCGAAGCCAACTCCTTGACCTGCGAAGTCTAAGTAGCTTTGTGCGTTAAACATGATTTCTTCGGAATTCACATCGGAGCGGCAGTCTGTGCCATTGCATGATGCTGCGGGGATGGGGGTCGAAGTTGCATTTATGAGAAGCGATACCCACAGTGCTTCAGCGTCCTGGCCCCGGAGCACCGACGACTCATTCTTGGAGGCCCAATCGAAGAAGTGAGTCAGTCCAAGGGCGTAGGATGATGTCTCGATGAAGATGTTTGCGGCTTCCGACTGAGAATGCTGCAAGATACCGTCGATGGCGAGAGTGCGGATGTTGTCAGGGAAAAGAGCTGCGTATTGGGCGCCGAGCTGTGAGCCGTAGGACATACCGACAAAGTTGATAGGGTCGTTGCCGAGTGCTACGCGAACAGCTTCGTGGTCTTTCGCGGCGCTGATGGTTGTTAGTCTCCAGAATCTTTTCCAAGATATAGCGACGTACCTGATAGTATCGAGGTGTTCCAGCAGCGGGCCCGTCAACTCCCGACATGATTCCCCCAGCCTCTTGTTCTTGTCTATCAACTTCTCCAGGTCTTCTTCAGTTTCAGGAAACAGGGACACCCTCTCTGCGTAGATATCCATGTCGCACTGGACTTGACTGCTCAGTCCTACACCTCTGGGATCTAATCCAATGAAGTCGAAGCTTGCTAGGAATACTTCACTCTGGATCGCGCCCAGTGCGAGCTGGGCGATGAGTTCCGATGCACTTCCACCCGGCCCTCCTGGGTTGATAAACAAGCTGCCGACCTTGGAGGTCAAATTCGAAGGGATGGCAGATACTTTGACGAGTCCAAGGTCGAAATGCTCCCCGTACGGTGCATCCCAGTCTATGGGTACTGAGAAAGTGGCGCATTGAAGATTTTGTGGTGCATCAAGATCGGAAGGACAAGCGCCCCATTCGATTGACGATGCTGTACTGTTTCTTGGTGGAAAGTAGGTTGAATTCAACGTTTTCGTGGGTAATGCGTATGTGGACGCGAGGCAAGACGCGATCATGGATAGCGACGAAAGGCGCAACTGATGGGTGAGACGCGCCATGATTGCGAGTCTTTCAAAAACAAAAACTAGTACTTGTAAAAGTGGTTACTCTGCACAAAAATACTATTCCAGCGTTCGCGATCGCTTATGTTTCTTTATATTGAATTCCTTCTCGAAGTTGGCGGACGTCGTCACTTATTGCGCCCCATCGCTGGACGCCGCACGCATCCAAGCCACCAACGGCCACGTATAGAGTTGTCTGCCTTGGAAACAAAGTTGCCGGTACAACCGCAGTAAAGTAACGTCGAGGTAGACAGCCAGAAGCCTAAGTTGGACAGGGGTTCAGCTAGCTATATTAAGCAAAGCGCTTACTCCGCACTTTCCCCTACAAGGAAAAGCGCAGATGACACTACGCGTATGAGTTGCAACAGACCAAAATCTTACTCAGACTCGTACTCAACAAGTCCATCGACCGCACAATCTTTGCCTCTTATGGGACACAAGTAATACATTGCCAGACGGTGCACGCTGAGATGAATACACCTAGCGAAAACGGGAACGGGGAGCCCTGCGTTCAAGTTGTCGATGAAGCTACTACTGAAGGGATGAGACGGCAACTAGATTCACTTATGTCAAACACAGATGTACTAGATGAACTTGTGATCCATTGTTTAGGAGCAAAACCATTGATGTTGCTCTACCTTGACAACATTTGGACGCCGAGAGCCGAGATATTGGTTCCTTTTCTCTTTTCCTCTCAAAGCTTTAGACCAACCTCGCAACATGGTCATTGCGTGCCTTCACGCTCCACATCGCTTATGGCCTCATATCCCCCCTCCTCAGGATTTGTTATCGCTGACAATAGGCTTAGGGCAACAACGAAAAGCGCGCCCGCAAACAAAAACGGCAGTCCAAGCCAGCCTTCGCCTTTCTGGTTCATGCCCATTACGTATAGTCCAGCATATATTGGTCCGCTGATCGACCCACCGATCGCTCTCAACATTGTGATCGCGGAGTACACGACGCTGATCTCACTTGGATCAACCATGTCCGTCGTCATCGACCGTAGTAACGCGTCTTGCCCGGTTCCGAATGCCAGGAGGACGATACCTAGAAAGAGACAAACAAGTTAGAGCAAATTACTTTCATTAGGGTCTATGCCTCGTAACTTCAGCACAAGTAGCGCACTTACCGAGGATTGCAACAAATACAACAGGTGCGAAACCAAGACAGAGTGTCCCGACCGCAAGTGCAGCAAGGCTTCCTTGAGTAAGATACTTATCTTTGTCGAAAGAGCAGAGACTACGAAGCTTATAAGGCAAGTGCGATGTGAGAAGCGGCAGGAGTAAGACGAGTGTAAGTAGTTCAACACTCATTTCGAGCGAGTTGAGGAAACTAGCCTGAGTAAATAACAATCATTAGTCGGTCGACAATTCAAGTGAACTCTATTGGAGAAATCAGCTTACATCTGCGAAGGTCCACTCATAACGTTTTGAAACATATATGGCCAACATCAAAGGTACAGAGTCGAATCCTAGCTGGCACAAGAGGACCAACACCAACATAGTGGCTACTTGCTTGTTTCCAATGAGCATCGCAGTAGTATGCCTCAGTTTCCTACAGAAAGACCTGACACGTAATCTCCAATCTCCGGCGATAACGCTGTGACCCGGCGCCGATTGGTGGTTTGACGCCGATGTGGACGGAATCATTCTTGCTGTGACAGTAGCAATACAAAGACTTCCCAGGCCCAGCGCCCACGGCAACCACTGGTTAACCTTCATTGCCATACCACTGGCTGCATAGCCTAGAATACTTGCCCCGACGCCTGCAGCCCGTACTCGGAAGAACATCTTTGTTCGCTCCTCTGGGTTGACAACATCTGCAATGATGACATGCAGTAACGTGACAACAACAGTGAAACCCCCGCCAAGGAAACAGAAAAAGAAATGCAACCAAATCAGTCTGATAGGAAACACGTCAGGAAACCAGCACACTATGAATGGCCAGCCGTCCTCTAGAAATATGCCAAACACAGCAAGTGAGAGTATGAAAGAATGGCCGCAGCGATCTGCCAGAGCAGCGAAGGGAATTGCAAGTAAGGAAGGGATAATAATGGAAAGGCGCTCAATGCCCCCTAGGAAGGCGAGTTCTTGTTGCACAGGTGCGATCTTGCAGTCGTAAGGACCATTTTGCGCTGTGTCGGCATAGTGACGGTCGCAAATGATGGACTCGTAGATCGCAATGCGTGGAGCGGGTTGAATGCTTTCCCCGAAGAGAAACAGGAAGGCCGTAACATAAACGAGAGAAACAGTATGTTTCATTGTGAAGGGGTGCTGGTACAATGACGAAAATGGAAAGAAATTTTGATCTAATCAGATGAGATGAGATGACGGCCTGTCTGTGTGTCGTACTAGTCCAAATTTGGTTAGATCTACGGAAATGCGCCGCGCCGAGAAGGGGCACCGGCAATTCAAACTCTGCCAGTTCTGCTGTCCATAGAGCTGCAGTGAAGGCCACTCCCATGCATACGGCGATCGGGACGGCCAGGATGCATGGCCGCTGATATTTGACAAATTGGACCCTCTGCAGAGCGCAACCGTACAAACTATCCGCACATACTGGACCCTGAATGGTCCTGGTAAATTGAAGTTCTAGACGGTGGAGGTCTTACCGAACTGCAATGAGCAACTTTTCGTACGTTCAGTAGGTATGCGGTGAACGAACTTCGAGATGCAGGATTCACTGCGTTCGACGTTTTTCCTCCAGTCCCCCGTGGGATTCTTCTCGCACCAAATTCGGATTGCCAGCTTGCTTGAAGGATTGCCCTCCTGGGCCTATATGTCAGCGTTGGAAAGGTGGCGGAGTTGAAGCTGCGAATACTGTTGTAGAACCTCGCCTATTGGTTATTGATCAGGCGCCCTCAGCGTGGCCTGACGGGTCGGTCATTGCATCCGTACCACCGGCGTCATGTGGGCGGCCTCCTGCAGCATCGTGGGCAACGCCCACCTCAATATCTCTTCATCCATTCTTCGGCCTATTTGGGCAGGTACACCATGACCGATCTTGATAAGACTCAAGAGCAGCCGCCAACACCGGCGTGCATCCGGAACTATGATATAAATGATCCACTTCAACAGGAAGTCACTTGCGTCTTCGACCGTCTCAAGAATGACATCATGGGCATTATCGCGCTCGGAAATGATGGCGTCTTGCGTTCATTGACCGCTGATCGAAGAGTGCTATCAGCCGAAGGATTGCGTAAGTTTGACAGTCCAGTCCATCAGGCCACTCATTCCTACCATATCTCGATCCTGACGTCCGTTCTTCAGGCCCAGAACTAATCGAAGCGTTTCTTCGCCGGTTTCCCGAAGACTACGTAAAGAGAGCACAGGAGCAGGGATTGAAAACTTCCGATGGGACAAAAACTGCAAAAGAGAAATGGTTCAAGCCTGATGAGGATATTTTGCCACCTCCCCTACCTCAGGAGGAACTGGAGAAGGCTAGAAACATGCCGGAAGACCAAAAAGAGTTACTGAGACAGAGGATGAGAGAGCGTGAAAAGTGAGAGCTCACACCCGAACGCCGGCCCCAAGAACTGACTTGATGTAGCATATGCGATGAAGAAGGAATTTTAGGTTGACAAAGTATGGTTAGTTAGTGTATAAGCGGTCCAGCATAAGACAACACTATTCCTACCTTTGTCAATTATCTCTTAGTCATCAACAGATAGACATACTATGCCGAGTAAATGTATTATGTGTGTATACGTACTAGCTTAAACGCCGTCAGCGAACAAGATGCAAAAACTACTTTTGCATCGACATGGTTTTCGAGTGAGAGACTCCTACGCTCCAATGTATGCATGGTCATAACACCTGACTCTGCTAGCTTGTGATTCATACTTCTCCAAAGGTCACCAGGTCCTATAACCCCAACCGAATGATGCAGCAGATGACGCATGGGTCGATCCCGATTTGTTTATATGGTTGATGTGTTTCAGTGAATATATAAAATATCCAGTTTCATGTACCCTTCTCAAGCCCATCAGCTAGAACTATAACATTCAACTGCTGTTTGAGTCGAATATGACATTGTGCAAAAGATACAACCGAATGGGGAAGCATGAAAAAAGTAAGAACATGTAGCCCTTTGTGTCAACTACATCACGAACCATTCGTCCCATTCCCCCCAAACATGCATCGAATTCCTATCACCAACACGACGGAGCGGATCCAATGGATCTCTACCCCTCAAGATCCAAGCTACCGACGTAAAACTACCCCAGAATCCACCATTTTTGTCCATATCGAACTCGAATACCGGACACACAAGCCGACTCTCTTGCACTGGCCTCCCTGTGTTTTCATCCACCTCACTTTCCTCAACTTCAATGACGCGCCTTGCTACTACGGCGCTCTGCTGGGCGTCCGAGGGACCTTCTCGTGGCGGCTTCCTTTCAAGGAGAGAAACTGATGCACGCCGAGTGATAGGACAGCGACATCGGGTGGCCGCGAAATACTGAAGTAAAGATACGATTAGCCGATATTCTGATCATTTAGGAGGTTTGACGTACCAGTGGAAAGATTATCGAGGCTTCGAAAGTGAAGTGAGCGCCTGCCTGCCTGTAGCTTCTGGCGGATGCCAATGTTGTTTCTCTTCTGCCAGATAAGTATCTGGAGCCCGAAGCTGTAGCGGAGGATTCGGACGGTACTGATGGGATGCATAAATTCATGGAGTCCAGCACAATCTTCGCGTGATAGTTCAGGGATCTGAAGTTGGAGATATGTGCATCAAAGATGGTTTGATGGATATCGACAGCGCCTGCCAAGGCCAAGTAAGTGCAGTAATGTGATACTTTGAGTGAGCTTGCTATGACCTTTTCCTCGTTCGATAACTCCCCACCCCCTTGAAAGATCTGCAGGTTGAGCAGCCAAGACTCATGACAAGTCAGAAGATAGCCGCGATATTGCAAATCTTTGATCGAAGGTTGAATTCTTGAACTAAGCTTTCTGAAAATGATCGAGATCAACACTACGGTTGCATTCCGGAGCTCATAGATCGCGGATTGAGCTTCTACGATACTTGTGAATGGCCGGTTTCGGGGTCCCTGCGGCCGAGGGCAAAAAGGTTCAAGGGCAGGCTCGAAAGGTGCGCCGAACATGAGCCCAGTCCCCATGGCTCGGATGAACATAGGAATCAGGTTATCTGAAATTATGCGCGGACCAACCGTTTCCCCCCCTAATGTGATAGAAGATGATGGACACAGCGGACCAACTTGCTGAGTATCTAGATTCCCTCGCCGCTCGACGATGATCTTGAGTCCGCTTTGAAGGTGTCTCAATGCAGAATGGGTATCGCCTCTCAAAAACTCGATGCAGATGAATAGCAGACAAGCAACAAGTCCAACTTCTATGGAGTACGAGTAGTCGCTGATACGAGCGACAAGATGTTGAACCGCCTTGTTGTAATGAAGGAGTAGAGTCTTGTCGATGACAGAGACAGAGCGAGCATGCCTCAAGCTACCCGTCTGGGTCTTAGCAAGATAACCCAATGCGATTACAGCATGTCGAACAGCAGGCTCTGATTGGGCCATCTGAAGGACTATACGGGACCAAAACTCGCGGTCGAAGCCACTGGCCAATGTTGGACTAGCACAGTGATAGTAGAACTCTAGGTAGACAACACTGTCACCCAGACCAGACAGCATCGGAATGGCACTTTGGAGACTGGAAGATTGACTGGGAACGACAGCGTGGGAGCTTGCATCTTGATTGTAGCCATCGCATCTGCGGCCTGTACTCGTACATCTATCAAAGTCAAATGGGGTTGTGTTGGGCATATCCCATACATACTTTGTGCATTGTGGTTTCTTTTCATCGCACTTAACGCGTCGAATTCTACGGCAGACTTGTCAGCCACACCCGGATCTCGCCTATTTCTAAGTAACGAGAAAACGATCGCGTACTTGCACGTTCGACAGCCAGTCTTCACTTTGGCGCCATATCTCTGTGTTCGTTTCAGACTGGGGAATTCAATGACAGAGGTGTTGGGTATCATGACAAGTACGCGTTGAGTAGCGCTATGTTATAATGCCGGTTGGTTATCGAACGAGACTGGGGGCGCTAACAGGATCTATCAGGTGTGAGTTACTCTAGGCCAAGCATAGCTAGATCATCACGTGCATATTGGCGTTCAGCCTCACCTTACTAACACGAATTCCCGATCATGTAGTTTCCTACCTGTTAAGTAAATCACCAAGGCGCGATGAGATGACACCTCGCGAGATACCAACATGATAGGCTGTATTTAACCATCATTGGGCGCTATTGCTCTTCTAGGTACTCAACAACATCTCTTTAAACATGTGATGGCTTGAATTGCCGAGAATCAACTCTGCCGAGCTGTTCAGGGAGCAGACACTTTTCGGTTATCACGACTTTTTTTCACTATTGTGGGCAATGGATACCGATCAGACTTGCCCAGGTAGACATGAGAGTGTAAGTATGCAGAAGGGTCCAACTTCAAAGAGATAGAAAGGCTGTTGCTACTTCCAAGGACAACCTGGATACCCTCAAGACTAGTCTGCAACATGTGCAACGACAATACACAAAGGCTGCTGATGAGTTTCCTGGTAAACTTTGTACTGTCGACCTCGAGGATTTTATGCTCAAATTTTGGGTACGATGCATGAGGTTTGAAAGTCTTCAGCAGTCTTGCTGTTACTGTCATCAGTGCCCTGAAACAAGCAATTCCCTTACTCGTATCGATGCTTTCATACAACACCCAGGTTGGAGAGGCGATCGATATTTTCAAGGGAGACAAATGTGGCGTCAAAGACGTACCGGAGGTTGATCACGGCAATGTGCCTGGTGCCAATTCGAAAAACACTCCGCCCCCAAATGCCCCATGTGATTCCTGAAGATCTTACAGATATTGCTTACAACATCGTTCGGTTCACTCATGGTCATGTTGCAAACGTGGCGAACCTTCTGGCGGCCAACGGTGGCAACGTCGACTGGGAAAGTATAGCATGCACGGACTTGCAGAAGTCCAAAACTGGTCCTGATGTCACCAAATCCCTGCTTGAAGGCCATCATCCGATCTTGTCCTAAAGTCATCGAGAAAATCAATAAATACACTAGACAAGGTATGGAAAATAAACTGAAGCTAGCCAATGATATCGACAAGGTAAGGAATCGGAAAGCAAACATCAGCCAAGCGTAAGTTGATTCCACAGCTCTGTGGCAGACATCCCAGACTGTTTCTGGGACAACTACTTCTACAATATCACCACCTGCCGCAGATGCCCCTCCGGCCCTTCAAACTTCAGTATTCAGAGCCCAGGTGATCGAAGCCGTATCGAACAAGCTCAATTTTACTTCCGCCTTTCTCGAAACATAGCAGATACAATATTAGGCAAGTAGTAGAGACTATCTCCAAGCTGTTCAGGATTTTGGTAGCTTCCGGGCGGAGTTGGCCAAATTTGATACTGGGAGCGTCTCGCTTGTAAGTGGCAATGTTTCGATATTGAGAAGATGAGACTGATGCACAAAGGAATAAAATCAGGGCTCTCCTACTCAAGAGTATGGAACTGACCCTTCAATATAACAACCATATCAACGTTAGTTACCAGTTCACCGACTATCAAGGCATAAGTCTGCTAATAGATGGTAGCATTCTTCCACGCTATCGATGCCGTTGTTCTTCTAAGCTACGATGGTCACATTGAACTTGTCAAAACCTATGCTTGACGCGAGATGTACGGCATCTCGAGACGATGTAATGTGCCTCATTCCCTCTAGTCTATGTGAGTCATGAATTACAGTATGGGAAGTGTTTGTGCACCAAGAGTTATCAGGTTGTACAAGGTCGGTTAAGTCCGTGACGTTTGATCTGTGACCGGTGATGTTTGGCTTGCGTGGCTACAAGGTTATTCGTGTGGCATATACATGTATCGTATGAGTAACTACCGATGGTCATATTCAGAACAGGAAGTGCTGCCTAAATTCACATAATATCCTTCGTTGATGCACATGTTCGCAATTTATGAAAAGGCACAGCATGATTGGCTTGTAGAGACTGAGGGGGCTGTGTAACAGTCATTAGTGCGTCAGAAAAACAAGATACGTTCTTATCACAGTGCTGTTGCCCAATCCACCGATGTTGCGAACAATAGCCTATCTTTTTATTGCAAAGTCTTTTTACAGTCTTTCTCATGCATAACCCCTTATAGCAAATACTTTCTCGGAAAATTCTCCTACCCGAATGGCCCAATCTATCATGGAATTGTCCCGATCTCCGCTACCGTCACCATACATCTCTGTCTGCATCTCAACTGTCAGCTCGACACTCGACCTAGCTCTTAACAGACCCTTCACAATAACTGTCATTATGACACTTCGCCACACCCATCCAATCACGTTCCACAAGCACACAACTCCTTTCTTTAACAGACTCCTCTACAATCCCGGCTTGACTTTCACAAACGTCCGTACTGGAGAAAGCATCAGTCGGGTAGTCATGCATGTATTATACCTGAGGTCCGAAGAGGATATGTTACCCACAGAGAAGAACAGACCAAGCTGGGTTACACTATCCCCAGGTGTACCTCACACCCTAGAAGCTACGCTCAGACCCAGGCTCACCGCACCACCAATTCCCCTTACGCGGGGTATGACAATTGCGGAGATAACAGAAATTCAAAGCCGCCAGACGAAGACAATGAAATGGCCAAATGTCGCGAATTTCGAAGACGAGCAAACCTACGAGATAGGTGTTACTACGGGTGTGGGTGTGAAGGAATGGTTTCCAGAGAGTTTCGATAGGATATTGGGGATGAGGGAATTAGGGATGACGCCGGATGTTCGGAAAGAGGCGATTGGCTTTGAGGTTGTACAGAGTGCAAGGTTTACCTTAAAGAGGCCGGATAAGGACGGGAGTCTCAATTGTTTGTGAAGAACTTGAGGACTTCTGCTTTCTCAGCAAGCTTATGTAGCGGTAGCGGTTGTTCTTCAAAACGCTCTACAAATTTAGTCCGACTCAAGGATTGAGTTTTGAGAGGACCCTTAGTGCACAGTGTCACATTCTATAACACAACCCACGACCTACAGTAAGCTCCGCGTTCTTGCAAGAGAGGGGGCAAGATGCCGTGAAATTGCAGCTGAGTTCCTGTCTTGTGACGTAAGTACGCGGTGGGTAACGATGTACGAGAGGCATCAATTGGCAAGATGCGTGCTAGCACAGGTGGGGTAGTAGAGGTTGAAGACGGAGAGTGAAGGGGATCGATTCTAGCATCAAGAAGAATATGTTGAGGTGAGTAGATAAAGCAGACATCAAAAAAGGCCTGGCATAAATATATAACGTTTCTTTTGGGTATTTTTCGCTTGGGTCAACAATTTTCATGAGCAATCTGGGATCGCGGGGACACATTCTTTCGACAGGCTTGTAACAAGGTTGCGGTTTGATAGGGGGTGGAAAAGGGAAGAGGATGTGTCACCTCTATGCAAATGGAGATACTTTAGGCATAACTGCGAAACTATTGTCCAACGGTCCTCCAGAGAACAGGTATTGGACCAAATTCCGATCATCCTGGTACAAGTTCTGCTAAGATTGAGATCGTTTGCTCAATCGCCATGAAAGAACGAATCGCCCGGTGCTTTATCATCTATCTCACTGATTGCTCAGTCGAGAACCTATTTCTCGCTTGGTGACAATCTGATGAGGGGGCCGTTCTTCGGTTTCTGCGCAGAGTGACCATTAGTGTCGAGCTTGGGCGGAGCGGTGAGCTTGTTGCCACTTCTGTCTTCGAGGCTGAAGTCGAACGAGGCCAAAAAGTAGGCCGTGATGATGTTTTGTTCCAGTTTGGCGAACCGCATGCCCACTGTACTGATGTTAGCGAAGGTAGACTGTCAGAGGAAGATGCACTTACAACACGGGTGCCTCCCAACTCCCCATCCTAGGAAGGCGTGGGGCTTCTTCTTGTCCTCAGCACGGTCTGGCAGGTACCTAGCAGGATCCCACTTTTCTGGGTCCGGGTAAATTTCAGGATCGAGGTGCGCATCGGCAATAGCATATGCAACGAAAGCTCCAGGAGGGATCACCTCATCGCCGGTACCAGTGGGAATGGCCCTCCCACTCAAGTTCTTCCTGAACGTCGCGCCTAGTAGATTGAGGCGGATCGACTCGCGCAAGCACAAATCAATGACGGGAAATTCAGCCTCCCATGCTTCTAAAGGAACATCATTCAGTTGATAACGTAAGGGTGCAGTAGGATCTTTCGCGTATTTCGCGGCGGTGTCGCGGACTTCGTCGCGGGCTTTGGCGAGCCACTCAGACGAGGTCGCAAGATAACACATGATCCACGCCGCATTGATGCCACTGTTCAGCAAACCTGCGAACAACGCACCTACAATGAACTCCACAATCGCATAGGTCTTGTCGCCCTGATCCAGCATGTACTGCAGCGCATCGTCATGCTTCTCACCGCTCGCAGCCCGCTTTTTGACAATACTCTCGATCATCGTGTATATCTGGAGGCCGGCGTACGTGCGCTTCAAGACGGCAGGGGATGGCAGCTTGGGGAACATGACCGAAGTCGCTGAACCGCTGCTATCTATCGATTCGAAGTGCTTCAGAGTGTCCTCCAACACTTTGGCGTCGTCGGCGATCTCATCAGCACCCACGACGCGGATCGTGAGACGAAAGACAATGCGATAGATGCTCTCGAAGGGATCGGTGATGCCATTTGGCTCGGACTTGATGGCGTCAATGGCCTCTTGCACATCGGAGATGAGAGCAGGCAGCTTGCGACGGAATTGGTCGTTTTTCAATAGATGCGCGAGACGGCGACTGAAGTGCTTGTCCATCGAAAAATCCTCATCCTCGCCCTTGCCCTCAGCCTGTGCCGGCGGCGGAGGCGCCTGCCCGAACAAGACGCTATAACCCTCAGAAAGACCTAGCTCGCGCGACTCAAAGTACACCTGGCGGCTCTTATCCCCGGACATGGCGATAACAGTGTGCGCACCCGCATGGAACGAGAAATTTCCCGTCTTGGCTTGATCGCGTCGCTTCTTGAACCAACTCCAGCGCTCCGTCCAGAAACCCAGAGGTCCCGTGATGGGATAGTTGTCGCTGACTACGGAAGGCGCATTGGGGGGGAGTCGGCGAAAGAGCAACGTGTGCCCAAGGACGTAGCTGGCGAAAAGGACGACAGACGCAACGAGAATGAGCATCGTCGGCGACGTCGACACTCGGCTTGTTAGGTCAAGTAAAGCCATAATGCTTCACGCGCCCAGTGATTGATTGTCAGGTCGACCAAGGAGGGAGTAATTGATATGGCAGGTCAATGTGGCATGTCAGAGAGGGTGGGCTTGTCGCCCACTTATACGCAAATGAATACGCGGCAAAACACACGGCAGGAGAATACTAGCATCAAGTGATAGTGCTTGATCTGCGTTACGGGCTCCTGCAGTATCTACAGGGTGGCCAGCTCTGGTGTGTTTACGGCTTCGTACACATCCTTGCTTTTACGGCCGGCTACGAAAATCACCGGAGCTAAAGTTCAATGACTCGTCTTCACTTCATAACATCGCAACGCTTCAGACAGTTAGGGTCTCGACGTTGAAGCTAGTACATGAATTTATTAGGCTTTATTCCAACGTCGAACGGCATCTCCATTCCCCGAGCCTGAAGATGATCGGGAAGACCCATGTACATCCAACGAATAGATCGACAACTCGGTCGCGTAGCTCTTCCAAAAACTCAAAAAGTGACTCGCTCTCTCATATCGTAGACTACAATCCGCATCTGCTCGATTAGGTGTCGAAGTATTTACGATTTTTGCTACAAGTTGGGACTGCACTGTTCAGGTTCAGGGTCAACGGACACACCCGAGTCCGCAAACCTGCAAGTCCTCTTGTAAGATCTCCGTTCCTGAGAACACGCTAGAACATAACCGGGTAGAAAAGTTAGGTCGGTAAGCTCTTCACCGATCAGCATCAATGATTTCGTATATCATGTAGGGTCACGTCCAGGAGAGCTCAGTCCACTTGTAGTAGGTACATGTTCCAGGGCCCTGGCTCAGCGAGAAAGCGTTGCATCGGCATCATAGAAGGATCAGTTTGGTATTCCAGTCTTTCCAAATTTCCTTTCTCAATCCTGTATAAAAGATCGATGTACCCATCCTTCCCCAGGCTAACAGGTTCGTTGTAGCGATCTCTTCGAGTCTCCTCTTGGCGCACTATAATCTTCAGCAGATTATCAGGGAGTCTTTCAACAATTCTGTGTTGAGTAGCGGGCCTAGGTGGTGATGTGGGGATCTTGGACTCTGCTTTGGCTTTCTCGAATTTGAATGTTTGCTTCCGTGGTAAGGATATAGGAACGTAGCGCGGGTACTCTGTAATCACACCATCTTCGCGCTGGTGCGCTCGGTAATTTATTGATTGCTTCTTCTTGCTTTTGGTTCGGGATGAGGAATGAGTGATCGCGTTCACAGCGATCTCGAGGTTGGTTGTGGAAGTGGAATTCATCTTGTCTCCTGCGGTATTTGTTGCGTTGTGGATGATGATATCGGTGGTTGATTGGCCTGCTATGTATGTAGAGCGTGGGTCCAAAGTGTCGTCCTGATGCAATCTCATCGTAACATGAGCGAGTCTTACCTTTATACACCTAAAGCTTTTTCTCACTCTCGATAAATGCCTTGCTTCTCTCTGAACACAGCCCAGAACCTGTCCATCGCGATCTCACATCCGCGTCGTCCTCATCAGACCGTCACAAAGCTATGTGCTCACCGCATACTCATCGCATTGCCTGAGCAGTTGCCTGACGAGCGCAGCAATCCAGCTCAAAACATTAGGCGCAAACACAACAACGACGTCATAGAGGTATGACATTTCGCGGTCCAGACTTTCATCCGTGGTTCGACGTGTCGCCGTCCTCTGGCGCGATGCGATGACAGTGGTGCATCTCAGCTGAAACGGAAGATAGACATGCTAAGCCCCCGCGTAAATGATGTCATTGGCGATTTGTGAGCGGAAGGCTGAACCGAGCGACGGTTTAACGAGAACGGGTGTGGCTTTAGCTGGCGGTCTGGACCTTGGACATGGTGTTGCGGGAGGCTTGGAGAACGGGATGGCGTGGGGAAGTTGACCACGAGAGATGACGTCAGGATATGTGGTGGCTGTAAGGCGCCAATGTTGGCGTGTCAGAAGGAGTTGCTTGCACAACCACACCTCACATACGGGTATGGTGTACTTTTAGATTATCATCTTCTATGTACCTGAGCTTTCCGAATGCTTCCTAATTTCCATTCACTAACCTTAATCACGGCGGCATGTGTGCTGCAGCGCGATGTCGCTTCAAGGACAAAAGGAAACGCCTTCATCCGGTTTACATATAACCGAGCTATCATCACCAGCTTAGAATATGCTTCCTCCACATCCTTCATTGAGAGAACCTGTACCGTCGTCGAAGTCCAAGCCTGCACCGTTCCAATATTCTTCTCGAAAAGCTCTCGGCCTGTTTCCAAGCGATGCACGACCACGTCGACCGGATTTACGTTAGAATCTTGTAGCCCAACTCCTCCATCAGCTCTGGATCCTGTTCAAGCTGCAGATGAGTGGTCGCAAGACTGCGCTCAATAGCCTCGATTATATCTCCCTCCACGTAAACGTCAGATTTGACCCGCGCTTTACCCCTGAAGGAATCCGCAAATTTGGCAGCACCAAAAGTCGTTCTGACAGCGACTTTGGAAGCGCTCCACTTCCGAAACCCGTCAAGTTGCTGTTGCCCGAATCGAGAGTTTCGACTACACAATAACCATGCCGTCGACAAGACATTGAGTTCGAACTGAAATCCAACGCGCTCTAAGCAAGGGAAGACAGTAGTACTCAGGATCAGGTTGTCGAACCAAAGGGTGTCCATCATTTTGTGTGTATCGTCGAAACTGAACATTACTGATTCTAGACTCGGCGGTAAGATAGTGCTGAAGTCCGTTCCATGGATCGAGGGAAAGAAGTAGTAATCAAGAGATGCCTGTCGCATACCCTCGTCGGCTAGATATGCAAAGGGGATTACAACGTGCTTTAGGTGCTTGAACCGCCTTAGGTTGAGCTGTTCTAGGCAACTCACGTCATTGATCGAGAGCAAACGAGTGCCAGACAGGTTGTAAATCGGCTGCTCATATATAACTTCAAGGTCTTCAAGACGCGCCTCGAGTGAAGCCTGGGCTTGCTGATACGACTCGGAAATCAAGATCTCGGAGAGAAACCTTTCGTGATCAAGAACGCCCGTGACCATGGGCAAAAGGTCCAGAAAATTGCTGCCCAAAGAGAGCTTTCTGATACCTGGCGATTGAGCGATGACCGCCAACAATCCAATCGAATAAAAGTCTTCCTCCCTCAAGGAGCTGTTCTTCATCCGCTTTTCGAAATTGAACAGCGAACGTACATCCTTTGTGATTGAGCAGAAAGTCTGATAGCATTGTTCGGCTAGAGCTGGCCCTCGCGAATATGCTATCATCATCGCATCGCATCTGTCTGATTAATCGTTCCAAGGCGAAAGTGTGTCAGACCACTGGCTAGACTAGGTTGCGTTCCCAAGAGTTCGGAAAGTCTCCAGATGTGTTCTATGGATACTGTTGCAGTCCGAATGAGAGCCTCCTGCGCAATGGGACGGAGATGACGACAGGTGAGAGACAGAGCTCGAAGAGATGGAACGATCGCGCCTTCTGGAAAACCGGGTTGGAGGGCAATATTGAGCAATAGTTCGTCCGGTAACTTGAGTACAGTAGTGGCCATTATCGCGAGCAAACTGCTTGGGTACGTGGGATGTGTTGAGTGTTTCAAGTTACAGCTGGTGAGGGGTTGCGAAGTTGCGATTGCGCTAATAGAAAGAAGCGATGGGCATGAGCATGAGCATGAGCGTGAGACGGGCTGGTTTGCATGCGAAATAATTTACCTTCACCGCGCTATTCCGTCAGGTCACGAGATGCTCCGCATTATTCGTTACGCAATTGAAGGTCGCGATTCTGTTATAGGCAATCCCTACCTCAACCCTATATTCTTCGCCGTTGCAGCTCACATCCTTGAACGATCAGAGAAGCTAAATAAAAGTTCGCCGCCGCTTTCTGGGCTAGAGCTGTATCACCAAGAATCTTCAGACTCTTCGTACTTACGACAATCCTCTATTGCCATATGACATACAGTCTGCGATGACCTGGGCAAGGTAACATTGGTCACGCACTTCCAACCAACTTCTCACGACATCTTGGAATGACTCGAAATGTTCTTCGCTGCCAATTATTTGGAAGTGCAGAAGCAAGTCTTGTATGGATCCAACGAGTTGCACTCACTGTCTTCAAAACAATATACCAGGCTCTCGTTCTGAATATAATTTTATCAACCAAACCTTACCTGTCGCGTAGAGGATAAGTAGGATTCTGGCCGAGCAGCTCGGCATCGGTTGATGGGTATTTTGCTACTCGATAACACCACTACACTATTTCTCAGTTTCCATATCGGCGTGACTGGACGCATCCAGTTTGCTAACGAAAAGTTGGCTTGCTCTGCATTTTTGACACATCCGTCGTTGGAAACATCCCTCCTATCATTCGCCACTACACGAGTCATCCGTTTAACCTCTTTTTCCTTTATTTCGGAGCATCGATCGAAACTAGTCTGCAACCTTTGAAGTCAGTGTTCTCGCCCAGAATGTCGCGTTTTACAATATCAGTACGACGCAGACGGCCTACTACTTGACATAAGGGAACAGACGCTGGTCTTTACTTGAAACCTGCGCACACTTCGTGTCTGGTATCTCACAACTCTTGTACGGCCTACTTTTTGATTCTCTGTACCTGAGTAACCAAGTGACTTGAGAAAAATCAATGAGCTGAAGTACTACTCGAGAGAATCTTTGATTGAACCGCGCAAGCGCTTGGTATCGGTTTGGAGCCCACACTGCATAGAACTGGGGATGTGTACCACATTTTTTTATGCCAGTATATACTAACGGTGATTAACTCGAGCATAGCCTATCCAGGAGATCTCATGGAGTTCTCTTTCTGGCTTCTTAGTCGTTTTATCAACGGCTATTGGCGATTCACTATATCGAAATGGCAGAAGTTGATGGAACACACAAATCTCGAGACAGAAACAATTCCCAAATCTTCGCCCCCTTCTTCTCATTGGTCTCGAACATCGCAAGAGAGGCGATTCGCTTGTCTGTGCCCTGAGAGTGACATGTCTAAAACGCTTACCGTATCACCAACTAATAACAAAGAAATCTAAAATCAAGCGCAATCGTTTATACCTGTTGCCCGATACGGCTAGGCCTATTGAGGCAGGCCCGTTGAATGGAAAACCGGATTCTCGTCCCTCTCGAGTCTTTGTCTAGCAAGGACTCAATCCTGAAACTTGACCACCTGTATGAATTTAGTCTGTCGGCTGACGTGCACATGCCAATTGATATATTCACAAAGGTATGACCTAAGTGATTGGTGTTCGCGTCCTCAGCGCCGATCGTGTGGCTGAATCCAGCGGCCAATTAAATCAGCAGAGACACGTACGTTATCCCAGACATCTCGTTTTCACTCGCCATTCGGTCGCACAGACTGTATCGTTTCTGCCGAGTTGTGGTAGTACTAGCAACCAAAAGGAGGTCCCTTGGGTGCGCAACTCTTTGTATCTCATTGAGGCTGAGGTCGATCTGTTTATAAAGATACGCTGGGAAGCTGACATTACGCAAACCCTTCGAAACCCTGCATTTGCCCTTGCAAGACCCGAAACTCAAGATGCTTCTCAATATACTTACCTCCACATTTCTCGTCGCTGGCGTTCAAGCGATCGGCCGCGCTATCATCACCAACCAATGCGACCTCCCTGTCTACGTTTGGTCGGTCGGCAACAACGTCAGCCAGCAATACACTCTCGGGCTTGACCAATCCTACAGCGAAGTTTTCCATACCGATCCAGGAGCTGACAACACCTCACTTATATTCTCAACTATGGATGGAGGCTTCTCGATACCCAACACTAGCCACACGGTCTTCACCTATACCCTCAAAGGTGACCAAGTTGAATACGAACTCGACGATGTTGTTCCATTGTATCAGTATAATTTGTTTTCCGGGGAAACAGTAAAGATTACTGCAACGGATCCGAACTGCAACAATATCACATGGGGAAACGGTCGACCGCCGGCAGAGAAACAAGTGGAGAGTTGTCAGGCGGGGTCGGATTTAGAGCTGAGCTTCTGTACAGGGCATTGTTTGCCAGCATGGTGTAAGTGCGATTATTTCGAAGTACATTGGTCCTTCGCTAATGTCATGTCTCTTAGTTCCTTGCGGTAGCAACGCCCCGCCCGGAGACACGAGACAGTGCTGCACACACTGTATTGGTGATCATCACTGCATTGCAGTTTCTGAACCAGTATAGACGTAGTGACGAGTTTACGGGGAACAATTGCATTGTATGGGGATCTTGTTATCACAAGATCTTGAACCCTGGTGACTACTTTGGAGCGGCGAAGGTAGGATGTAATGACGACAGGTTCCGATATGTTTTGAACAGCAGGACAGCACTAATATGATTGTTTCTGTTCTGTGGTGACTTTTGTTCGGAGTAGTCCGTTTTCCCCAAAGAAGCTGATGTTGAAGTACCTCCTTGTTCCCGCTCAGCGATTGCGACGAACAAATTGCCATATGATATCCCCAATTCCAAAATGCATCGTTCATTCACACGAAGGAGCTGTAGCATCATTAGACATCTTGTCAGGATGAAAGGGACCATACGGCTATTGCGGGTTGTCGTCAGATACAATGCCGTTTGTACATGAAAATCCGAGCGATGCGCTTTTCCAGTGCATCTGAACTGATTTATGAGTGATGATATTATCCAAGACATCAACAGAGTAAGCGTTGAGACGTTTGGCTGTCAAAACAGGGTAAGATATTGCTGTGGGTGTTGTTGACTGGTCAATCTCATACGGCTTGTGTTAACATGAGTATAATCGGGTAGGGTGCATCGGGTTGGATTAGTATCGAAAGTTTTTGTAAGTACGCGGAGGGTAGTCGCAGTAAGAACGCGCTGCCAGTTGTGCAAAGCTTACTTACTACGCATGTAACCAAGAAGATGCTTTGAAACACTAATGTACCGAGATATGTAATCATATGAAGATTTGAAGTGACAGACATTAGTGAGCGTGAAAGGTGTTGATACTAAGTTGAAATGGATTGGTAAAGTAACTGTCGAAGGGCGAGACGCATACAGCTTGCCGGTATAGCCCCTTGATCGTCTACCAAGGTATCTCACCCACACTATTCACGCTCTGTGTTGTATTAGCATTCATTGCTTCCCTTTTCTTCCTGCTCATGTCGTAAACGACCCTCCGCAAGCGATTAATGCTTCCCAGAGGTTGATGCTCAGCCAGTGCATCCCAAGGGCTGAGCTTCATATAGTCCTCCCAGAAGACCCTTCTGGCCGCAGTCAATGCGTCCTGTGGAGGAAACTCGATGACGGCTATAGTCTGATAAGGTGCCGTAGCCTCGTCCCAGACTATGGATGCATCTTCGGTGGGGTGGTGCTCTGGCGACGTCCCAAGTTGAATCTGCGAACACGTAAGCCATAGTAGGGGTTAGTCCAAAGGTACTTGGACTGACCTTGAACTCATATTTCGCCCCATTTTCTGCATAGTACTCCATCAACCAGTCTGCAAGAGTCTCCCTAGAGTAACTACCCTTCATCTTCTCCGTACGGCTCTTCATTTCATCGAGGACCGGGAAAAGCGCCATGTGGCCGTACCATTCGCCGAATCTAAATGCACTCTGTGAGTAGAAAGAGTGGCTGATCATGTTGGTGTTGGGGAGCATCCCTGTCTACATGAGCTTTTATCAGGCTGGAGTGCTAGGTGTAGTACGTACCAGGCGCACTTTGCTTGATAGCGTCGGTGCGTAACTTTGTCGCTGCCGCTAGCATCGTAGGGCTATCAAAGTACTTCTCTCTCAAATTCATGATTTCCAAGCAAGTGTCGATGTCGGTCAATTCAATCATCGGGGCGTTATTGAAGAAAAAGTCTTGGGTCGTTGCGTTTGGATTCGCACCCTCGAGTCGTTCGCCTTCGACTTCAAAAATTCTCATCGCCAGCCCCCGAGGTCCGGGCTCTTGATCAGCTTGGAGAAACACAGGTTCATTTGCGTATCTCGCTGCTACATCGTATGTCTTGCCGGGCGTCTTGAAGAGACCCTGGCGCAGATGGTCTGAGATATTTGATAGTACAGTCAACTTACCTTTGACAACACCTTGTGTCTTGACGTGCGTGGCCCGAAAGGCGTGACGATGTTGGTCGAAGTTGTGTTGCTGCATCTTGTTCATCGTTTCTCCAATTTGTCTGGTCTTTTCTCCTTCATCCTCTTTTGGGTCTTCGACGCCTGGCGAATCCCAGCGAAGATAAGCATCGTTTGACGGGGCTGTGGAAAGAGCGCGCTTGACCGTGTTGTATGCTTCCGAAAGAGACATCGTGAACGTATAGTTGTCTGTCAGAGGGCCTCCCACTTCTGAATGCGTTTCGATCCGGGAACGCTTTTGGTGTGGTGTGATGTGATACCTACGTCATCGAGATGTTAAGAAATAACGTGTCTATTGTCGCTATGGCTGAGTACCACCTAAAAGCGGATGTATGGAAACTAATAAAGCCCTAAATGCGTGAGGCGTGACATCTGTAACCGGTCGGGGTTGGGTTACGTTCACGAGAGACCTGATTGCTCAGATGAATCTGCAGCCTAAGATCTTGCGCTAATACCAAACAGGTAAGGATTAGTGGAGCTGATCTGCCTAACTCGATACTAAGATCTTGACTTGACGTCAACCATTATGTTTGCGATGCTCTCCATGACCTTCCTTGCAATCCCACCTCCATTATCGCTCAATAATCATACATCATGTTCACCACAAATGAAAGAACTGCGCTTTTGGCTAGACCACTCAAAGATACCGCTGTACGAACACGATGGCAGGAGCGACTCCAGCATTTTACATGGGCATGGTTCGAAGTTACAATGTCGACGGGCGGATTGGCGACACTTCTGGGCCAGCAGCCCTACACCTTCACTGGTCTGCAAACTATTGGGAAGACGTTTTTCATTCTCAATATAGTGCTCTTTGTTGTATCTAGTGGATGCATCACCTATCGTTTCTGCAACAACAAAGGGTCACTAATGCGTAGTTTACACCACCCTCACGAGAGCTTCTACTTTGGTGCCTTCTTTGTGAGCGTTGCTATTATCTTCTATGGTGTACAGCAATTCGGCGTTCCCTCCTGCGGCCCATGGCTCGTCAAAGCGCTGGAGGTATCGTTCTGGACTCAAGCAGGCATCGTTATGCTTGTCGCCGTGTTCCAGTACCATGTCATCTTCGACGAGGAGCAGCTTCCCGTCTCCGACGCAATGCCTCATTGGATCCTGCCAGTTTATCCGTTCTTGATACTCGGTGTTTTAGGAAGCTCTCTGTTGAAGGACGTGTCGGCAGGAGCTGGTTTGCCCATTTTCATCGGTAGCCTCGCCTTTCAGGGTCTGGGTTGGACGGTCGCGTTTTTCATGTTGACCATCTATGTTACCCGACTGGTCAACAGCGAGCTACCAGAAGCTCCAAAGAGGCCGGGAATGTATGTCGCGGTGGGACCCGCATCATATACCGCGAATACGCTCGTCACACTGGGGATGCAAGCTCCAAAACACATACCCATAAATTTTCTTGGCATCACTTCTTTCTTGGTTGGGGATGCATTCAAAGCTATCGGTGTTGTCACGGGTATATTCCTGTGGCTTGTAGCATTTTGGTTTAGCGCGTTGGCCACCGTCAGCGTTATCTTCACTGCCAAGGACTCACACTTCACGCTGAATTACTGGGCATTCATCTTCCCAAATGTCGGACTAGTGATCGCACTCATCCACATCGCGAACGCACTTGAAAGTGATGGTCTAAGGTGGATAGGCAGCGGAGCGACTGTCATACTTTCAATGCTATGGTTTTGGATCGCTTTCTTGAATGTCAAGGCCATACTCGAGAAAAAGGTCCTTTACCCAGGAACGGATGAAGATATGGAGGACATTGAAGGACATGCAGATGCCAGTGATGGCGAGGAGGAAGTATGAGACAGTAGATCTAGCAGCCACGTGGGAATATAAACACATGCCATCGCATCTGCTACGTCGCCGAGTGACATAATACCCACGTGTACATTCGCGTTTGTCCTTCAGCCACCATGTGCGTTCAGTGTACAAAAGCTACTGCTGAATTTACCCGGAATACTGCGCAAGATGTGCCCTTTGTTCAAAATCATTCTGAAAAGATGTGAACTCTCACGTCACTATTCGGTTGCCAACCTCCAAGGACACATGGTCACTTACAGTAACACACCACAAAATTACCACCTTCATTTTCATGCAACACATTCTCCTCATCGAACAGGAGAAAAATAGAAAAAAAAACATGTCATACTACGGCGTCCACAAAGCAGAAATCGACATGCTCGTCTGCACGACGTGCAAAACTGAAGCATTCGCCTGGCTAGCGGAGACGTTTCCATGTCCTGTTTGTGGAGAATTTAAGTTCGAATCTCTAGTGTCTGCAGATGAGAGACCAGCAGAGGAGGGAAAACGAAGTCCTAAGGTGGATGATGGCGAGAGACAGAGCAGAGGCGGGGACGGAAACAATGTAACTGGGAAGAAACGGAAAAGGTCTTGCAGTGATGACATGATGCCGGACAAGGAATCTAAAGCACGCATAGTGGGCTCAGATCTTGGTGGTGGTGAATGAATATTGGCTAAGGAATTCAAGCTTAGTGAAATGTAAAGCTTTCGTGTGTCTGAAAGGTGGCTGAATATTCAGTTAACTACTTCTTCGTATTACCTAGAGATATTGTTCCTGATTCAGCCTTGCTCGAGTCTCTGCATATACATCCTACAAATTTTCGGTCTGAAGTCGATAACATCGAAGCCCTTTGGATTTGACCCAAATGTTGAGGTTCTTGGCACGAAGTATAAACGAATTTTCCAACGTATAGCATCTCGCAACCTGTTATCAAAAAAAGAGTCGTAGAGATACCCAAGGCATTGTTCTCGCAATTTGATGTCGTCAGGCAGCTACACCCAGATAGGGCGAGGTGTAGCTTTAAAAACTGCTGGAGCGAACTATCGCAATGTCTAAACAGACCAACGAGAGGCATGTTAGCCAACAATGATATGTCGAGGATCATCCAGACAGCTAATACTGTAGCCGCGTGCTTCCGGAAAGTGCACTGGCTATAAGCCTTACAGGCATCGCAAAGTCGTGCTAGCGACGTGGCATTACCATCAGCTTTTCCAAATCACACCCAATCCACGTGAATATAATTCGAGATTGGCCATCTCGGACAGTGGTCTAAAACGTATGCGAATATCGCCCAGATATTAGCCCATATCAACGAACATGAGCAACATCCAGAATGATCAACAGGCAGATTTCCAGTCCGTACGATCATCACAATCTCAGACATAGTTAGCAGTTACGATGAGTGGTAACTGTGCCGGGTTGAACACACAGGCTCCAATGTTGGACAACATGCACGATCTCGATTCTGAGAAGGCCCCAGGTTTGAAACAAAGGTTTGCCAGGGAAATACGACATACAAACGTGCATCTTCTTCATCCGACTCAATTCAACGACATTAGAAGATAAATTGGGGACTGATACGAGCTTAAGATTCACGACTTCTGCGGCGACGCAAATTGGCAAAAGGGGCTTATTGACGTCTCAAACCTCTCCTGAAGTTACTATTCCTCCTACACGGCTGTCGAATTGTCGTTTCCAAAGCGGCATCATCGGCCTTGGTCTCGGCTCATAAGTGGCCGTATCGAAAGGCTCCAGGGTTAAGCCATTATCCTCAGCAACCCCCTTTGCCGTGGATGACCTGTAATGGCGGATGATTGTCTTTTCTAGCTTTTTCAACTTGTCGTGCCGTCGAGGTTTGAGGTTCTTGCACAGAGCCATAAGTGCCTGCTCTGAAGGTTCGGGGAAATCGGTATTGAGGTGAAGTTCTCGGATGCTCTCGGGTAGCATGTCTCCCAGACACGGGATTTCGACATATGTCCAAGGCCTCGCGCCTGGAGGAACTTTATAATTGCGGCCAAGTCGCTGTCCACTTTCCAACGGAGGCCCGCAGAATGTCTTTACATCTACTTCCAACGTCTGTAATTCTGTGAAACGCATAAACGAAGACAAGCCGTTGACGATGTCTCCGTGAAGCTCGTCTATAGTAATGGCAAGTTCAGTCAAGCGTTCACCGCAGTAGTTGGCGATGGCTTCTGCAAACTCGCCTGGATTCCAGTCATATTCGAGCCCGTCCCATTTTGTCTGGTGGGAGTATTTGAAAGTCGTTAGTTCCGGTGTGTTGGCCAATAGATTCGACAAACCATGGGCGTCTATGCAACAACACGCAAGTTCGATTCTTGTCAACCGTGATCTAGGGCTCGACTCAGGCCACTGGAATATTATACCATCCCAGTCGTCTTCGACAGCCACACAGCTCACGGCATAGAGGTTCCGGACGCTGTGTAGTGCCATGAAAGGCTGCAGACATTGTAAACCCACTCTGACGTCGTAGCCTTCTTCCACAAACGGTAACAATGTCTCCAGAGCCTGCAAGGGTGTTGATTGACAATTCCTGTCATTTGAACTCGCAATCAGTGATTCGATCAACGGTACTATAGCTTCCGCCGCTTCGGTACTGCGGACCTCGTGCCATCTGTCCGGCAATTGGAGCGTCTTGAGTCTGGGAAGGAGAGACAACAATGCAACAGATGCATACAACTTGTCCAGACCTTCCTCGTCCCTTGCTTGATCTTCTTTGAGAATCCGGTCCCACCAACCCTCTATATCAGGACTTGCGAAGAGTTCAGTGTGGAATAACAGGCTTTTGATCTTTTGCATAGCTCTGTTATCCTGCCGGAAGTCGTACCCATTGAACCCGCTATCAATGTCCATGTTGTGGCCTGGATTCCATAAGGTGAGAGATTCGATGTACTCCGCAATGATAGGTTTACATGAGATCTCATACAAGATACTCAAAGTATCCCCGCGACGTGTTGTGGTTGCGTTGGTCGTGTCTTTCCAATTTCTTTTCAAGACGTTGTGTGCCTGAATTTGAGATTGCGCACGCCCATATATCGTTTGGCATGAGAGGACAAAGTTCTCAAGACCATCTGGTTGGGAGAAGTTGATAATGAGGTCGAGAAGCTCGGGAGGAAGATCCAGAAGGCGCATAGTAGACATCCAGAGAGTTGCGTGATGAACATGTCATGGGCAAGCAATCATGTCGTGAAGAAGTTGATTATAGTAGTATAAATAAGCGATCGCCAGCCTGGACGAAAGGAAAGGTACCGAAAGGTGGAGAACAAGGGTGGCGAATGCGCCGGTATTTTGGAGTCTATTAGTGTGCCGAATTAGAGTGTGCACATGCAGAATTACGTCACAATCGGGCGTTAGCGTAGTTTGTATGGTTCGGTTTACAAAGTCCGTAGAAAGGTTAGGCCAGAGCTTCAGGCTATGGTCACAGGTCAAAATTACAAATCGACTGTTTACCTGACGATACGCGCGTTCTCTTTGGGAAAATAGGATGCACATACGGATATCATGGCCTGGACGACTACCCAAGCCATCTATGCTCACAGGTAGTCTTCGTCAGTGTCTATGTTGTCTGAATACATCATGTCTTGATGCAGACTACCAAGAAAGAAAGGCCTATCCAAAGGTTCTTGTAAAACCCAGAGATCTGGAATCGGCCCTACTGTATAGTGACTAAGTACGTTGTGGTTGACCAAGATATAGAAAGCATTGCGCCAACGTACAGAGACCACTCATCCTGAGAAAGCATGTACTCTAAAATCATGCCACAATCACCCGTCAGACGAGAGATGTAAATATATGACAACTGAAGCTCTATAGTTATATGGTAACAGCCGAGATTTGATTGTTGAATTACACGAGATCAAGAGGCTGTTAGTAAGGAATAATGGTAGTATCAGCCGTTCCTTACACAAGCACTCTTACTGTATTCAGGCATGAAAATTCTTAGTATAGTAAATTTCGTACCTCGGTATCGTTCTGAATTTAGCCTCTGTTCTGCGTGAGCTTGAGTGATATTGTTTACACCTCCTGAACCTCTACATGCTGCAGGCATGAGACTTCGGATCGAAATGCTATTCTAGGCTATCATAGGCGTATCCCATGGTCTGATGGAACGGACCCGCGGATTTTGGCCAATAGAAATTGATAGCACAAGTTCAAAGAACATCAAACCTCCACAGCAAAAAACTCCTACGCGGGGCGTAACACCAACTTGCCGACGCGATTTAACTGGCCAATAGCCGGGCCGAGATCCGGTATGGGGATAGTTATGTTTAATTTGCTCCTGTTGAGCTAGCTAGTGGTAGAATTGCACCGCCACCCCACGCCACGATGGATGCTCAATCACCTTTTATCGCTTCGCGTTACTACTTGTGAGTTAGAAGTGTCCTGAATTAGGTCTAAGATATGTTCATGTACACTTGCTGCGATACTTGGCTCAGCACCACCGCTATCGCTCGAGACGCGTGAGACGCGGGAAACGCCGCCCTTAGTTTCCGCAAGATCACGTTTGAAGTTTGTCGCTGAATCTACTGACAAATGACATCTAGGACATGATGAAGTCAAGGGTTATTCAAGCATGGCGACCTGACTAAAGACCAAGACACACAGTTGATGGAGCAAGGGCGCTCATGCGCCACTGCGATCCCTGCTAGCGTCGCAAGCAGGTTCCTCATCCATCTGGACAAAGCCTCCACCGTTTATCAATAGTAGAACCTCGCAATGAAAGCCCTTTTCCACATAGCACATGCCCTCCTTGTACTAGTCCTGACTGCGTTGCTCATCCGCGTAGTCTATTACGGCTTCGCAATACTCTGGGCGGATCAGCATCCGCAGCCCGTCCAATCTCAACAAGACAGCGCAAATGCTAAGCTGGAAAGGCCATCGCCGCAAGAAATGGTACGCTTTTTGATTGTGGAACAACAGGATGCGACAACGGGTTAATGACGTACAGGCTGAGTCAATGAACACGTATTGGGATATGTGGGATGAGGATCACTGCAAACATGTTTGCGAAACATCGTGGACCGCGTGCCTACTAAGGCAGTGTGACCAAGTTCCAGGAGTGCGGAGACCCAACCCATAGGTGTAGGATGAGCAGTGATAGTGGCTCGCTTGTGTATAATTGCCGGAATCCGAAGGACTTAGAAGACGTCTTATCGGTTACCAGTTACATCATTGTACGATGACCCTTACTGCAATTCGCATGATGTTCCATAGTAGTTCTTCTCCTTAATCGTAGACGCCACTAAAATCTACATATTCAATCTCACCCCTGCCGTTCTAACGCTCTCCACGACTACATTGACCCTCCTCCCCTGTTCCAGAAACCGGAATTTCAACCAATCTTTCAACTGATCAATTTGTAGCACGTAATGAGAAGACACGATCTGTGTTTCCGGTTTCGTCCTCTTCCTTAGCCAAATCTCAATCGTCAACTTCGTCAGCCTGTTCAAATCGAAAAGATCAGTCATACGGTATGTTTCGACCAGGGTCTGAATACTCAGAATCGAGCTATTACAAGGGTTCTCGACCGATGAACAAAGCTGTGGTTTGCAGAAGTCGGAGATCCGGAACTTGATCCGCGCTTCCATTAGCCCTGGGCAGCATTTCATTAACTCGATATACGGATTTACTTCATCAACTCGTACGCGGTAGCGCCCAAAAAGCTGGAATTCCAAGCGACGGACAGCCTCAAAGCCTTGCTGGTTGGGAAAAGTGTTCAAAAATCGAGTGAAGTATGAGCAGTTCGCGGGATATAAGATCCCAATTTCTATGCTACGAATATACCACAGGCCGACCTCGACACGTGTTGCCTCGTTTACGTGACAAAACTTTGGGAGAAAGCAGGGCAACAATGGGCCGCGGTTGTAGATCGAATCCGCGGCACTGAAAGTCTTTTGGTAGGTTCCTGGGGTGTGGGGTTCGGGGAGAAAGGCGAACAGGTATATGAGTTCGCGGAGCTCAACAGGGAGATGTGGAAAGGGGACTTCTGATGTTGGTACCATACCTCCTGTACTTGAGCAATCTTGTTGGTCTGCGAAAGTGTGGCAGAAAACACTACAGCGCAGAAACATATTATGTGTATTGGTACGCTGAAGCGATCAACCTTGTAATCTTGATGTGTGCAACGACCGCGCACGTGAATGAAGATCTAGTGGTTGTATATACTTGAACGACTGCTGTGACAGGAACAAATATTGCTAACGCTTAATAAGTGAGATAAGCCAGTAAGGAGACTGATTTATCGCCACAGTCAATGTTATGTCAGTCACCAAAGTACAAGAGATTTCCGTACAGTACTGTCTACGTGAGTTCTCAGAATGAAGGGAAACCGATATATTTACTTCAATTGAGAATCGAGCAAGCAGGGCTTCGCCAGATTGGATCATGACATCTCGGGTATCAATGATCAAGTCCCGCGAGCGTGACATAATGAATGAAGTCGTGACTTGCTTGATGGGTGGATTTTCAAGACAGGGCAGGGGAGCGGAGTTCGTTTCGCAGAAGGAGCAAACCTCGCCAAACGCTCTGTTGAGACTGCGCAAATTGGTGTAGGTGACTAGTGTGAAGTGGATTGATGTGTTTTACTCCGGCCTCTTAACGAAGTCATTGTCCATTCACAAACTTTGTCTGAGATAGAAGCCGTTAGATGTTTGTTTCACATCCACTCACAAGTCTATATAGTGAGTAGCAGCAGACACATATTTTTCACACATTGTGAACCAACCACAGTGCGAAATTATTGCACCTCCTGCGATGTGTCTTTCATGTATACCGTATATATTCACGGATTTCTTTCAACATCGTGAGCTTACCGCGTTCCAAGACGTGAACTCTATGTCGGCCTTTTTACCTATACTACCGCCAACAATGCGTCCCCCATGGCTGCTAAAGGCCCAGGTCCTCTCACGAATAGTGAAAACAAGCTCCCTGTGGCTATATTAGTTTCTACTCGAATCTCCTCCTGTTTGTCCTTCCCAATATCGACCCTCATCCGTCTCAACCAACAGCACGTCAGTCATCCGAACAATCTTGTTCTTTTTCACCCATCTACTCCTACGATGAAGGTCATTCGAGCTCCCCTGCCAGAAATATCGATTCAAGATGTCCCATTCACAGAGGACGATTCTACAGACATGGCCGTTGATCCAATTCTCGAGGACCTTGGGCGTGCTGCCGAAGGATACACTACCTATGAGAACATATATACGCCCGATCCTATCCAATCGTCGTACCGCCCTTTCCACGACCTTGCTCAGGGTGCTCATGCTTGTCTCAAGTATCGCACTCTCGCAGAGATTGGAGAAGCCAAGTGCCATCAAGCCTTTGCGAAGCTGTCCCTACCGATGCGAAAGTTCTTGAACCACTGGGATTACTTTGTGGTGATGGATATCCAACTCGATCACGACTGCCATGCTTCGAAAGCTGAACTGTACCTCTTCGACCGCAAAGGCCATGCTCCCATCGACGAGTGGATGTTCTGGGACATGTCGGATGCGTGGGATCGATGCGACACGTACGAGAACGACTTCGACTTTTGGGGCGACGAACTGTTGGCGTTTCGCGACATGGCCGAGTCTGCTGTTGGACACATGTCATATGAGCCACCTGCGTACTTCCCTCTCTTTCTCCAACTTCCCCCAGAACTCCGCGTCAACGTTATGCATGAGTATCTTCTCCTCGAATCCGAGAAAGAATCGTTAGGTGGGCTTCAACATTACGATGTTTACTGGAATCGATGCTGCGTGTGGGACTACCCAGAAGTCCTCATTGCTTGCGACAACCAAGAACCAGCTGCCTTTCCGCCTCCCGAAACAGGGCGTGCGCCGCAAGGGTGGCTTCCAGCTCTCGCATTCGCGAACAAGCAGATGCTGGGAGAGGTCGTCGTGCACATGCTCGAGAGGACGGAGCGATATGATTTGAAGTATGAGTATCGTGAACCTCGCTCCAAGATCGCGACGTGGTTCCGCCGATTCCTGGAGTCAATTCCGAACGGTCAGAATGCTATAAAGTACCTGAACTTTCCGCATATGTCTTGGTTTAACCATATGTGCACCCCACCAGCACCGACGAATCCGAGTGTGGAGCTCATGGTGGCATGCCGAAGGCTACGGAAAGTCGACATGACATTTCATGCCTCAAAGCTCACGCTACCAGATCCAGGGAATGCCGGACACTTCCTTCCTCGTCCGGTTCAAGACGTAATCACGTATTTCTGTCTCGAGTCTATCTTCCAGTGCGAAAACCTTGAACAGGTACACTTCGACGGCATTCACTATCAGCTGCGTCATGGTGGTCGCCCCGGTGACTTGGCGACACTCACGGAGCTTGCGAGGTGGATGAAGATGGGATTTCTGATCGAGCGAAATGGCGTCAAGGACGTTGAAATTGACGTCCACGAACGTTTTGGCCAGTGGGAAGGCCGGACCCCAGGCACTGTTCTTGTACTGAGCGATGAGGATCTGGCGGAGGTGGAAAGGAGTATCGAAGCGAAGAGGGTTGGGATGTGCGAATAAGCTGGCGTCCCAGGTATGCGCTCGATTGATGAACATGTGTAAGAGGACAGCCGAGGTTCTTTCCAGTTAGATATCGTTGTCCCATATGAACTTCAAGCAACTAGTAAACCTGGTTCCTTTGCAAAGCTTCCCATCTGTGTTTGCAGTGATGTTAATAACATGACAGCGTGAAAAAGGGTGTGAAATGACACTTCCACGGCAAGTAAGATTTCATGACAATGTTGGGTTCCTTGCCACTGTACCTGCTTGCATGGCGCATTATCGATGAGCCCTTTGTTGATCTGCAGCTGGCTTCGAAACTCAAATTTCGAAGCAGAAACGGCGATCTCGATGTCGAGGGAAATGACGCACGATGGTATCGCCGATGATTTAGGGTTGAGATTGATCCGACCAATCAACGTTCAGGTAAAACAGCTGACTATCACGTGAAGCAGCCGCATGCAACATCCCTGTGAATCCGGGGTAGCAGCAAACAACGCATAAAGAACAGCAGACTGGGTGCACTCGGCTCTGTACACCGCTCTGCCTTGCTCTAACTCTCGCACCTCATAACCTACACCTTTAGAGCAACATAAAATCACCGTTATCATGTCTTGCCCAGTCATCGGAACCACAAACTCGGTGCTCCCGCCAAACCACCCCTCCGTCGACCTCAACGTCGATGGCCAAGTCGTAAGCGCCCCATTTAGACCCCTCCAAAGGAAAATTTACACTGACACATCCCCCCAGTGCCCCGTCGTAGGCGCAACCACCGACCACCACCATAACCTGCACGTCCACCCCCCGATCCCGGGCGCCTCCACCACCGCAACCTCGTGCCCCGCGCTGAAATCCGCTGTCAACGAGCCCAAAGCTCAGGCCATGGACGACGCGCTATGCCCTGTCGTTGGCACTGCGACCACCGTCCTGCCACCCGACCACCCAGATATGCTGAATGCAGGGCCGGGAGATGTTTGCCCGGTTACCAAGGCCAGCGTGGGGCATCACCAGGGGAAGGTGGTGGGGCATCCAAGTGTAGCGGGCGCAGCCGAGGGCGCTGTGTGCCCAGTTACGGGACAGGGTCATTGAGAGGTGTGAGAGTTCATCATAACGAACGATACGGACTAGGCATATGAATTCTCGGTTGTTGGAGATGGAATACAGAGGGACTTCAGTTTATACCATCGGATAACTCACCGAGACCTTTGGGTGACTGGAGTTGGTTTGTGAATGAATCTTAGATATTAAGAATGTTTGCTTCTCCGCGCTTCTCGTCATCATTTGTTGACTGTTTGTTGGTGACCATTACCCAGACCCAACGAGTGGGACTGAAGTACGACACATCCAACAACAAGCACTGACTAGTGTCATTCAATCACAGGACAAGCTCCAAACCGAGTATGCTGCACGAAAACATGCAAAGGTATTTACTGACGAGATCAAGAATCGCAACTTTCTTTCATTACTGTCATTGTAAAACATGTATGAACCGAGTCTCCGCTTCAATTATAAATGGGCATAGTAGGCACTTGACCAGCAAGCTTCTCCCCGTTCGTCGGCTGGAACTTCTTCTCCTTATACCACGCATGCGCATGCTGCGACATCTCTTCGACCTCAGAAAATTCAAACTTCGGACTCGGCAGCAAGTCATAGATACCACGGGAGTAGTCGGTACCGATGTTATAAATTTGCGCGAGGTACTTCTTCTGTGATGCATGTCAACAAAGTGATCACTGGAGAGTATTGAGAAGGAGATATTGTAGGATTCAGAAATTGGAAAGAGGAGAGCCTACCTGAATGTCAGGGAACTTGACGAACTTGAGCATGTTGGCCGTGTTCGTGATCGTGTGTGCGCGCTGCTCGTCAGTCATGACTCTGCTCCACAGGTCCTTCGCCTGGTCGTACTCGTTCCGCTTGCCCTCGTGCCAGTAGTGGCTCTTTCGGCTCACGACCGCGTCATTAACCTGGTATGGCGTCTCCGCTGCGTCGGGCCTGAATTTGTTTGAGAAGCTGTTTGGCGCATACTGCGCATTGCCCGCGTGATTGGCATCGATACGCATCGCGCCATCAAAGTTCAACGTCGCGTACGATTTTGCCATGAACGGGCAGTTGACGGGCACTTGGTGGAGGTTCACGCCAATACGGTGATATTGCGCGTCGCGGTAGAAGAACATGCGGAACTGCAGGAGCGGATCCGGAGAATCTTCGACACCAGGGACCATGCTACCAGGAGAGAAGGCAGCTTGCTCGACATCACGGTGGTAGTTCTCTGGGTTCTTGTTCAAAACCAGACGGCCGAACTCTTGCATGGGGAACTGCTTGCGCGGCCAGACCTTTGTGACGTCGAAGGGGTCGAAGCCTAGCTTGTCAGGGTCCGCATCCTGAGGTTCCATAACTTGAACCAAAGCTGTCCACTCAATTTCCTCGCCGCGTTCAATCGTCTCCCAGAGGTCGCGCTTAGAATAGTCGGGGTCTTCACCACACATCTTCGTCGCTTCCTCTTGAGTGAACTGCTTCTGGCCATGCTTGGCGATGAAGTGGTATTTGATGTATACGAATTTGCCTTCAGCGTTTACCCACTTGAAAGCGTGGCAGCCATAGCCGTGATTAAAGCGCCAGCCTTTCGGCGTACCATGATCTGAGAAGAACATGAGGCCTGCATGATTGCCCTCAGGGACGTTGCCGAGGAGATCGAAGATACCATCGTAATCAAGGAGGAAATTTTTGGGGTTGCGATATTGAGACCGGATGACGTCTGGACCCTGGATGGGGTCACGGCAGAAGAAAATGGGCTGCATCTGTTAGCAGACGAAAGGGGTACAGACGAAGATGACTTACAAAGTTCAACCCAACGATATCGTAGTTGCCCTCCATGGTGTAGAGCTTGATGGCAAATCCACGTGGGTTACGAGCCTCATCAGGAAATTCTCGCCCAGGAGTGACCGTAGAGAAGCGAACGAATGCAGGAGTCTTCTCACCGACGCTCGACAAGAAGTTGGCTTTCTGCCGCGCTGTCAACTACATGTTCCATGCTCATCAATTTTACCACGCATACCGTGAGGGCCTCGACGTTCTTCGTGCACTCGAAAAAGCCAAAAGCCCCAGACCCACATGGATGCACCATACGCTCCAAGTTCTTCGATCGGTTGAAGGTCTGCTGCTTTCTAGCCGTTGTCAGAGATCATGTCCACTCAAGGAAAACTGTGATTCACGTACTGGAGCAAGAAAGTGTCACTGATCAGTGGAAGACCACCAACGGTCTTGCTATGCGAGCTATGCCATGATCAGAGTCTAGTCTTCCGATGCTCGATGCAACATACTGATCCGGGTACGGATGACCCTCATTATTGGTGAAATAAGCGCCATCATCCTCACGCTTCCCACCCTGAACAGACCCAGAGACCTTTGCAATGATGTCGGCGGGACCTTCATTAGCGCTGGCCATGTGGCTCATGCGAGGAGCGCGACCTTCACCGGCAACAGCGCCCTGAATAGCCATGGCTGTAGCCTGCAGTGGGTGCTGGAGGGGATCATTCTGGTTTGTGTTCGCGCTGGTGGATGAGGGGGCCATGGCTGCTTTGAGTTTCTGAGGTAGACTGGACGGAATCTCCATACGACACCCCGGAGGCACGACGAGAGATGCACATATATTCGTACTTGCATGAATGAACGACGTCTCGATATCACATTCGCGTCAAAGTGATGTACTCTTGGCGCGTGCCAATGGAGGGGTAGACGGTGGGCGTTCACATGCGCCTCGAAGACGCGTCGTGAGGTTGTCACAGAGCCGATGATTGTCTAATATTACCATACCTCGATCTGTCCAGGAAACACGGTCATAGTATAACATCAGCCGAAGCTGACTCCATGCTTCTTAGCTAGTGATTTGGTGCGTTGGATTGCGGCGCGAAGATGGCTTGCGGCGCGGTGATAGGGATAGTTGCTTTTGGCTTGACATTTGTATGTTGACGTGTTGAAGCCGGAAGTGACTTTCACTAGGCTGCATGTAGACTAGAATTACCAACCATTCCGAGGAGCTACTCCGACCTCTCGCGGTTGAAACACCCGCGCCAGTAACTAAGAAGTAGAATGTCAGCGAACGTGTCCCTGTCCGACAACGAGATGGTACAGTAGCTGAAAGAAGTCGTGGACTGTGCCGAAACTTAAAACGTACACACTACGAGTAAGTGACGTAGAGATGAAGAACTATGTACTACAGGGAACGTGGGCATATTTGTGACAAGCACACTGACCCTCGCTCTCACCAACAACATCGAACCTCCGTAAAACGCCTTCAGCTCAAACAAACCTACAATGTTCGCTCCACGTGCCTTCTTGACGCCAATTGCCAGGGTTGCCTTTAGGCCCCAGGCAGTGCGTGTTCCAGTGAACAGCAGGCTCGCCTCGATGCGCCCGCGTGTTGCAGCTATTTCGACCGTGACCGAGGTTCTTACTGAAGATCACCGCGCACTTGAGACATATTACAACGAGATCGTCAACAACCCAGACGACATCGACCATCAGACGCGCTACGGCAACCAATTCACATGGGAGCTCGCCCGCCATTCGGTCGCAGAAGAACTACTCATCTATCCGGCCATGGAGAAGTACATGGGCGAAGAGGGCAAGGCGCATGCTGAGAAGGACCGTAAACAACATCACAAGGTTTGTCAGACTATCGCGTCAATTTGTGGGAATGCTAGCTGATGTATAACAGCTCAAAGAGTTGCTGAAGGAGTTCCAAAACATGAGTGCGACAGACACCGCGTATGTCCCCCACCTCAAGGAGCTGTGGTCTTTCCTCGGTCAGCATATCAAAGAAGAAGAGAAGGACGATCTACCCGCTCTCGAGCGCGCCTTAAGCTCGAGCGACAACAAGGGCGTTTCTGAGACCTTGGCCAAAAACTTTTCTAGGACCAAAATGCTTGTTCCCTCGCGTTCACATCCTTCCGCCGGCGAGAATCCCTTGTTCGAAGGAGCGATGGGATTATTGTTCGCGCCTATCGACCACGTCGCCGACATCTTTCGCAAGTTCCCTGACGGCGTCATCAGTCCAAACCCCTCGAAGAAGTAGACGATTTGGTGTTGCATATGACGACGGGTATGCACTATAGAATCTCAGGCATACCATAAGAGATAGACAAGACTTGGAACGAGCTTAGGAAAAGTCATGATGACCCATGTGGTTGCGATAAGTCTGGCTTTTAGTACCTCGACTCCGAAAACTAAGTGGAGAGTAACCTTGCAACCGCTGGACAACTATACGCAAATGTCGTGCAAAGGTTATGTGTTTGAGGCGTTTTCGGTGTGCGCCTACAGGTCTGTTTAGTGTGTAGAGTTTGGACTTCTTGTATGGCGCCCAGTCGCGCTAAAAAGCTTGTATTTTGGATCCGGATATATCAACTTAACATGAGTCTGGGTACATGGATACAAAATCCGCGTTGACTCTATCTTCTGTCCTTCGCTTGGAGTCTGCAGATACAAGCGCATGAATTGTCGTCATTGCAATGTGACTGGACACGCTATAAATGAAACCCACTAAGTATGTCCCGACAAGTCCTCAATGACGTGACAACATGATCAACTTGATGTGCGCGCATGGTGGAGTGACAAGTGTTGAGTTCTCTTCAATCATGCTGCTTATCTCCGACCCACTTCGGGCTGTATTAGGGTAGACGTGATATCTGTATAGCTGATCTTGGTTATATACATGTGACCTTGTATTATGCACAATGTGTACGACACAGTCACTGGAGATCTGGGAGATTCTCGAGATCTATAAGTCTTCGAGAACTGCTGTCATAAGTGGCGGTTACCCCGCATGCTTACTTTAAACTTTAAACCCGAGGCATTAGTGAGTGATATACCCTGTCGCGTCCTGCACTAGTCCGTCGACGCTCGGATCAACCACCTTGCCGATATAGTAGCGTAGTTCCGACCTCCTCGCACGATACGCCCCCTACGTGCTCTACAGGTCGATCACGGTTGGAGGCGGCGATTCTAATTCTTGCATAAACCTTCGCACGTCGTCCATTTTCGACCCTTCAACCAACGACCCCTTCCCTATGAGCACGTAGCATCCGGCGTATATACTTCTTGTCGACATCCGCGATGTCTGACTACAAAGATGCCGAGAAACAGTATGGAGACGGCAATGGCATTCATCCCACAACATCCGTTGGTCAGGGAACTCATCGGCGCGCGTCTATCACAGATGCGGTCTTCGGAGAGATCTCAGAAGGTGGCCCCAATTATCGTGCTGTACGTTTTGTCCGAGATTACAACAAATGAGTTACTAAAAGCTCACAGGTCGGCTGGAAAGGAACCGCCGTGTTGATGCTGAAAACGCAAATTGGCTTAGGTGTTCTATCCATCCCACAAGTGTTCCACAGTCTCGGCCTGATTCCCGGCGTGATTTGTTTGTTGGTAATTGCCACAATGACAAGTTGGTCCAACTACATTGTCGGTGTTTTCAAATTGCGACATCCCGACGTGTACGGTATCGACGATGTTGGTCGCAAACTGTTTGGCCGCATCGGCTATGAGCTATTCGGCATCACATTCGCCCTTTGTAGGTGATCTTCAGGTGGCCAGACTGTAGCAGGTGCTAAACAATAGTAGATTGGATCTTTGTTGCCGGATCAGGAATGTTGGGCATTTCCACTGCCCTGAATGCACTGTCGTCTCATGGTGCTTGTACTGCCATATTCGTTGCTGTTGCCGCCATAATTGGATTCGGGTTGGGGAGCATTCAAACTCTAGGGAAAATCTCTTGGCTTGCCTGGATTGGAGTGGTTAGTATTCTTAGTGCCAGTAAGTCGTCCATGATCATGTCGGAATTTTGTGAGTGGCCATAGCTCATATGCGAATCAGTCTTGATCTTGACCGTATCAGTTGGCCTTCAAGATCGTCCCGCTGATGCGCCTGTGACTCCCGGTCCTTTCAAGTCGGATTACGAACTTTTCGCTCACCCCAAAGCTGCCGATGCTTTCGCGTCCCTCTCATCGATTGTTTTCGCCTACGCAGGAACCCCAGCGTTCTTCAACATTGTTTCTGAGATGCGCGAACCTCATCATTATACCCGAGCTCTTATTGTCTGCCAATCGACAATGACTGCTGTTTACATTGCCATTGGAGTTGTAGTGTACTACTTCTGTGGATCCTACGTATCATCACCCGCACTGGGATCAGCTGGACACACGATGAAGAAAGTGTGCTATGGTATTGCCCTGCCAGGGTTGATGGTTAGCACAACTCTGTTCGTGCATGTAAGAACTACTCCTTTCAAAATATTGGCATTTCTGATTTTGGTACAGTTCGCCGCCAAGTACTTCTTTATGCGTATTCTTCGAGGATCACAACATCTAACCCGGAACACACCAACCCATTGGATTACCTGGATTGGTTGTACAGCGGGTAACGCCATTGTTGCGTATGTCATTGCTAGTGCCATCCCCGTATTTGGTGGACTTGTATCACTTGTCGGAGCTCTCTTAGGCACCCTAATGTCGATTCAACCGATGGGTTGCATGTGGCTTTACGATAACTGGCGTGAAGCACGGACTACCAAGTGGATGTTAATGGTTGGCTGGTGCGCCTTTATGATTATTGGTGGTTGGTTCCTGACCATTGCCGGTACCTACGGATCTATTGTTGGTATTATGGACAGCTATAAAGCATCGGGTGGATCCTCTGCGTGGAGTTGCGCCGATAACTCAAATTCGTCATAAATCCCCAGACTTTGAATCTGCGTCACGACGACCAAATCTCAGCAGAGAACTGTTATTAGAGATTTTACGTTTATCCTATCTAGTTAGAAAAACTAGGTAGGCTCGATAGTAATATTATGTGCATTGCGTTCTAGCGATTGGAAACCATTGCGGTGTTCAATTAAACCCTTGGCAAAGACCTCCCGACCTGTCTTGCTGTTAGAATTGAGGCAGGGTGTCTTACCAATTCTAACAGCACAGTGTCCTGTACGGGCGCCCAAGCTAAAAAAAGTTAAGGTTGCGGTGTAGTGAACTGAAAGATTATCCCAAATAGCTACATCTACTGAGCAATCCAACAACGCAAATTTCACAGGATAAAAGACCTACCAATATTATTGCATAGTGAAGCGAAGCAATAGGTACGCATCGTGCTTGGGGGTGATTCTGTACTCCACAATGTTCACGTAATACTTATAGTCTCCTCACATTTGCCTGTCCTTAAGTTTTTTACATGTGTAGGTGGGAAACCCCACTAACAGTTAAGGAACACAGAGTGACAGCAGGTGGCTGCCAAAACTGCCGTGCGGGAATCATCCGAAAGCCTTACATGTCCAGTCCTATATGGAACAGCCTGCGGTTCTTGCACGTTCAAGGTTCGAAAGACCATCGCATCCTCTGTCCACAGATCGGCAATATTGAGGGAGAGTCGTCCAGCTCAAGCTTCCAGTGAGCTGAGAGCTATCAGATAAGCCCTTCCTACTATCGGATCCCACCATACGCAACCAGCGCACCAACCTTTCTGCATATTTTGATGACAGAACCATCTCTTGCGAAGCTAGAACAGGGTACGAGAGCGCAAGTTTGAAACGGTGACTGCTTGCATTAATGAATGCACAATGCACCACCAGGGTCCGTTTTTGTAAACGAAGAACTCATTTGGCTAGTCAGGCAAGAAGTTGGCTACAGCCTTCGCTGTATCTACGCAGGGGTCTGCCATGCGACAAATGAAAATTGTTGGAACGTTAAGTTCTGCTGTTGCTTGCGAGTGGCTTAGGGAAAAGAGGCATAGTCGTGACAAACGGATCCCATCGCTACAAAAGTTGAATCTCAAAAGCATTTGTTCACAAAAAAAAGCCGTCGATGAGAGTTTTGATGCCGCCCGTAATTCCTCAGCCTGAAAGTTGAATTCTGAAGGCACCGAGACGATCCACTGGTCTAGGCGTTGGCTGAGTTGTTCGATGTTTTATTCGATGTCAGCTAGGGCGCGAATTATAGTGCCTGCGGAGTACAGAGTGATGAGAATTTTCTGGGTCATGATTCCTAACTGGACTACGGCTTTGAAGTGGGATCCGCAGTTAGCCGGAATAAGTCTTGTACCAGCGGGAGTACGAGGAGGATTCATCACATCGTTGGCGAAGGAGGACAATGTTGAGGAAACAACAAGAAGATAAAGCAGTCAATAAGCCGATCCACCCCACGTGATCGGTATATTCACTACAGTATCGCTGACAGTACGGGGTCAGGCTAAGACAAGGACATAGCTCAAGGATCGTACAACGGGACCCGTTCGCGCAGGAATTTCAGTAATCACGCAGCTGTTTGGCGCGCTCTAATTGGCCATCTGGGCTAGCACCGTGAGGCCTTAGCGTTTCCTGTGTTTTGTGCCTGCGCTGCTCCACCTCTCCCGCGTTACAACACCCATCGACTCACACTGCTCCATTTGAACATGGCATCGCGTGGCGGCCCTAGCATGCGATTCCCAAGATGGGGTGGGGCGGCTGGAGGACGTATTCAACGCGTCAAAACACATGTTATCCCATTCACAGATCACTCTGGGCGCGAAGCGCTCATGGTGTTCGATGGCTGGGTGTCCTGCCCGCTCCCACCGCTTTTCAGTTTCGCCATCTACTTCACACATCCCGAAGTGACCCCGGAGACTGTCAAGCCGGTCGAGGTTCTCGAAGCTATCAAGCGCAAAACGCCGTTCGACAGCTCGTGTTCGATCCGTCTGGAACTATACTTTCTTCCTGCGCCCGACGTGGATAGCAGTGATGACGACTGTATTGCTCATTATCGCAAAGAGAAGGCCGCACGGGAAGATTATACACGTCAAATCCAAGATCTCGAGAACTCAGCCACGGATGATGATGATGAAGAGCAGCAGCAAGGCGGAGCGAGCGTTCATGGCGACGACCAAGCCAGACAACTACCTGGTCTAGTGCCTAGCTACATCGATCGTCCAAGTTCTGACTATTATCACGGAATTATCTTCCGTTATCCAGGTGCGGATTGGTCCACGGACAAGCGTCTAGCACGCCGCATTTATCTTGATCGAATTTCCGAGGAGGAATATGCTCGCGTAACAGAGGGAAATGATGAATTCTATCGCCTTCCTCCGGTATACGTTTCTCCTATGCCGTTCCAGGAGAGCAACACTACTGAAGTAGGAGAGAGATTTGTGGGCATGGCTATGTTTGACGCTGCAAATGCAAGAACGAAAAACGAGACTATTAGCCCCTGGCAAGAAGCGCGGGAGCGAGGCTGGAAGTCATGGTGATGACTCGCAGTAGCTACATATCGCATGAAAGTCTTTTAGCAAGTGTTCCGTTTGTGTACACGACTATTGACGTATTCGCCGATCGTGCTCCACCGAATTATATATACTACAATCATTGTCCGCAAAACTTTCATCTTAAGAATGTACAAGAATAACAAATCGTCCATAAAAAATATCCTCAGAATGAGCCTTGCCTCAGGCCGAAACCCCTACGCAGTACGCATACGTCGGCCAGAAATTGGTACCACAGTCGTTTTGAATCGCCGGGTTCCTTCAATAAGTTAGTATCTTCGACTCCGCCCAAACTCAAATTGTTTAAAGGGGAAAGCACTTACCACTTGTAGAATTGGTCGAGCGTGATACCATACTCCTGCGTGATAGACCAACACGTATCACTGCCTGGTCAATTGTTAGCAGTGCATCTCAAGGTAAGCAGATGAAAGAGTGGCACTGACCTCCAACAACATGCCATTCATCACAATTCTCGATAGTACCGGGGTGCGTTGGGACTGGAGCGCTTGGGGCCGTTGGGCTTGGGGTTGCTGATGTAGTTTTAGTTGGCGTTGGCGTTGTAGTTGGCGTATCAGTGCTAGACGCGATATCGGTAGGCACAGCATCTGTACTAACGCAGTACTGATAACCAAGCCATAAGTTACTACAGTCGGCACCGACAGCAGGGTTCCTGGAGATCGCATAACGTCAGCACAAGCTTCGCGTGAGTGTATAAAGGGCGGTTTGCGTACCATTTGAACAGCTGTGCTATGGTTATTCTATTCAAAGCCAGGAATGATTTGCAAGTCATCGGCGCGATAGCGGCGTTGTACTCGACGCATCCCTCGATTGCGCCCTCCTGCGTATTCGTTAGTCTCCTGTTGAAACGAGCAGGTCCAAGTCGCATGAAGACAACATACCCTTATTGGATAGCTCAACCCAGTGTCTTCAGGTAAAGAAGGCTTAGTGGCGGATGCAGCGTTATAAGCTGCCATGCAATAGCGAAAGTCTTTCGATGGCGCGCAATCTGTAGAGTTGACATCGAGTGAAGGGTTCCTGGTTACACATGTCAACGCTGATTCTATTCGCGATGGGAAAAACTTCGGTCAGAGATTGAAGGATGAAATAGTACTGACCAGTTGGCTAATTGCTCCGGTGTTATCGACCATCCTTTGATAAGAGCGTCGCATGCAGCAGCTCCCAAAACGGAAGAGTGGTAAGTAATTCTTTCCCACAGCAACTCTATGGACGGTCTCAGTTGGGAAGAGTGCGCCGCACTTTCCCTCCTATTGTAGTACTCGAGTCGCTCGAAAAATTTTCCCTGTTCAGAGAGCTAACCAACCTGCCAGTGAGTGGAGGGGCGGCGACCCAACCTGCAACGGTAAGTACACAACTACACAACCATTTCAGTCGGTGCGCTGACAACGGCAAGGTCAATGCCATTCTGGTGAGGTAGCTCTGCAATCCTCCTTGTACGGCGACGGGGGCAAGTGCATCGACGGCCGCAAGTTTTACTGCTGCAAGGCCGAGGCAAAAATGCCCGATTGTGGCTGGACTGACTGTGGTGGTTCCTGTCCTGACACTCACAACGAGATGACATGGGCATACGACACCTGCAGCAAAAACAAGAAACGCAAGTTGTGCTGTAACAAGGATGAAGGATGGAAGAACTGCGCGTGGCACGGCAAGCCAGGCAGCTGTTTCGACAACCACTGCGATACAGGTTGGCAAGTTGCTATCACTACCTTGTATGAAGGTGAGGGCGAAGGCTGCGGCTTCTGGCACCCCGAACGCCAGCGAAGCTATTGCTGCGACCCTCCAGATGGAGAGTCACCATTCTTGCCAGTACCTCTCGAGTACTTGTTCTCGAATCCACCCGATGAAGCCGAAGCAGACACAGAATTCACCCTCAAGACAGATCCAACATACGGTGGAAGCAACACTGTGCCATTTGCAGAACAGCCAGACAATGCACCCTTCGGCTTTGTTGTCCTCACCAGTCCAGACGAGAAACAAGTCTCTCTAGACAAACGTGACGGGTCTCATTGGGAGGTTTTTGATTGCTTCGATCCCATTACAGAGGGTGAACATATGGTGTGGATGATGTGTACAGACCAGAGCGAGGACTCCAACTGTCACAAGATTCACCATGGTCATGGCGCTCCCGGCACCATCATTCAGATGCCAGACGGATGCGGACCAGGAAAGTACGCCGTGGTCAAAACTCTCGAGCCAAGCAGGAATCAGAGCTTACCGCACCGTCTTGTGGAGAGAGGTTTAGCGGTGGTCGATCCCATATACGACTTAACATTCGACTATCATTTCAAGCGAGTACCTCGAGACCTGGGTAACACTCAAATGAGAATCGACTTCAGCAACGAGCCGGAGTACTGGAACAATGTCGTGAATAAGTCGGCCTCTAGCAGTAAACACAGAAAACGCACCCTGGAGGACGTCGGCGGTAGTCACAAACGCTGGCTGGAGGAAGAGTGGCGAGAAGACGCACACTTCGGAGCCCTCTCTCCTGAAGAACTCCACAAGCGATGGTTTGGCAGTGACGTCGTGGCCTGGCTCAAGGGAATCATCAACGGTGTCTCCGGAGGACTTGACATTAGTCACACCTATTCGGACGATTTCATCCTCAAGATTATCGACCAGCGTCTGGATTGCCCCAATGTAGCGGCCAAGTCGGAAGTTAAAGCCGAGTGTCACATTGATGTCGACGTCAACTATGGATTTACCCTCGTTGCCACGTTGGGAAATCCCGGAAGTGTTATCGATCTCAGCGACTCGTTTTTGTACTTCCGCACCAAGGGCGAAGTGGATGCAAAGTTCGTCGTCGATGCTGTAGTCACGGCCATGTTCGATACAGGTGACATCATGATGTTTTCCCCCGACAAGTTTGGGGCTGCTTTTGCCGTGCCTGGTATCGTCACTATCGGACCCAACTTCAAACTCTTTGGAAGACTAGAGGGCGAAGCAACTCTAGGCGTCAATTTTGAGAGCAAAGTCAAGCTGGCAGAGTGGGACATTCGCCAAACGTACCCCGTGGCCAACAACGACTGGGATCCAGAAGCATCCAAAAGCCCAGACAAGAAGGGTACACAAAATGTGCTGGAGCCTGAATTTGATTACGGCTTAACACTGGAAGGCCATCTCACTGCTCACGTCAAGCCAACAATCACCTTTGGTATCGACTTCAACCAAGACTTCATTCCAATTGACACTTGTGCTGTCAATCTTGTTGCCGACGGTCACGTTACTTTCCACGCCGAATTGGAGCTCAATAGCGGGTCCTCATTCTGCTACGGTGTCGACGCTGTCGCCGATCTCTATGCAACGATCGAAGCACCTTCGGAGTTCAGTTGGGCTCTTCCAAATTCGCCATTCCCTATAGTTCCTATCGATGATGTTCAACTCTATCCTACTGGAGAACAGCAAGCTTGTATCGATATACCTTTGAAGCGCGGACTCGACAGCAACTACCTCAAAGAGAACACGAGCACGATATCATCCGGTCGATCTCAGCGTCGGCGCTTCATGACACTCGATGATGGGGAAAGCCATCTCAACGCCCTTGGCAAGAGAGCACAAGTCTATGGACCTTTGATTCCTCGTCTAGATGGCCTAAGCTGTCCCGGAGCCATTGACGTAGGTAATATACCACCATGTCCTCTATGTTCAGACGACAGCAGCGATCTCCAGAAGCGTGCAGAGTCATGCTGGCTGGATCCTTACGCAAAAGGAGTACCCTGCTCGTCGGACGTGACCGAAAAGCGCGATCTCGATTTCATGCTCGCAGTGGACAATGAAACCATCTATGAAGATGTGGTCCGCAAACCGATACCCTTTGAGCTCCGGAGCGAGCACCATCTAGAACGCAGTCTTATGAAGCGCACGGACAAGGTGCTTTCATGGGAAGGCTATGATCTTCCATGCGGAACCTACAAATATCGCTCATTGGCAGCCAAGTCGGGTGGTGTGAATAAATGGTTCGGCTTCCGAGGCTCGGACAAACAATGCGAGACGGCGATAACCAAAATGACTATTCGTGATATAGACCCGTCGGACTATGTCAGTAAGTATTATGCCTACACTACCGCCATGTTTTCGAAGAAACTTGTTACTGACTTGGCTTGTAGCGGAGCATATCTACGAGGTCCAATTGCTGAGATACTTTATGCTATGGCTCATTAACGGCCCCCTTCCCACAGGGTACACAGCAGCATCTCTAGACTGGGTTTCCAATGTGATCATTGGCGGTATCAATCCAACTACTACCATTGTCCCACCCAGGGATATGAATTTGGGCAGGAGACTCTGCGTTTTTCCAAATGACATATGGCCTAGGGGGCGACCATAATCCTGGCGGACTCGCACTCGCCCAGAAAGGCGTGAATGGGCGCAAGGAAAACCTTTTCCACGGCGGAACACCCGATTCCAGGAACGACGTCAGCAATCTTCAAACTTGACTCGCGCACCGCAACACTGCTGGCGTTTTCTCTTACATGCGGAACACAATCATCTGGGGCAAATTTGTCGCTTCGTCACAACACATGGAAGAAACACTGAATGAGTTTGATGCAAACTTCAACTGGAACGGCCAAAGCCAAGAAAATGTCGGTCAGCCGGGGCTCCCACAACGTGGTGCCAATAATCCCGTAGCAGGAATGCGCGACTTGTTTTGCTACTGGATCGACATGTATCTTAGAGACATTGAAGCCAACGGTGTAACATGGTGGAATGCTGCAGAGGCACAGTCCTCTTACGGAAGCGACAATGATGGCGTCAAGTGGCTCAAGAACGTCATGAATGTAAATGGGCCGATCTCACCAACGACAATGCGCTTCTTGCATGCTCGGAATCAGCACGGTCCCTTTGGTTCTAACAATCAGCCAACTGTACGGTGGTTGGCGAGTAATTATGACGGTTTGTGGATCGCGGGTAATGGACCAGCAGGCCCGTTCTGAGAGTAGAAGAGATCATTGCTCGTAGTACGAGTCGCTGTATATTATATCTTTCTTTCTGTGTACATAAATCAAAAAGGATGTTTTGCTCAATGTTTTGGAGCGGCTTCACAGCAGACTCGTGAAGATGCCATTACTGTACTTGTAATCAACAGACATCAATTCAATGACCTAATAGTGTATTATGAGACTTTGAACTCCCTAAACCTAAGAGATGCAATCACTACTTTGCCGTGTTTCTATACAGCAACATCATCCGTTTGACCTTTGAAGAAAAAGAGTGATCAGAACACAAGCGTCATGCTCACCCACAATCCTTGATCCCAGAAAAATGAAAACAAAACTATCCTGGTCGGACACACACGTTCCTCCAAACGAGGTAGGGGAAACATCCGTGTTACCTTTCCTGAATGGTAGCCCCAAAATTCCAAAACTCCTGACGTCAACCCCCGCCCCACGCGCCTCTCCCAAACGGGTAATCACATCCAATACACCACTACAACCCTTAATATATCCTTCTTCCTCCTAGGAAGAAAGTTTGTCCTCCCCCAAACCACCATGCCCATAAATGTGCACACTTACACCCTCCCTCCTACACCTCTCATCCCCAACTTCCCCTACCCCCTCCTCCACTACCCAGGCCTCCTCAAAGAAACAATCACATCCCTGACCTTCACACAAATCCAACTCCTCGACCTATACGCCGCAAACGGGTGGCAAGCCCAATAGATCGCCAAATACGGCCCAGACATCCAATCTCACTACCACTCGGGCACGCACGAAGCCATGGCCGTGATATCAGGCGAAGTCGCCACAATCAGGTTCGGCGTTACCGACGCGCCGGACTGGGCGCCAGGCAAGTACGCAGCGGGCGAGAGGGGCGCCGCAGGGGAAAAGGGAGGGATAGAGATCCAGGCGCGGTTAGGCGATGTTTTTGTTGTGCCGGCAGGTGTGGCGCATAAGACGTTTTTGCCTGTGCCGCGGTCGGGGGAGTTGGCGTTTTATCAGCCGAGAGATATTGCGGAGGGGAGGGCGGGCGAGGGGGGTGAGGAGGTGGAGAGGGAGAGGAGGCGGTTTTTTGAGGGCGGTAGGGTGCAGGGTGAGTTTATGATGATGGGGGCGTATCCGGTGGGGAAGGTGTGGGATTTTAGGGCTGGTGGGGAGGATCAGAGGGAGGAGGTTTGGAGGGTGCGTGTTCCTGACAGGGATCCGGTGCTGGGAGATAGTGAGGAGGGGCTGGTGGGGTTGTGGAGGGAGGGAGTGTGAGTGCTGTAAGTGAGCTAGTGTACGATCTTCTATTGTCTAGAATGTTTGGTTTCTTTTTTGGTTTAGAGTATCTATGCATTGCGAGTCTATGGACTTTCAAAACTCTAGTGCTACTTTCCCCACAGCCTTCCCACCCTCGATGATTTCATGGGCTTTTCTTACGCCCTCTTCGTCGAGTTTGAGCTTCTGCGTACAATGGCACTTTACTGTTCCATCGTCTAGCATCCTCGCCAAGTCTTTCAATATATTGCCATGGCTCTCGACATTAACACCGTAATACGGCTTTGTGCCTAGTAAGGCCCAAACAAACGTCAGGCTCTTTGCCATGAATTCTGTTGCATACATGGGAATCTCCTTGTCCTGGACAATGGAGCAGACTTTTCCAAATGGGGCGCAAATCTTGGCTGCGGGCGCTAGGTAGCCCGATGTTGGGGTGTGTGTGATGAACACGTACTTGATGGGCACATCCAGTTTCAGCTTTTCAATCTCGGTCGGAATATCCTCGTGATGGTTGATGGTGTGTGTAGCGGCTCCAACATCTTTCGAAAACTCGACTGTTTCGTCTCTTGATGCTGTAGTCACTACGACGGGTAGATTGAGGACATGGCGTGCAATCTGGCTGGCGACGCTGCCGACACCGCCGGCTCCGTTGATGATGAGGATACCGGCATTCTCGCCTCGCTGAATCTCGAGCCGCTCAACCAGGGCTTCGTAAGCTGTGATCCACGTTAGGGGCATAGCAGCAGCCTGGCCCCAGTCCAAGCTCTTTGGTCTCAATGCAACCGCTCGTGAGTCTACCAGCTGAAACTCTGCGTTGCTTCCCTGGCGGATGGGTGAGCCGGAATAGTAGACTTCGTCGCCTGCTTTGAAGTCTTGTACGTCGGGCCCCACGCTCTCAATCACCCCAGCACCGTCGAAGCCGAGGATCTGGGGCAGGCTGGGAGTACGCTCATAGTAGTCTGGGTAATCGTCGTACGTTCCAGCACGCACTTTAGTGTCAACTGGGTCTATAGAGCACGCCTTTACGCGGACAAGTATATCATGGCCCTGTGGATCCGAGGGTTTGGGGGCTTGGATTGCTTTGATATTGGTGAGTGGACCGTATTCAGTGACTGCGATGGCATGCATGTTGGAATGGTTGGCAAAATGCGATGAAGGAATTGGAACTATTGAGGCTGTGTAGGGGCATCTCAATGGTTGATATATGGGATGTTGGAGATTTCGGATCCACTGTTACGAACACTGCAGTGACAGCTCGTGACGTCACTGACATCATGAAAAATAGTGAATTGAAGTCGAGGCTCAATGGCAGTTAGATGCGGCATTACCGATTCGAGGTTGCGGATGGTGATGCTCGCCACTGTTATGGCTGTTGGAGATTGCCCCAGAGCGCTTTGACAGCTTGAGCTATCGTCATGTGGTACAAGGCTGACATGTTGAAAGCAAAACTCGAAAATTAAAATCCTTACTCTTATTGGGCGCATTTATGCCAGGTCCATTGCTGGCTGCGGCGGCACGATGATGTGGCTGACATGTCGTGACACCACACCGGTATCGAGCTTGACCGGAGGTTGATGCAGTAAATGGCAGAGACGTCCAAGGCGGTTGATTGGCCAATGCCAGACGCATGTGCGAGAGTATGTATGCGTGCCCAATGTATCCCAGGTCTAGAAGATAAACGGAATCGACGTAGAACAGAACAGTAGAGGCCTCAAGCACATGATTAGACCGGTATGCGGGCAGCCGTAGGGCGTGAGAGGAGAAGGAGGGGTTGCATGCGGTTAATGCAGCAGCTGACGAGTGAAGAGAATGGCGATGGCGATGGCGAATGAGCACTAGCAGTCGTCCGGGCCCAACCACAAAGCAAGGCGTGGACGAAGACAGGGCGATATAATGAATAAGACATAATACTTTGCGGCGAGAGCGTCGCCATTGTGATATCACGGCATTCCCCCTGAGCAGCCACAAGGCCGGCACTTGGACTTGCAGCTGGACTCGGCGCCCACGGCCGCCCCAAACGATTGAAGCCACCATGCGTGCCCAGACCTAAAGCTGTGCGCGCATCGACATAGCGTAGCTACCTGCCCTGCATTCCCCCCACACCGTCGCCTCCCCTTTGCTCCAATTCTTCGCTTCCTACCCCGCCGACTTCCACGACAGCGACAGCGACAACGACAACGACAACGACGACGATAACCTTGCATCTGCTGCGATTGTGAACGGCTGGCTTGGCGCTGCGCCTCCAAGGCTCCCTGCGTCACCACCACACCACCACCACGCACACCAGCAGCAACGGCAACAGCACCGGCACCGGCATCGCGGCAGCCTACATAGCTGCCAAGCACTGAGCAACCGTGTGCCCGTCGACGGCCGTGTTGCATGTAACCACCCGCCTCTGCTGTCCAAGCTCGCACGCCATAGCCTCGTCCTGAAGCCTGCCCAAGTGCCACCTTGCAGCGGCCGCCAGGGTCCAACCCACGTTCTTTTAGCACCTTTACTGCGCTATAGCCAACCCCAAGCCTAGCATCTATGCCCGCCTATAAGCACATCCTAAAGAACCTAAACCTAAAAATTTTAGAAATCTAAAAATTATAAAATCTAAAAAATAGGTAGCTAGAATTTAAAAAATAGGTAGCTAAAATCTAAAAAATAGGTAGATAATAGAGTAATAATCTAGGTATAAGAGTTAGGTTAAGGTTAAAAATTATTTAGATTTTCTATAAAGTATAGCTTTTATTTAATATTTTTTATAACCTAAAAAAGTCTACTCTCTCTAAAGTAGAATATAGTAGTCTACTAGAACTTTTTATACTCTAAAGTAGAATATAGTAGACTACTAAAGTTTTTTATAACCTAAAGAAGTTTACTTTCTTTAAAGTAGAATATAGTAGTTTATAAAGGTTTTTTATATTTTAAAGAAGTCTACTTCTTTTAAAGTAAAATACAGTAGTTTACTAAAGTATTTTATAACTTAAAAATATTTACTTTTCTTAAAGTAGAATATAGTAGTTTATAAAGGTATATCTAATTTAAAAAAAGTCTACTTTACTTAAAGTAAAATATAGTAAACTACTAAGGTTTTTAATAACTTAAAGAAGTTTACTTTCTCTAAAGTAAAATACTATAATTAATTTATTATATATAGTAGAAGAAATATTACTTAATATATATAAGTAGATAAAGGTAAAATTAAATAATAATTAATAATTATATAAGTAGAAACTAAATAATTATAATAGTAGTATATATTAGTAAAAAAGAAAATAATAGCCTTAGTAAGCTAGAAATATTAGGTTATTAATTATTAACCTAAAAGTATATAAAAATAGGTATATATACACTAAGCTAGTACCTAAAATCTAAACCTAAAAACTAGGTAGATATAATATCTAGATATAAAAACTACCTAGATATAATATATAAACTTAATAATTAACTAGATATAAAAATTAACTAGATTTAAAAAATAACGTAAACCTAATATATAAACTTAAAAATTAACTAGACACAAAAATTAACTAAATATAAAAATTTCCTAGACCTAATATATAGACTTAAAGATAAACTAGATATAAAAATTAACTAGACTTAAAAATTAACTAGAATTAATATATACTCTCTATACTAACCTAGATAACTATAGAGTATCTAATAACTTTTAAAATAGTTAAATAGATCTAGAATAGCTCTAAAAGAGTAGGCTACCTTAATAATAAAACTATATAGTAGTTAGAAACTAGAAGTATATAATAAGAACTATTACTATACTACTATTTACTACTTAATACCTAATTTAAACTTATTATCTTTAGTATCTTAGACTTTATAAACTTTCTTTATTTAACTAGAATTATTTCTAAATAAGTTAGCTATATAAATATTTACTAGCTCTTTATTATTAGTATCTTTTTACTATATTTATTCTAAAGAAGATTATTTATTTATATAAGAGATATATATTAGAGTAATAGTATAGGTAAAACTTATAGCCTTTTTATTATACTTAGCTAATAGCTTTATCTACTAGGCTAGTGTTATCTATATAATAAAATACTTAAGGTAGGTAGTTAAAATTATTACTTAGAGTAATAATATAAAGATTTTTATACTAAACTAGTTATATAGTATATTCTATCTCTTTCTATATTTAAGGTACCTGCTATATAATATTAATTTCTTAGAAATATCTTATTTTAATATACTAATTATATACTATCTAGATATTAAGTTAGTAAGTTACTTTCTATAGATAACTAAAAATAATTACTCTTTAGTTAATTTTATAAAACTCTAACTTCTTTTAAAGTACTTAGCTTTACTTTATATTAACTTTTTAAGTTTTTTATATTTTATATAAAGAGAGAATATAATTAATTAATACTATATTTTACTAACTAGGGTAACTACTTTATTAGACTATATAGTAAAGAATAAGTTCCTAAAATTAGCTATATCTAGTATTAAGAGTCTACTACTATTATTAAAATTTAATAAGGTCTAAGTTAAAGCTATTTAGGTATTTTACTATTTAATTATATAGTTTAGCTTATCTTCTAATTTAGATTTAGTAGTAAATAAAATAGAGAATTTTTAGCTATTACTCTTAATAAATAATAGCTAACTCTTATTAAACTATAACTACTATATAAAAAAAACTATAACCTAGTTTTAAATTAATTTATCTATACTAACTATAATAGCTCTAGTATTTATACTAGTAACTATAGTTATACTAGTACTAATAAATCTCTTAAAGAAATTCTAGTATTAAATCTATTTATTACTTAATAAGGTAATATTTCTATTAACTATAGTAACCTTCTAGCTACTAACTACTATTTATATAAAAGTAGTATTTTATTATTTTCTTAACTTCTAAGTTGTTTTATATAAATTAGTATTATAGCTCTTTTTAGCCTACTTAGTACTATATATACTATTATTATTAGTATTTCTATTATCTATAGCCTCTTTTCTACTTTTAGTAGTAATACTATTTAAAGTATTATATATAGTAGTAACTACCTTAACTAGTTAATATTAATTAATTTACTAGTAAATCTACTCTAATATATCTAGTAGATATTATATAATAAATATCTAAAAACCTTTATCTTTTTTTAATACTACTTAGTACCTAGTAGACTTACCTTCTAAATACTTAGATATATAGTTAATAAGATTAACCTTTTTTTCTTAACTTATAATATTTAAAGAATATTTCTTTATAGCTACTCTAAGAATAGATATAAATATTTTAATAATAGAGTTATTATAACAAAGATAGATATAACAGGCTAGGCCTAGTAGAACCTTAGTAAGTAAAGCCTTAGAGCTTAGCTACTCTAACTACTAACGCCTACTAGAAATAGCCGGTACGCTACTAAAAGGACTATAAGTAGAAGAAAACTAGTACTATAGATCCTTAGTAAATTTATCTAATTTATACTAGTAACTACTCTTAGAGTTAGCCCCTTATATTTAAATTTACTTATAAAAACCCTTCTAGAAATTAGAAGAATTCTAGAAAACTACTAGTAGTATATCTATTAAGAAAGATACTATAGTTACTAAGCTAAAAGTAGAAGCTTTACAGCTAGTAGAAATAGGCTTTACGTAAAAAGTAATTAAAATACGCCTCTAAACTATAGCTAGATAGAACCTAGATAAATAAGAAGTATAGCTAAAGCTTTAACTAGTTTCCTAAAGTCTCTAAGAGGATAAATAATAAATAATAAGGTTTATAAATACGCTAATCTTAATAGCTAGCCTATTATTAGTAGTAGCTAGTAAATAACTAGTTAATAAACCTAATAAATAATCCTCTCTAGAAGAATTACAAAACGCATTATAAACACTAACCTAGAAAATTAATATTCTTAAGAATAGTACACTACTACTACTTACCCTAGCTAAATAAAGAGTATAATAATTAGAAAAAGAGGTATATAGACTAAGAGTAGTCCTAGAACTAGTTTTCTCTATAGTATTTATTAGAACCTATATAAAAAACTTTAAGATACTAGATCCTAACTACTTTAATAGTAATTAGAAGGACTATTAGAGGTTTTAGACTTAAATAAACTATAAGCTAGAGTACAATATTAAAGAACTAGAATTAAGGCCTA